TTCGCAGCCCAGTATATCCTGAAGTTGCCGGTCGGATGCAATATAGAGGTTCTGCAACCATTATAAGATCAACTATAATTTTACTATTTGTCACGTTGATACCTTTCATCGCTTAACTGTATATACCTACATGAATATTTATTACCCCTTTCATGAATTGTATTTTTATTCAAATATATTCATTTTTTTATCTTTTTGTTCAGTTTTATTTATTTTATTTAAGATAAGTTACGGATAATAAAGAATGGTGAACTAAAACTACTTGCGTAAATTAATAAAAGTGAGTTATTTTGATTGTTTTTTTGCATGTCTTGTAGAATTTACGACTTGTTGTGAATGTACAATTACGATTGTATATTTTGCTCGCTAAAGTAACAAATTATGGCTTTCCAAGTTTAGAAAGATACTTCAATATTGCACGGTTTATTTGTTAATACTTTTAACACTTTTGAATATAATAATTCTTCCTAATTCATTTACTTATTTGGCATGGGGTTTCATAAGTCTAATTTTAATTCTAAATTATTTGGAATGCATTTTTCTTAGTTTTTAGCATGCGGTGGCAAGAATTACAATTTAACTTAAACGACTTTCTAATTTAACACTCATTTTTGTTTCAGTCACTGGGAAACCATGAATTTGACAATGGCGTATCCGGACTTACACCATTTATCGAAAACTTGACTTGTCCTGTATTAGCTGCCAATCTCAATCTCGCCCAAGAACCTATCCTCGCAGCTGAAAAAAACTTAATGAAGTCTACTATATTCAACATAAACGGCACTATGATAGGTGTTATTGGGTATTTAACTCCTGACACTAAAGTTTTAGCTATAAGAAATGACGTAGAGTACATCGACGAGGTTAAAGGTGTAAGACAAGAAGCAGTCAGATTACACAATATTGGTGTCAAGATTTTAATAGCTCTCGGTCATTCGGGATTTGCCACAGACTTAAGAATAGCCAAAGAAACAGAATACCTAGACTTAGTTATAGGCGGCCATACGAACACATTTTTATGGAATGGAACGAGCCCGGATGTAGAAAAACCTGAAGGACCTTATCCTTCATTAGTCAAACAATCATCAGGCAGACATGTGGGAGTAGTGCAAGCGTATGCTTACACAAAATATCTAGGTAAACTCCACTTGACATTCAATCCAGATGGTGAAATCGTAAGCTACGATGGGAATCCCGTACTTTTGGATCAGTCAATCCCACAGGATACTGAAGTCCTAGCAATTGTTGAGAAATACAGTGGCGAAGTAAGGAAGATATCTGACGTTGTTCTTGGAACAACTTCTGTAAAACTAGATGGAATGACGTGTCGCTTAAAAGAATGCAACATGGGAAACTTGATAACAGACGCCATGGTTCATAAATACGCGTCTGAGTACAAGGGACAAGGTTGGACAGACGCACCAATTGCAATAATTCAAGGAGGCGGAATAAGGTCCTCAATAGCTCACATTCAACTTCCTGCAAATATGACAAGAGGTGATCTTTTGACCGTTATGCCATTTGATGGATCTATGACTAAAATAACAATCAGTGGGACCAATATATTTAAAATGCTTGAGCACGCTGTCGCTAACTACAGAGTACTTCGACCTCTAGGGCAGTTTTTACAATTATCAGGGTTAAAAGTTGAATATGATTTTAATAGAAATCCCGGTATGAGACTTGTAAAAGCATTTGCTCGTTGTGGTATGTGTGAAATACCAGAATATTTTCCTGTCAATAGAACAAAGACGTATAACATTTTGGCTCCTTCATTTTTATCTATGGGAGGCGATGGATTTTCTGTATTTAATCATTTGCCTCAGACTCCTTTAAGTTATGACGAATTGAATGCGACAATCGAATACGTTCAAAGTCATAGTCCCATATACACGGCAACGGAAGGGCGTATTGTTTTTCATAATCCACACACAGCCAGCTCTGCATCAGTAGAAAAAATATCGTTGATTCTAGTTTTAGTATATTTAATGTTGCTAAATGTAAATGGTATGCACTGAGCATTTTTTTTTGCTATTTTGCCATTTAAACAATTTTTATTAAAAATAGAATCTCTAGGTACTCTTCAAAAAGTATGAAGTAAAGCACTTCCTCCGAATAATTACTAAACTATTGTAATAAATAAATAATAATTATTTTATAATATTGTCACAAGCACTTGAGCAACCAGCCTAGTACAGGACACCTACATTGTAAGTCTTTTATTAAATAAAAACCGAGCAAGTACAAGTTGTAATACCAGAAAATGTTTAAAGGTCTAATTTATAATTTTGTTTATTTATTATAATTAATTAATATACTTTAAGACGAGTATATTTTTAGTAAGAAGATTAAATATAAGAATAAAGTAAGGTTATATAGTAGATTGAAGGAATTGGTCATATTAAAGATTTTCTAATGATACTACCAACTTCCGCAAGACTTGCATGGTACGAGGAAAAATAAGAGTTCCAGTTTATACAGGTAACACAGTTACGATTTTATAAAATAAAGATGACAAAATCTTGAAGAATATTTATCGAGGACTTGTAATTAACTGATAGCTTTTTTATTCTATTGGATATCACGAATTTCACTACGGCGGCAGTGAACTCATTTTTTTTATAGAAAACATTACCTACATGTCATATCTTAATGACTAAACATGTACTTACTAAAACTGAACTGTTATCTTAATTCAGTTAACTTAAACAACCTTCAAATAATCAACTATACTGCAAGTTTCTGGCAATATAGGTAATTGGATATATAACACTTTTTAAATTAAAGTTCTGACAAAGAAAAAAATTCACAGAAAAAAATAAATGAAGAAGATGTTTGATTATTATTGCTATGGACATGCCAAAAAAACAAATCCCTAAGGAAATTAAAGACTTAGATCTAGTCATTGGTGGTCATAGTCACTTCATTTTGTGCAATAGTACGAGCAGCGCCGGCGCTACTCAATTCGCTGGTGCAACCAATATCCTCTTACTGGGCATGCGACCAAAATGGAATGGTTACAATTATTTACCCCAGTGATCGGAAATTCGGGTTCAAGTGGTGCAATTATAAATAATGTTGGGAACACAGACGTATTATATCTGCGGTTGGAAATCACCAGCCCGTTACTTGCTTACCTACGCTGCGAGAGATACTGGCTCTTCGGAAGCGTCACAAGCAGCGCTCGGCGCCCCTAGACCCTGCACCTGTATGCGCGTAACATCCTATACCATAGGTAAAACCGGCACTGAGTATAAGCCCTGAAAGAAAACCAATTGAGGGACCATATTCTTCATATGATACTAAAAAACCAAGAAAAATGATACCAGTTGTATAATTGTTATACTTTTTGCATACTTAATACACTTAGACGGGATTTTCTACAGTCCTCAAATAACTATTGCAGAGGATTTAGAGATATGTAATATCGTAGAATATTATAGAAGAATTAATTGAATTTATAATCAACAAAGCACTATAATTGGAAGTAGGCCTTCAATCAAATTCGATCAATAATGGTTTTTCACACAGGAATGTAACCTTGAGTATCTACATGATCATGGTTGGCATGGTTTACAAATATGTGAAACAATATTAAAAAAGTAAATGGAGTAGAAGGTAGGTAATATAAAGAAGTGGGATCAAAGTATATGTGGACCGTTCAGTTCTAACAAACATAACGGGATCTCAGTTCAATTCAATTCAATTCTCATGGGCATTTACTCGTTTTCTGGAAATGAAACCGAAACAGAAATAAACGGTTCTGATCTGGTATTATTCGAATGCTTGAGAATTGTAATTGTGAGCATTGTGTTGACTACATATTTCAAAAACAAGACGTATTATACCGTAATATACTCTCTTGCCACAGTTTTCTTGTGCGGGAGGAGCAGGTTTTTCAGTTTTAATACTTGTACTTTAATGTGGTGGAATTATTGATTGTTATGGAAGGTTGTATTGTACAACATGTTAGTGACTGTGTAGGTACCTATAGGTGATCAATATATTTTGATTTATAACTATCAATTTTATTTGTCCCGATCAAAACAAACGACTATTGCTATAACAAAATCAGGGTTCAAAATTATCAAGATAGTTATTTTCTTTGAAAATTATTATAATAAATATCCGATATACATATATATAATAATTATCCATACTGATGCATAGTTTCGTCTCTTTAATTGTTGAATGAAAATGACAAACAGTAAGAAAACTAAATAAACACGAAGAAAAACCTTTAGGAAAAGAATTTCGTTTTTGATATTTCGAAGATTGACATTTGACACATTTGGATACGTCTCGAACACATACCAATTAATTTTATATATACCAAAATAATTATCAAGGGATATTTATCGTGATAATTATCAAAGATAATTATCACTTCAAACCCTGAACAAAATCCTAAGGAACCAAATAACGCACACACACACACGCACACACTCAACATAGCCCCGCACTAGGGAAACCCTGTGTCGCGGGTGCCATGGACACACACATAGACAACCACAAATTACACCCAAACTCACGAGAGAAATAATTGTAGGCCATACAACTATTTCTCCCGGCCCGGGAATTGAACCTGGGACCTCTGCGTGGCAGTCCGGCATGGTAACCGTTCGACCACGGAGGCAGTTAAATAAATAAACCAACATAATTTAATATTATAATATAGATTTTACTAATCAATCATTTTGAATGAACAAACACTAGTAGTACTTGAGTAGTACCTATACATATAGTTAAGAATAATATATAAGTATGTACATCATACAGATTAAAAGTAGGTAGGTACAGGGTCAAGAGCACATCAAGCTTTACACTTAAGACTTAAATCCAACTCTATGCCGCTTACGATAAGAACGGTCCAAAGTACAAAGTGTCGAGTTGATGTGTTCTTGCTGTACCTACAAGATTACAAAAAATATTTTAACATGTTATCAGAAATGTGTCGTGGTAAAAAGATTATAAGACGGAAAGGTTTTTAAGATACGCAATGCAATAGTTGTATGATGTGTAAAACCGTTTGCCAAATTAATAGAATTATTGCATTGTTTTATTAAATATATTTTAAATTTCCCATCATTTGTTTTATTCTTTGAATGTCTCACTAAGGGAACAAACGAAAAATAAGGTAAATTGGAATAACACATCATAACACAAATTTATTTTGAACGACCGAGGTAGCTACTGAAGGAATATTACAAAAACAAGACAATACCTCAATGTAAAATAAGGGACCATTGTTTAATAATTAAATAATAAAGAATGAGGTTATCGGCTCATCAGAAAAAACTATATACAATTGCCACTAAGATTTTGTTGATGTACCTACCTACTTCAGTATTGATCTCAGTACAAATAGTAAGGCACACTGATGCCAAATTCTTTGTTTCAGTCCCTCGGAAATCACGAGTTTGACAACGGCGTCAGTGGACTCACCCCTTTTATAGAAAAATTGAACTGTCCAGTATTAGCAGCTAACCTTATACTAGCCAAAGTTCCTGAATTAGACACTCAGAAGAATTTAAAGAAATCTGTAATTCTCAAAATATCAGGCAGGAAAATAGGAATTATTGGTTACTTAACACCCGATACTAAGTTCGTCGCTATTAAAAATGACGTGGATTTTACTGACGAAATTGTTGCTATTCAAAAAGAAGTCACAAATTTACAAAACGAGGGTGTTAATATTATCATTGCTTTAGGACATTCTGGTTACCTTAAGGACCAACAAATAGCAAAAGAAGTTGAAGGAGTTAATATTGTGATTGGTGGACACAGTCATTCGTTTCTTTGGAACGGCACTGTGCCTGATTTAGAAGAACCTGAAGGTCCATATCCAACGTACGTCAAACAAGCCTCAGGAAAAATTGTACCAGTAGTGCAGGCATATGCTTACACAAAATATCTTGGTAAGTTGTACTTGGTGTTTGATGCCAACGACGAGCTAATTACCTCGTCAGGTGCCCTCATTCTTCTCGACAATACCATTCCTGAAGATCCCGAAGTCGCGAAAATGTTAAATGTCTACGAAGAAAATGTTGATAACGTCGCAAGTGAAGTGGTAGGAAGCACAACCGTCAACCTTGTAGGTGAACATTGTAACAAGAAAGAATGCAATCTTGGTAATTTAATATCAGATGCAATGGTTTATCACTATGCAGCGCAATACGACGGTGAGCATTGGACAGATGCTCCAATAGCCCTTTTACAAGCTGGATCGATACGAGCTTCAATAGTACATACCCGATTACCTGCTGATCTGTCTGTGGGAGATTTGATAGCAGTCATGCCTTTTAAGGGTCCATTGGCGACAATAAAATTAAATGGCAGTACACTCCTGCAAGCTTTGGAGCATTCCGTGGCAAACTATGAAGAGCCAAGAGCAAGAGAGTTCCTGCAGCTTTCCGGGTTAAAAGTAGTATACGATTATAATAAACCTGTGGGTTCTAGGGTCATCAAAGCATTAGCCCGGTGCTGGGCGTGTCGCGTACCAGAATATTTTAATGTTGAAAACAAGGAGGTTTATAAAGTAATATTGCCCTACATCATTGCTCAGGGTGGCGATGGCTTTTCGATGTTGGCAGATCAACCAGGACATCCGTTGCCTTATAATGAACTTAATAGTACAATTTATTACGTTAAGAAATATAGTCCCGTGTGCCCAGAATTAGAAGGTCGAATCATAATACACCACAAAAATCTACACAAAGGTTCAGCTATTTTAGCACCGTCCTTACACTTATTATTCCTATGGCTAGTTCTATTAATTTGATTAACAATTGAAATCAAATAAAGTACAATTACTGCGCCTTATCAACTAATGTTCTTATTTATATTTAGCATTCAACTACTTACTCTTAAACATGAACAAGAGGTACGTTTGTTGTATTGTCTATTTGTTGTTAACTGCCTCCGTGGCCGAACGGTTACCATGCCGGACTGCCACGCAGAGGTCCCAGGTTCGATTCCCGGGCCGGGAGAAATATTTGTATGGCCTACATTTATTTCTCTCGTGAGTTTGGGTGTAATTTGTGGTTGTTTATGTGTGTGTATGTTGATTGTGAGCGTTATTATTAAAAAAAAAAAAAATTGTTTTATCTTAATAACTACATAGGTACCTACGTAAGTAATACAAAATTTGTAATTTAAGAATTAGGATGCTAGAAAGAGGATTGAAGAGCAGCTGGCTTTATAATCATTTTCCCAACATACTGAAATTGCTCAAGCTCTCTATATTCCATCCAAAATAGTATAACAAGTAATTTTATTAAATTAATCATATTGTTTCCTCCGGACGAGTGTATGGTATTTAAACTTACGTTTCACTATTTTTAAAATATACATTCGATTTTATACCATTTTATATTGCTGTTTTTCTTTTGAATTAACTGCATTTATAATATAAGTTCCTAAAATTTCAACAAAGTGTAACTAGAGTGTAAACAAAACTTTTATGTTTTGTTTACACTCTAGTTTTAAGTATTTATTATATAAAGTGTAAAAAAGTTTCGAACAATAAATACCTACATCACAGTTTGTTAGTTTTAGTTCACCTTGCTAGTTGTACTACTTATGTTTTAAATATTTCTAATAATAAAAGACAGATCCTTTCCCACGAAATATTACATTTATAGGTGTATTTACTGTTTCCTCAATTATTAAATTTAATTATTCAACTATTAAATTAATAACGTTTAGTAGATACTCTACTTACGTTTAACACACACTCTTACTTATTTAATAAAGTCGTACCCTTGGTATAATAAAGCCACATGTGATAATAATACGTCAAAAGTACTTTAACCATAGATTTTTTAACCCATGAAAGTGATAAAAATAATACCAATGACATGAAACAAATTATGTATATTATGTTAAATTTTACAACTCCTATTTAGCATAAAAAAGTTATAGACTAAAAATCTTTAATTGAAATATAGCTCCTGAAAAGTTGTCATTTTGCAAATGTGGCCTTATTACACTAAGGGTGCGAAGGAAGTGACGGCATTCGAAAGTAACATTTTTAGGAAACTGACAAAATAGATTAAAAATATAACGTATACAATGATCGTATGAATCATAGATTTAGTATTGTATACTAAATCTGTGGTATAACTAGTGTTACTCAATTCTGTTTCATATGAAAAAGAGATATAATCGTACAATGTTTTATATAAATGTAAAATTCTACTTTTCAAATTTCGCACTTCATTATTGAGGGCGCAATTTGATGAACGAAACTTTATTAATTTTACGTAGTATAAATAATTTCATATTTAATACCACTTCTACCAAAACCAGATAAATCAAAAATAAGGATGTGAAAAAGTCAGGTATCACCACATCTACCTATGTTAATAACCTCCAAATATTTATTCGCACAAATGTTTAAAATATTCAACTTAACTTTCATTTCAGTCTCTCGGAAATCACGAATTCGACGAAACCGTAGAAGGACCGGAAGGCGTCGTGCAATTCATCAAAAATCTATCAGCACCAGTGCTAGCAGCTAACCTCATCCTCGACAAAGTACCTGAATTGGCCACCGAACACAATCTATACAAATCTATTGTCTTAAATAAGAATCACAATAAAATCGGCATTGTAGGCTATCTCACACCAGATACCAAATTCCTGGCACCAATAAACGACGTGGAATACGAAGACGAAATTGTAGCCATACGCAGGGAAGTATCCAAACTGAAAGGACAAGGTATCAACATCCTCATAGCTTTAGGACACTCTGGTTTCTTAAAAGACAAGGAGATAGCAGAAAAAGTTGAAGATATTGATTTAGTAATAGGAGGCCACACAAACACTTTTCTCTGGAACAGTAATACCACTGATGAGATACCTGAAATCGTACAAGGACCATACCCTGATATTGTAGTTCAACCTTCCGGGAGAAAGGTGCCAGTAGTCCAAGCATACGCCTACACGAAATACATGGGAAAACTACATGTGATTTTCAACTCAAAAGGCGAAATCGTACATTATGACGGCACACCAATTCTTTTAAATCAAAAAATACCAAGAGATCCAGAGATATTACAATTAGTTAAGAAATACAGAGACAATGTCAACATAGTAAGTAACGAAGTGGTCGGAAAATCTATGGTATTACTAAATGGTGAAGAATGCAGAGTTAGAGAATGTAATTTAGGAAATCTGATAAATGATGCAATGTTGTTTTATACAACAATGTACGGTAACGCTAATCCACAAATAGCTATTACTCAAGGTGGAAGAATAAGAGGATCCATATTTCGACCAGATAAGCCACCGTTTAATGTAACTAGAGGAGACTTGATAGCTGTGTTACCATTTTCAGACACATTGACCATTTTGACAATGAATGGTACTATATTATTGCAAGCATTGGAACACTCAGTAGAGGACTGGCAGCCTTTAAATGCTCCAGGACAATTTATTCAATTTTCAGGAATGAGAGTTAAATTTGATTTAGCTAAACCACGAGGCTCTCGTGTTGTGGAAGCTAAAGCAGTTTGTTCCAATTGTGGCGATACAAATATGATTGGTATACGAAGGGAGTATGAGTACAAACTACTTACTTCAACATTCTTGGCGGACTCTGGCGACGGTTATACAATGTTTCAAGAACTTCCAAAAGAAACGGTTCCTTTTAACGAAGTAACAGCTATACTCGCATATTTAAAAACTTACAGTCCTATCAATCCTACTTTAGATGGTCGTATCACTCTTCTTAATGAAAATTACGTAAATAACTCGAGAGGTGGTAGAATTCTGAAACCAAATACGAGTAATGTCGTTAAATTAAAACCATGTTTAAACTTTGTTTCAGTTCTGTTTATAATTTTGTATCAATTTAAATAATTTCTAATACTTAAAATGCAGACAAGTTAAGTTTTGTTACGCACAATTGGAAACACTTTATTAACAACTCACCATCGTTACACATAATCCAATATCCTCAAAATAAAAAATAGTTATTATGGGTACTTAATTCATTTATTTAAAATTGTTTTCATAATATAACAGTTTGAAATAACATTTGTATTGCAAGGCCCTAAACAGTATTTTATACTTTATTCACTTAGTTAATATGAAAATATTTGTATAACGTTTAATTAAATTGTCGCGTAATTTATAAATTTTATGGCCATATTTGTCTAGGTTAAAAAATATCTGTTATATTTTTTAACAATGTGATATTTGTAAGTGACTATTATAAAAATACATATTATTAAATATATTCAAGACTATATTTTTAATACTCACATTTTGTAAAAAATAATAACAATCGTATATTATTTTGTAGTTTGTAGTATGAAAATTAATTAAATTATTCACAAATAAATGTTACATAATTATCGTCAGCTAAGTTTGTAAACCTCGTAACATCCATCAATGTGAACTTTTGATTAAACACAGAAAACAGTTACTGGAATTTTTTTTCTTATAATATCAACCAAGTGACGGGACGAAGGAGTCGTGCGTCTGGTGGTAAGCGACACGCTTATCAATAGCAGAAATTATAAGGCAATCTATGATTATACCTTAATTTTATAACTTAAAAAGGGTCTACAATAATATTTTATGCAATTGTTGCATAATGAGGGCAACAAAGGTTGGGCTGGTTGCAAGATCTTTATGCCAATGTAACTAATCAGCAGCACAGCGTTTGAGTAGCGTCATATATGATATATTATAGCAAAAATATGTTCATTTTTGGAACTCTACACTCATTGAAGTACTGTGTACAGAAGTTTAATGCAGACTATGCTTAGTGAATTAGTTTAATGAAATTTAGTTCAGTAGTGAGTACCATAGACAATAGAATTTTAATTCAGAACTAAAAAGAGCGCCTTTAGTACATGGTTTAAGAAATTGTAATTGACATTAAAGTACTGGAGTAGAAAAATTAAATTTTAAGTTAGCGCTTGAAGAGTAAAAAAGTTATTTCGTACAAAAACAGTGTTACATGGTTTTAAAATTTAGCCGACGATATTATATTTATTGTTTATTTAATTTAAAATAGGCACACCATTACTTATCCTAGTTTCGGATTTCCATAATTAATTATCATCATTGTAAGGGATACTAAAATAAAAAGCATATTATTAATCCGCTTTTGGCGGCATAGCATTCCATTGCACTAAATTACTATACCCATAAGGCAATAATCCCTCGAAAATTGCAAGGCACTGTTTCAAAGCCTCCTGGCAATCAGAAAGTTCCCTGCAAGGGCAATAAGGTTCTAACTGCTCTATTAATTGACATAAAGGTTTAAATAGTTGCAATGCAGTGTCTTGGTCTCCTTTTTGTAGATTCTCGATGGCTTCAGAGTTCAAAACCCTTTGCGTACGTTTGATGATGTCTAAGGGAAGATTTTTGGACGGTTTCATAGCGAGGTAAGTAGGCCAGTCATTTATGCAAGCTTCGCAGGTACAAGTAAACTTGTATTGGAATTTGAGAGATTCTTGACGTATCTTGCGACCTTGAAGTGCGTGATGTGACCTGTAGGAGAGATTGTTAAAGATTAAATAACATTAAGGAATAAATAAAACGTAAAACATCAATGACAACAACTGTCACTTTTCAAAATTGTTTTAAATGCTATGACTGAAATAACACACTGAATGACTTTAGGTGTAATTTTCAACAAATAAGTTTGTGAGATTGTTTATCTGGTGATGTGGCCCGCAATACCAGAAGTATAATAATAATAATAATATGTCATATAATAAATAACAGTAATATAATGTGCCAGACAAACACCAATTACCTGGTCTCAAACTAGTACCACAAGTACCACGGGTACAGAATTTACTACCAGGCACTACCCACCGACCTAGACCAGGACCAATTTAGAAAGGTGTTTTCCCACATGAATCTTACTAGAAATCGAATCCAGGAGCTCCTGATACCACGACCACAGCACAAACTGTTGGATATATTTATTGAACAAAGGTCACACAGAATATTATGTACAGAAACTGTCTCAAAATGTATTCATAATCAGGTATTTACCCATAGTTATCAAACAGCTGCATCCCCTTCTTAATTGGCCTTAGAGAAAACAAAGTCATATTTCCAGTTCCCAATTTTCCAAATCGTACAACATTTGGGGAGCAAGAATGATTTAATAAACTGTGGTAAGCATATGGAGCACTGGCCAAGCTAATCTCTTCCACAAAATTACCATCAGCAGTCTCAATATTTGTACTCAGCCCATGCATGTTTGTAGGGCTAGTCATTATGTGCAGTAGTAACATTCCTGCTACACATCTACGTATTTTCTCTTCATCATTTTCATTTCCATTTAGAAAATCAGTTTTGGTTGCTAACAAATGGAGAAACACTGCTGCAGAAACTGATTTCTGAAAAATATCAGAGATAGACCTTCTTTCAACATTCGAAGCCAATGTGTGTATTGAAGTGTAAAATCTAGAATCATAAATCCATTGGCCATCTATGTGGACATGGCCTCTGAACTCAGTATTTAAGTTAGAATCAGCCTTCTGAATAGTTTTAAATACATCATCCCAACATAAATGATCTTTTCGGGCTTTAACAACGGTTCTAAAGGCGAGAAGCTCCAGTTTGGTGAACTCCATATGGATCAAAGTAGGCATAAGAACACATTCAGCTGAATGATAATCTTTCCAAGCATTCTTCCTACATGCTGGGCTGCAGTAAAGAGCAAAGCAACAGTTTGTACATGGCAACAAATTACAATTTCTAGATAAACAGTAACTGCAACTGAATAAGTACTGATCTTTCAGAAGAAGAGTAAAGTATGGATTTTCTTGTACTAAAACTTCACCAACTTTTATGTCATCTTTAGCTATCACATGACGTCCCATTTCCTCACTGAATACAACCTCCAGTTTTGAACTAGCGCATGGATACCTTGGGTCTTTCGGACCTTGCAATGTAAGAATGTTGTTAATATCTGCATTGTTTGTATCATTTGCTTTTTTATCATTTGCTAAATATTCCACACATGATACCAATCTTTTACTCAGTTTATCTTTTAATTTTTCAGGATATTTGATTGAAAGAATATCCTTGACGTCTTGTAAACATTCTCTATATTTCTTTAGTGAGTAAAAGACAGCAGATCTATTAGACAATGCCAAACAGTAGTTTTCTGATGAAAATGGTGCAAAGAGCAGTGACAAATTGTAGTATTGCCAAGCTCTATAGTCATCTTTGTTTTGGAAGCATTGGTTGCCATAGTTACGGTAATAGGTTGATACATTCTCAGTCTTAGAGACTTCTAATGGTGTAGGCAGAGCTTGCAAGCTTTCAAGAATATTATAAACATATAACACCCTATCATCATTGGTTGTTAAAGATAATAGCTTCTGTGATATTGACAGTATTTTGCCTTGTGTTCTCAATTTGGCAATTACATCTTCATAGCAGGAGTCAATACTCATTTTGAAGAGAATTAAAGTTGTTGATTAGTGTCCACGCCAGTCATACAAGGATAATCACAATGTCGCACTTTGCAACACCTTTTATAGTGGTGAATTTGGGCTGTGAGATGATTTATGTCATTGACCAGAGGCTGAAGGCACAGAATATCGGCTTAGACAAATCCGAAAGAGGTTAGTTACTGAGCATCTGTAATTAAACAAAAAAGTCATTCTTATATGTATATATTACACATTACATTATTAAATAATAATTATCTCAAGACGTTACTAAATAAATTCAAAGTACATTACATACAGGCTATAAACATACTATCAACAATAGTAGTGTTAGATAAAAAGGTCTGCAGCTCAACAAAATAGCGAATTACAGAGCCACTAATTTTCAGTGATAGTTCTGCCATATTTAAAAAGAACTAACACACAAATATTTCCAACTGAGTTCCAACCTTAAGATCCGTAATAAATTAATTAATTAATGAGTCAGCCGTGACCATGGGATCTGTAAAGGGCCCGAAACGTTGCTTTGTTTGAAAAAAAATAAGCTATGTAAATCCGAAAAGTTCCATTTCATAATTTAATTGCCAAATTATATAAAATAAATATTATATAACATTAATATCGCAGAGCAATCACCACATGATATTGAAAATTATCGATATCTACAAAGAGGATGTAATTGAGTAGTCTGTTTTATTTTAGTACTTACAGACATCGTTACTGTGCTGCTCCACCCCAAATTACTGGACGAGCTATTTATACCGCAACCGGTGGCCACACACGCTGTAATCAAACAACTGCTTCAGGACATTTCCGCAACCTCTATCATGAAGTTAGACGACTACTCCATGAGTAAATTATGGGATTTAATGACCATGATCTTCAAATGGCAACTTTCAGTTGCAACAAATCAAAACATTTTTGACATAAGCCACCGACATCTAAAATGTGTTGCCAATGTAGTGCCGCAACATTTTTCGAAATTCATCCTTGAACAGGCAATAAAACGATTCGAATCATTAGCTCAACGATTTACTAATGATGATTATAAGTGTTTACACAACACATTGATTCTATGGTTTTCGGAATATCACAGTAAGATTTCAGTATTACTTCGCTTGAGACTACAAAGGAAAGATGGCACCTTCAGTTTGCCAGCCACTGTTGATCCAAAAGTTTTACAAAACTTAGGAGAAAACATTTACAAGTATGACAATAAGAAAAATCCTATTGAAGAATATGAAAGTCGTTGTGCTGATACAAATGAGATCAGCTGCCTTCTTGGGTCAATCGAGAAGGCTTCTTCAAAACCAGCAGTCATAGAATTACAATTACCGATTCAATTTGGAAGCGAAGGTAAAGAGAAGAAAACAATGGAATTAGCTCGAGACACGCAATTCGAACCAATTGATACAAACATTAAAAATAAATATAATAATGACCTTACATTTACAGCCGCAATGCCTAAGACAACACAAGAGGACTTGTTAGAAATGCTGGAAGATATGTAAAAAATTAAATAACTCACAATAATAATCAAAACGCGATTAAAACTACCGTCAAAATTCAAAAATTCCAAAATAGTAACATTTGTCAAACTTAATTACTTGTTTAACACCGTCAATTCCCGGAATCACAGACCATTTTCCGTGCCCCGAACATTCGGGTTCTCTATCTCTAGGATTTTTTTTGCGTAGACAGAGTATTTTGGTACTGTTTTTTTTTTCCATTGTTGTGGCAAAGGCACTTATACACCATACAGCCAAGACTTGAATTCCTTTTTTTAAGAATATTTTTTTTATAAATATTTATTATAAATAATTTATAGTATGGACAAAAAAATGCGCTTCCATTCCATTCTATGGCAATGTAAGTTGATACTTGAGAGGAAAGAGGTTACATTTTCACGCCTAAGCCGCTGAACCAAATTTAATGAATTTTGGTATAGAGATATGGGCACGGACCTACTTTCAGGCGAAGGTTTAAGCCATAGTCCGCCACATGCGAGTTGGGGGACTTCACAGGTTTTCCGAGAATTGTGAACTTTCTACGATGTGCAGGTTTCACCACATTTTCCTTCACCGAAAAGCTAATGGTAAAATTCAAATTTAAATTTCGCACGTAAATTCCGAAAAATCCTGGGTGCAAGCCCGGATTCGAACCCACAGCCTCTGCTTTAGAGGCGGTAGGTCAAACCATAAGGCTATCACGGCTTCGCTGAATATAAATGATTGATACTACTGTTATTTCTATAAATGTGGAATATTAATAGAGGTAATGAATTTAAAATATATGTAGAAAGAAATAAAAGTGTAATCTGAAACAATTTCCCCCGTTCCAACGATTAAATTTCTATCCTAAGGTTACGTAGACGAAATTGCTATTTAGTAATAAGGCCGCCTATTGTGCATTATCTTACTCTGTAATACATTACTGTTGTGTTGTCATTGTAATTTTTAATGTACAATAAAGAATATTTCATTCATTCATTTCCTTTTCCTCCTTTTTCTGGTAACCAACGTCTAGGTATATAATATTGTCAATAACCAATAAGAAAATAACTTTTTAACCGAGTTCAAAAAGGAGCAGGCCTCAATTCGACTGCATTTTTTGTGTATGTTACCTACGCGATTACTCCGGCCGATTTGTGAACCGATTTTGATGATTATTTTTTGTTAGAAAGAGGGTACCTCAGTACTGCCGTCGTAACGAAAAAAGTCACAACTATGCGTACTTTACAGCAGTTGTGCATTTTTTCGTTCTGAAGGCAGAGTATTAGTCCCATTTAAAATTGAAGAAAAGATTCTACCTCTAAGGGTATTAACCTATGGGATGAAGCCAGCTTCGCGAATTTCTGGTATCCGATTTCAATAAAACTTGGCAAATAGATGTAGTTCCACGAACATTTAAGGTCAGTTTTTTTTATAAAAAGTTATAATTTACAAATTAACTAAGTAGCAATACTTTCGGAGGATACAAAAAAATATTAAATTACGAAAATAATTTATTCACACTATTCACTAAGCAACATTTACAATTATGCATATCTTTACAAAAGTACAACAAACCCATGTTTTTATAAATCTTACAATAATATGAGTCGGTCTGTCCACATACAAAGGTACCGATTATGTTCATCGGTCATGCGCTCCTGATTGGCACAGTTCTAATTTAACAAATGTAAAAATTAAATGGGCCCAAACATACAAAAGGATAAATTATGTAACATAAATGTCAGCACGAATGTTTTACTTTTCCATTCAAAATTAAATTGACATCTTTCTCACATTCTTTATCGGTAATGTTAGAGAAAGAGGAACAAAACAGAATTTATGGGCTATTTTTCATTAAACCAAATCCTCTCAACACCATTCTAATCATTAGAACGAAAAACATTTTATTATACAGCTTTTAGATATTCACATTATTTTTCCATATAATAGTCGACCGAATGGGACGTTAATAAACTTGTCTGACTTTTTAAGTAATAAAACAAAATTTGTTTATGTTAATGAGGATAATGAAGAGTAAAGGTTTCGGGTTTTTTAAAAATATTTTTTATAATATCAAGCGACCGGACGAACAAGTGCGCCTGATGGTAAGGTACACGCCTGTCCATAACAAAAATAAACTTTTCACTTCTCATGCTCTTAAAGTCAGTACTTATGCAGGGTGTAGGCTGCATATAAAAGGATTTTATGCTCTAATGCATAAAATTGGATTTTATTTTTTTTTTATTTTTTTATTTAACCATCCCATTAAATATGTCTAATTGTTGTAATTTTACATTCAATTTTAATTAAACAATCGTTTATTTGTAATATTGCTGTTTAATTTCTTCGCAATCGAAGTGAAAAGCAGAGTTTATAACTCGTTCATAAAACTCATTTTACCCTTGACTTAAGTAAAATTATATACTGACGGATATACTCGTCTCGGGTTAAATGACGCGTTTTATGCACTTGTTGTACATACAATCTACTATTAAATAATAGGCCCTTGTGCAATCGATACCGATTGAAATGAACGCTTATAATCGCCGTCATTTAAGTTACATTCCACGAAAAAGTCGTGACGAGATCTTACATGACTATAACTTTCTCTTCTAGTTTTACATGGAAGTGGAAAAATGTTAATTATTATTACTACTAGATAAGGCGATTATCACACAGTTCCGCGCCAACGGTGTACGAAGCTGCGTTTTTTAACGTTGTACCAAAGTATCTCAGTTTGTGTAGAAAACACGCGTCGTACAACACACTGACAACGCGTCTCGCTCAACTGAGTGCGGGGCGCATGATCCGTCGTCCCACGCATTTCGCTGCGTGGTGCGGGGCAGTGTGATAATCGCCTAATAAAGAACTGACGGAAATGATTATATTTGTAATGTCTGTTTGTACATACATCAATATTTTAATCAAGTCTTAATGACTTCATTGTTTGTTTAATTTGTTTCTCAAAAGTAGAAATCATGTCTTTAATCAGATATGTAACACAATCATGTTTCAATAAAGATATTTAAAACCATCACCAGTTTATACATGAATTTTCTAAAGACAAATTTTCCAATGAACTTAAATAAATGCGATTGTTTCCATGACAACTGCAGTACTTCACAAATCTAAAAAATACAACATACAGAACACACTATCTGTAAAATTAAATTAATTCACGCATTAAGCGTAAGTAACAGACTGGATACGATGCTTACATTCTAAGGTCATCAGTAATCACAGCAACATTAACAACAAAATGCATTATTTTCTAGAATACCAAGTTATACCTAATGTGTAGCAAAAACTTCTCGGCCGTCATGAGAAAATGGACAAACTGAATGTGTTATACAAAAAGAGCTTGACAATTTTATCGATGATTTCCTTTAAAAAATCATCGAAAATGGTAGTATAGCCTGCTATAACAGCAATTGATTGAAATGATCACTTATAAAGTCATCGTCCATATGGGCAAAACCGGGTGGGCTGAGCGACCGCCCACGCGGACGCATCGGTGTGCTCATCACGGAAAGCCGAGCCATATCTATTAAACCCGGGAACGGACTTTGGAATCTGGAAACATGGAGGGGAAAGGTGGAAACTGCAGGGTAAGTGGGTGGCAACTTCAAAAATCGTATTTTGTTGGATTGAAAAAATGTAACTAAACTCAAAAACTCCAGACCTATTGCTATTAAATGATGAAAAAAATTTGTAATCGTTTCTTTCGTGTCATTGATAATTAAAAAAATACGACTCGGGAAGTTGTGAAATTATGCCTATTGGTAATATTTTAAAGGAAAATTACAAGATGTGAAATTTTTCTTTACACTTTTACACCATTTTTATACACATTTCGAACCAAATGATTCTAGACGCCTAAAATAACAGTATATTCATAGTCGAATTCTCAATCTTTCCGCTACCTAAAACACATTCTTAACTATATCACAATTCAATAAAGGAGCCCGCAAGTAGTACAAGCGATGTGCTAGGAAGTAACAGTCTAATCTGATAGTCAATATGACTTTCAGAATTAAATATCCTTTAAATTTCATAACCCATTCAATTTATTTAAATTTCTCAGAAAATGTTCAGACTCATATTTCATAATGAATTTAAAACTACAGACTACAAGGGCAGATTCAACTAATTTCAGCAATAAATAACTGTCTCTTGTATCAGTCATCAGGTGAAACTGGTAAATTTTACCTTTTTTTAATTTAAAAATTAAAAAATATTTATTCCATCATTATATCCTATTTAATAAACATTCGTCAGGCAGATTCCACCAAGAAGTGCGTGTAAAAACGTCATAGGTTCCCCTTTCAAATCATGTTGTTCACAAGCCCTTACAATTTTTAAAAGAACCACCTTTTGTACAGTCAATGCCCTAAAATACCTGACCCCCTAACCGACTATTTAGTTCTGAGTAGAGATGGGAAAAACTGTTTATTTTTTAAACGTTACATTGTACTTTTTTTTTAAAAGTGTGCTTTTGTAAACGCTTTTCACTTAAACACTTTTTAGTTTAAAGTTTACAAAATTGTTTAGAAAAATATTATAATATGTTAAAAAAAGCTTGCAATGTTTTATTGATAACGAAAAGTAAGAGCAACCACTGAAGGTTTAAAGATAAGTAAGTTTATTTGTAAAACTTGAGTTTTATTTTCATTTTTAAAATTATTAACATTGATGAATTAATTTGGTTAGGAAACAGATGTCGGGACTGAAAACATAAGCACGTTGTAATTGTTGAGTATTGAACTGACCAACGCTTTCGCTTAAATTGAAAAGTGTTTTTTAAGTACTTTTCGTTTAAACGTTTCGTTAGTTCTGAATGGATCAGTGCGAAAAAAAATGTTAAATAAACTTAATCTCTAAAATTATTTTGATATGACTTCCTTCTTGGATCATTAGTGAATGACGTTTTAAGAAACTTTTTAAACTGATTTGATCTTTAATTACGTTACACAAATACAAATTTTAAACAAAAATTGGGATTCCTTTATACTTATGTATTGAATACGTAAGAAGGGTCTCAGAAGAAAAAGGTCCACTAGGGGGTCTGGTATCTTAGGGCATCGACTGTACTACCTTAAGAACTTGATTGGTTAGGTAACTGGTCAAATGTATTAAACATTGCCTACTAGACTAATGATTTATCGGGCTGATTCTCCTGAGAGTAATGAATAAAACATTTAAAAAATAACATGAGTAGAAAAGACCTGATCCGAGATTTTTGTCATCCAAGTAACCGAAAATTATTTAATAACATTATGTATTAAGTTTTTGTTTCCCTACAGCTTTAAACTTATATAGTATGTGGAGTTGTGGTTAATTACGTAGTCAACTTTTTAAACTATAAATTTTAACGCTATAATACCAATAAATGACTTAAGACAAAATTTTCTACAATGCTTGTTTTACGTGTCCTGCCTGTACATAATTAGTTGCAAAAGGTATTTAAATATAAAAGATGAGAAACTAGGACCATATGCACTCGCTTGATACAGTGAACTCCTTAACAGTGCAGGAAAGTTACGTTGGAAATTCGACCCTGATTTAAGGACCTTTCAAAAAATACGTCACTTTCATATGGGGTACAGAAATGTAATACAGTGCCCAGAGGTAGTGGCAAGTGTGACTAGGTCGAATGTGACATGAAAGAGAGAAGGGTCCAAAGCCCGCGTTTACGTGACGTAATTTATTGATAGGATCTTTGACACGATATCACACAACGCTGCATTTTAATACTATCAATTTGAACAAAATTTTTGGTACATAAATGCTTGGTAGTGCAAAACAGCGTCATGCAATATCATAACTATTTAAAAATACATACTAATCACAACTGTGACCTCTAAGCTAAATATGTAAGTGAATGTAGGGCGTTTATCCAAGTTTCATACGGATATTTTACATGGACACAAATATTTCGGCACGTATATATAAAGTGTAATACAATACTTTGAATAAAATTGTTCTGTTTTCGTTCTACGGATACGGATCACCATAAGTTTTTAAGAATCGGAAAAAATACTTCCTGTACACTCGAGTCACATCTAAAGATACACAATATGTCAAAATTCTTTCTTGACAACTTTTCTTTACATCATTTTCATAGCGTTCTAATTCATATTTAAAACAAGCGATGGTATATATAGCTTAGTCTGTGGCTCAGTGTACGCGTAACTCATTTTAAATACTACGATAACTTGCGAATGGTCCTATTCTTACATCTACAAATTATAAAGCCCAGTGAGGGTTAAAAACACAAAAAAGTTCAAATAACACTAAAACACTTACTTAGATGAGTAAAATGAGATTATCACTGCTATAGAAACCTTGAATGCATCCGTGTTGAATTAGGCGAGAAACTGTTATCTGGTAGGACACTAGCATCGCCGTATACGGGCACTGAGGGGCCGGATGATGCGTATGGACTGCGGGCCCACGTACGTGAACGGTTGAGGGGCGGGGTTGACTCAGGAGGTAAAACTGACGGAGGCGGCTCTTTGTTAAGTGTGATGTTGGACTTTTGTTGCATTTTTGTTTGTACTGCAAAGATAAAGCTGTATTATTAGTACACATATGACATTCTTTTTAAAATGGGAAGTCTTAGGACATGGTTTTCATGCAAGTTTTTAATCTTCAATTATTTGCACGTTCTTAAAGTTCACATATATTTAAGAAAACAGTTGGAATAGAGTTTGACTTATGATTTCAGTGGCAAAGATTAAAATATAATAAGTACGATTGAAAACGTTTAGGTAAAGTAATATCCTAATAAACCTGTTACAATTCTTATTGTCTTCATTAAAATATTAAAATAAAAACTTACAAAATAATAATCCCGCAGCGACCGCGGCGATGGACACGAGAGTCGTAAGGTAAGGCATCATAAGCGAAATCACAGCTCCCAGCAACGTTCCGCATGTCATGTCACATTCTCTGTCCACTTCCACCCTTACATCCTGTGCAGTCAACTTCGATTTTACTATCACCCAGCCAATACCACATGCGACAACTTCAGCCTTCACTAATACATTTATTTCGTTCTCCTTTACGTTAGGTTCGATCTTCAGTCCGGGTGATACAGCATAACGTATGCTTTTCAAGGCTAAAGGATGTCCGGTTATACTGAAAATTGGGTTAGCTTCTCCTAGTGACAGCGTGTTTGAAGAGACTTTTATGGGTGGTAAGACTAATACTCGTGTACATGTACGGTAGACATCCCATTCCGCGCATAGTTCTACTTCGGAAGCTTCTGTTATTGGTGATGTTGGGATTATTGAACAGCCGAGCTGACCTGAGAAAATCATAAATTAAAACATATAAATATCTAAGATGACTGCACAATCTAGAATTTAAATATTACTATATGAATGTTCGTTGATTTTTAGTTGAAAAAAAAAAGGGGAAAAAAGATATTAGTAGCAGTAAAGTTCCTTGTGAAAGTGTTGGTCCAGGGTAGTACTACCCTCCCCCCCGTCTTTGCTCACCTTGTCGCGGTGGGGCTCAGTAGCTGCAGGCAAACCAGCCTGTAGTGAAGCTAAGAAGCAAACGGAGGGCCCTTCCGCATGTCCCTCTGATCAGCAGAGGGCATAGCGGAGAGGCCAGGCGGATGCTCAGTATGAGTGTTTGCAGGTTCGTTGTCGCAAGATACGCCCACTAGATATGGTGGGTACCGGTTAGCCGGGGCGGACCAGTGAATCGGAAGAGTAGAGCATACACATATGCTCTTTAAGCAGAAGGTAATGCCTTTCGCTTTGCGGGACGCGTCGGTTTCTAGACGGACTGTGGCCTCAGCCAACGGCGGGCAACCCGTAATCCCACATTGAGCGGGACCGGGGGTCCTTCTCTTACAGAGGAGGGCCGCGAGGAAGACAACCTCTCTAAAAATTACCACAATCTCAAGTTCCGGCGCTCGGCGATGGGATGTATGGCTGGAGGGTATCGAGTCAATAGAGCGCCCCCCCTATGGGGAGGTAACCCCTTTTTAAAAACCATGAACAAGGCAAGTTTGGAAAATGATCCCCAGGCGGGCCCCCGAAAAGGGGAATCCCGCCCATCCGCTTCGGCGGATGGCAGCCCCTCGTACTCTGGGGGGGGGGGGCAAAAACTGCCTCGTGAGTCAGCGGGAAGCCGACTCCCGTAAACACAACCTGGCATTGAATAAGGATACGAATATTGAACAAGTTGCGGTTATAATCGACCAGATGGCAGTGTCGGAGACCACGGAGGAGTCCGCTACCACCATCGACATGGACAGAGCCGCAGTGGTGCAAGTTGCGCGCCTGCCGTGGTCTAGGGAAAGTCACCAAGAGATTATAGGCTCTCGGCAGGATCTTCGATCGGACTCGGACACGAGTATACAAACGTCGGCATCAGAGCGGGCATCAGATACTACGAACCGCTTTTGGAGCTCTAAAAAAGGAAGGAAGCGACAAAGATGCATATCTCCTACAGCATCTTCTAGTAATGGAGAGCAGAGGGTGAATCCATTACCATCCAAAGAATATCTGGCTCAAAAGCGTAATGAAGCACGTTTGAGGGCCGAGATTGAAATTGAGGAGCAGGCCCAAGCTGTTAGTGCAAAACGGGCTACTCTAGGGCGTCAAGTAACAGCACAAGATTGTGACTCACGGACGGCTGCCGCTTTGAACAAGCAAGTTGTAGATGATGTTGACATCATACTGAAAGTGGCGACCAAGTCGAGGAACCTAAAGGGCACGTTTCAACGTGCCCTGAAGGACGCGACAGAGTCCATCAAGACAGCAGTGGAGGCTCTACACAATAGATCCTCCAATGAAGAGACGGCTAAACTACAGGCTGACAATGAGCATCTGCAGAGAGAAGTGACAGAACTTCGCAGGGAATTAACGGAACTCCGTAAAGAGCTGCGGGATGTCCAAAAGAGCTCGGTCCCTCAATCTCCTGCTCAGCCATCGTCACAACGAGTGGAGGTGTCAGAGTCGTTGTGTCCGCTGGATAGTGGGTTCGTGGAAGAGCTGACACGCTCCGTAATGATCCAAGTTGGAGGTATGGTGAGTGCGAGACTGGAGACACTGGAGGAGAGACTGCTTCCTGAAAAACGCCTTCGCCCGCCACTCGCAGCTGATCAGAGGCAGGGAGTGGTGCCAGCTCATTCAAGGCACCATCCAGTGGCTGGAAGTTCAAGGAAAACAGTAGACCTTAGCGGCCAGAAAATAACTAAAGGAAAGGCCTCTAAAGGTAAAGCGGTAGGAAAGGTCCAGGTAGCATCAGGTCCTCCAACAAATAAAGGGGCGAAGGACCCTTTGAACCAGTCGGGTTCTCGTCCTCCTGCAAGAGGTCCACAAGAGCCGGAATCTCGCTCCTTCCCACCGGAAGACTTGCCAAGAGACGAGGGATGGACAACGATGGTGAGGCGACGTGGCAGGGCCGCGGCAGTTTCCCAACCGGGTTGCTCCCAAAGGTGGTTGCTCATCCTAAGACCCAATCTGTGAAGTTGCGCGCCCCTAAGTCTGCAGCTGTAGTCATTACACTGCAGCCAGGGGCTGAGGAGAAAGGCATAACGTATGCCAAGGTCCTTGCTGAAGCGCGAGAAAAGGTGGATCTCGCCAGCTGCGGGATTACCGGCCTGAGATACCGGCAGGCAGCTACTGGGGCACGTATGTTGGAAGTACCGGGCGCAACGAGTGGTGAGAAGGCGAACAACCTTGCCCAAAAACTGAGGGAATCACTCAACGCAGGTGTTCCGACCTGTGAAAAGGGCAGAACTGCGCATCTCAGGTCTAGACGAATCCATTTCTGTCACGGAGCTGACCGCCGCCGTAGCCAGCTACGGGGGCTGCTCCGTAGACTGTATCAAAGTCGGAGAAATCCGACTTAACTCCCAGGGGATCGGTGCCGTCTGGGTGCGTTGTCCCGTCACCGCAGCCAAAAAGCTGGAGACAAGTGGTCGCCTGCTTGTTGGTTGGGTTGCAGCACGAGTAAAGCTGCTGCAACCCAGACCTATGCAGTGCTACCGGTGCCTTGAAAAGGGGCATGTGCGCGCACAATGCACTACAGAAATCGATCGCAGTGATCTATGTTACCGCTGTGGTCAACCCGGCCATCAGGCGGCCAAGTGTACTGCCGAGCCCAAATGCTCATTGTGTGTAGCGGCTAACCGACCTGCGGGTCACAGGATAGGGAGTAAGTCGTGCTCCCCTCCTAAACCAAAGAAAGGAACAAAAGCGACTACAAATACGTCAGCTGCTGTCACTCCGGCAGCCAACAGCCGCTCAAACGGGGGCAGAGGAGGCAATGGTCATAAATTAACTCATCAATTATGACTCTTCGTCTCCTACAGGCGAATATTAACCACTCCGCCGGCGCGCAGGACTTGCTGCTGCAGAGCATGGCGGAATGGCAGGTAGAAATAGCTGTAGTCGCCGAGCCATACTACGTTCCTCCCAGAGATAACTGGGTAGAAAGCGTGGATGGCTTGGTGACCATCATTTCCTTGATGGCCTCTGGGTTTCCACCTCTCACGACGATCGCGAAGGGAAGGGGGTATGTGGCTGTCCAATGGAGAGAAATAGTACTCATAGGAGTGTATTTCTCTCCAAATAAATGCCTCGCCGATTTTGAGGCATTTCTGGACGGGGTTGGGGCCCTTATAGGGCAAACCCTGCCTCGTCCAACTCTCCTCGTGGGGGACTTCAACGCGAAGTCCTGGGCGTGGGGATCCCTCTGAAGGCCTCTTGGTGCTTAACCATGGATCGGTCAATACGTGTGTGCGACGACAGGGTGGATCCATTGTGGACATTTCGTTCTCATCTCCTGCTGTTGCACGCATGGTTCGGAATTGGCGGGTCTTGGAAGGGGTGGAGACGCTGTCGGATCACTTATATATTCGATTTGACGTCTCCACATCTCCTATGACCCCAGCCAATCGTCGTCATCTTCGTACTCCGACGCCCACGCGATGGAAGCTGGAGACTTTAGACCGGGAGGCGCTTATCGAAGCCTCAATTGTGCAGTCGTAGCTTGCGCCTCCGGTCGAGGCCGTGGAGGTTGAGAACGAAGCGGAATGGTTCCGGGACGCCATGTCGCAAGTATGTGACGCAAGTATGTCGCGAGTCAAGCCTCAACCTCCTAAGCGTCGTGTGTACTGGTGGTCTCAGGAGATTGCAGATCTCCGTACAAACTGCGTTGAGGCGAGACGCCAGTACATAAGACACCGTAGACGGCGGCGCCGCAACGCTGAGGTGGAGGAACAGTTGTATGGGGCATACAGACAGTGTGTTACGACTCTTCAGCTGTCCATCTCCAACGCTAAGGCCCGGGCAAAGTCTGAGCTACTCGAGACTCTCAGTCATGATCCGCGGGGACGCCCTTATAAGGCGGTAAGGGGTAAAATCCGCCCCTGGGCCCCTCCATTGACAGAGAGTCTCGAACCCCAGCTGCTGCAGGATATTGTATCAGCCTGTTTCCTAACAGAGCAGAACACCAGCCTCCGGTGATGGCACTTCCTCGAGAAGTGGAACAAGAAGACATCGATATGCCTGTACCCCCTGTGACACAAGGAGAACTTGGTGCGGCCATTTTAAGACTCAGAGCCAAAATCAGGGCTCCGGGCCCTGATGGCATTCCTGGGCGTGCATGGGTATTGGCCCTAGATGCTCTCGGGAACCGGTTCCGACAGCTCCTTGATGCCTGTTTGGAGACGGGCCGGTTCCCAAGTATGTGGAAGACGGGCAGACTCGTGCTTTTGAGGAAGGACGGACGCCCCGCAGATTCTCCCTCTGCCTACCGTCCAATTGTCATGCTGGATGAGGCCGATAAACTGTTTGAGCGAATCATAGCTGGCCGCCTCATCAGCAGAGACGGTCCCGACTTATCCGACCATCAGTTCGGTTTTCGGGTAGGACGGTCAACGATTGACGCCATCATTCGCGTCAAGGCCTGTTCGGAAGAAGTGGCAAACCATGGCGGGGCAATGCTGGCGGTGTCTATAGACATCGCCAACGCGTTCAATTCCTTGCCGTGGGGTTGCGTTGGGGAAGCACTGAAGTACCATGAGGTGCCTCCCTACCTACGTCGGATCGTCGGGGCCTACCTGTCTGAGAGATACATTTCATACCCTGGGCGGGAGGGGCGGTTGTTGCAAACAGTAATGTCGTGCGGAGTCCCGCAGGGGTCGGTGCTAGGACCGCTCCTGTGGAACACCGGATTCGATTGGGTGTTACGGGGAGATCTCCCTCCGGGCGCCAGCATGATCTGCTACGCAGATGACACGTTGGTGATGGTACGAGGTGAGACCTTCGCGGACGCTGCCCGTCTTGCCACGGAGGCGGTGGCACAGGTTGTCGGTAGAATAGAGATGTTGGGACTCCGGGTGGCGCTTAACAAGTCGGAGGCCATGTGCTTTCATGGCCTTCGGCGGGCGCCGCCACGGAGTTCTCATGTCACTATCGGTGAGACTCGCATTCTCGATCTCGATGGAACTTCCGCGAACACTTTACTCGCATGATCCCTCGTTTAATGGGAACGGCTGCTGCTTTAAAGCGGCTGATGCCCAACCTCGGAGGGCCCAAAGCGGGCAGCCGTCGCCTGTACATGGGAGTGGTGCGCTCGATGGCTCTATATGGGGCTCCCGTCTGGTCTGACGCCCTTACAGAGAAAAACATCGCACTCCTGAGGAGATCTCAGAGGGTGATGGCGGTCGGGGCTATCAGAGGATATCGCACCATATCCTATGAGGCGGCGTGCTTGTTAGCGGAGTCTCCTCCCTGGGATCTGGAGGCGGAGGTCTATGCAGCCATGTATCAATGGCGCATTGACCTCCGTCTCCGTGGCGAGGATTCCACGCTGCAGGAAGTGCAGTCGTGGAAGTTTCATGCGCGTCAGTCCCTGCTTAGAAAGTGGAGGGGGCGACTGGCCCAACCCAGAGCCGGGAGCTGGACCGTGGAGGCTATCCGTCCGGTTTTTGAGAAGGGCGCATGGGTCCTTGACTATCCGGCTGGTGCAGGTGCTTTCCGGGCATGGTTGCTTCGGAAAGTACCTGTGTCATATAGCCCGGAGGGAACCATTGTGGCTGCTGTGAAGACACGGCACAGCACACGCTGCAAGTGTGCCCAACCTGGGCCAATGAGCGCCGTGAACTTGTTGCCGCAGTGGGGCACGACCTGTCACTCCCTGCAATGATCAAATCAATGCTGGAAAGTGACAGGTCGTGGAGGGAGGTAGTATCCTTCTGCGAACACGTAATGTCGCAGAAGGAAGCTGCGGAGCGGGAGAGGGAGGCTACCACCCTTCTTCCAATCCGCCGCAGGAGAGCAGGGCGTCGGAGGAGGCACTATCATGCCCTCCTTCAACCCCCACAACAGGGGTTTTGGCGGTGGACGCGGGGGCGTCCGCAGCCCGTAATGTATAGATCCCGAGGTGGCGCGCGCGGTATTCCTGCGTGCCCCTGTAAGTGTTGAATGGGGTGGTGTTTCTCCAGCTCCACCTCAACGGGAAGGGGCCCTCGGCTGAGGGCCAGCGCCGTCGGGACCGCGGAAGAGTGCGAAAGCGTTCCCGTAGTCCCGGCAAAAGGTGCAGGGACGGAACACCGTGGGGTTTTAGTCGGTAGAAGTCCGACATGATCTCTCTGTTGCCCCCGCAGCAGAGAGATATCCATGAGGATTTCCCCCAAGTAAAAAAAAAAGGGTAGTACTACCCTACTACAGTACACACAGTACAGTACAGTACTGCCTTACCTATTTCTGCCACCAAGCATTAATGTCAGCATTACTGTGTTCCGGTTGAAGGGTAAGGTTGCTGGTGAAATTACAGGCATATGGGATTTGTCAACTTATGTCTCAGGATGACGGGCGCAGTGGCAGTGCCCCTCAGATCTTTGCAATTTGAAGCTCTGAGTGGCACAGCAACTGCTTTGGACAGGCGTGTAGCTTACCATCAGGCGCACGACTTGTTTGTCCCGTCACTTGATGTTATAAAAAAAAGATATACAGTAAGTATATTTGTAAATAATAAAAGTGATGAAATATACCTTCAACTGTAAAGAGAATGTTATAAAACACATACCACTTGCAATATCCAAAACTGCCTGGGCCGTATGCGGCGGTTTCGTTCGACATTTAAACGGAAGTTCGACTTGCACGCCTTCTAACGCGTATTTTTGGTCTTCGACGCATAGTAGGGGCCCAGATATTAAACCGGATGACTCGATGGAGAGAGGCACCATTGCCGATGGCCATTCACCGGGAACGAACTCAAACTGAAATAAAAAATGTATTGAAATAATTTACTTGTATCTTCCCATAAATGTTATAGAAAGGTGAAGGTGAAGCTGTGAACAAGGTTCCATTAAATCACCTAACGATTATGAGAAACCAATTGAGAGCATCATCAGTGATATACAATTCTATGGTACAAGGTCAAGGGCACATCAAAACTAAAGATTTAAATTTAACTCTATGGTGCTCACGACAATAATGGTCCAAAGTGTACATAAATACTGATCTGTTGAAACGTTATTGACGACCGTCAAAACCTAACGTTAAACGCATTACAGCTTCCCTGAATTACACTTACAGCTTATAGTTACTTCTCCATTTTTAAGCAATGAAATATTATAGGAGGTTAATGCGGAATAGTGTATTTTACAGACATCACTATTATACAATAAACAACATCACATACGTTACTCCGATCAAAAAGTAAGTAACTATAGCACTTGTGTTTTGGGAATCGGAAATAACAAGGGTACCACAAACATCCAAACCTGAGACAATATAGAAAAGTTAGTTTGTCTACATTGACTCCGCCGAGGACGGGAAAGGTCATCAAAATTAACTATAATAGGATATTAAAAACTATTATAAGATCAACAATAATCCCAATAAAAGTGACCGTGAGTATGGGACAGGGAAGTTCAATTATTATTGGTGAGTGCTATACAAAGGAAACTTCTTTTATTAATTAAAAAAAGGAACTTGACAATCTAGGCATAAGCAACCGGCGCTTACCTTTTGTATGGGAATTTGATGCACAGTATAAATGTTGGTACTGCGGTCCATGCGCAATACATGCTTAGCGGACACATCACGGCTGAGTACAGCTAAAGTGACACCGCTGCCTTGGTGAAGAGTTACGCCGGGAGGAGCTCGCCAACCCACGCCTTCGAGACATATCGCCCAACCGCCAATAGCTGGAAACACACAGGCATCGGAAAACCGTGAGCAAGTACGGCATGCATCTGCCAACATTCGACCCATATAGTCGAATGGTTGAAAGGGTTAAAGGAAATACAACAATTGTCCCAGTAGGTACTGTAGAGATCGCTTATCAGTATCTGCATCTCACAGCGCATATGGCAGCTAGCGATAACCACAAGTTTATTCTACAAATTTAAATTCCGTTAACTTTTGATTACCTATCTATCACATTTCGACTCAGTAACCACATACGAGATCTTATTTTTAATGGCATTATTTATATGCTTTTAAAATATTAAACTGCATATCATATTTATAGCATACAGTCAGGGCCATTTCAGCTCAAACAGGTATGACCAGTATAAAATTTTCTTTTTGTCTATAAATGTGTTTATATCAAAGAGTAATAATTTAAGTTCTATGTGCTTTTGTGTTATACCTTGTGACGTGATTCTAATTGTTTGTGCGAAACAAACGTTTTATCTATACTATAATCACGTCACCGGATTGTGGATACACCAGCGTTATAAAAGTTATTAGTAAACTTCTTTTCAAAGCCTAGGATGATAACGTTTATCGACGTCGTTATAAAGTGCCTTAGTTATTATTTGAGGACGCCTTCAAAAGGCCATAAATATTTTATCAGTAACAACAATTAGTGGAACTATTTTACCGTAAATCCGGTCATTTCATATTAAAATAATAGTATGTGAAACAAGGACCTTAATAAATCATAGAAATATTCTGCATCATGCAGCCATGAACGGACCTCACTTAACGAATTCAGCTATGGCGAAGAAGTGTAAAAAAAAAGTATAGTGCGTCTTTTTCAAAGATGGAGTAAAATGACAGTTCATTTCGCAAAAGTGTTGCCTGCTTGCAAGCAGCTAGTGATTGCAGTCGATAAATATTCTATCAACTATCCACTGCACGTTGGTCTCGCTTATGCAATAAATAGCCGAACTTGTTTAATTTCAATCATCATCGGCTCATTATTCGTCCAATTGCTAGGCACAGGTTCTCTGCACTGTCAATTTTTGTAAGTTCATACATACATACAATGCATTTAGAACTATGTCTATTAAAAATACAAAGAGGAGACGTATTTTTAAGTTTTTCATTTTAATTCAATATAGATAATCAAATCCGCCTGTTCCTGTTAAAATGTATATGAATAAAAGTTGATTTCGGTACTATAGTAAACCAACGTCAAAATAACAAACGAAAGTGAAAACCTAATTCTTTCTAATTCGAAAACTTCGCAACATTCACAATGCAGATATTTTTGACAAAATTTTACTTTCACAATTTATAGATAAAACTACATGAATATTTCAAATTTTATGAAACTACATAACTATTTATAATTTATGGTAACCCTGCAAATGCCATTTTACTCCATCTTCAAAAAAGACTCTATACTGATTTAACCATAGCCGAATCAAGCGCAACAGTAACTTACCAACAACTCTATCAGAGCGCATATCCGTACCAGTGACCCATACTTCATCGCCAACAGTCACGCCACTAGCAACGCCTTGGAAAACCATGAACGCGCCAGTCGAGTCCAAATCGGCGAGTAAAATTTCGTTGCCGAAAGCGCTGCAAATTAATTAAGTACAGAAAGCAGGTTATGAACCTTTTCCCTCTGTATTCTGGAACTCATTTATTATAGATATATTTAAAATGTTTACTATATCCAATAAAAACATTGTTATATAATACCTAATAAAATATGAATCTTGTTTTCAATCTCATTGGTTAATTAAACAATTTATTTTTGTTATTTTGTCGTTGAATGTATTAACTAAAGTAACGGAAAACTCACGTACTTAAGGTGAATTTTTGCTCGACATATTCCGAACCAGGTCCTTAATTATTGAGCTTAAGGACCGGGAACTGGTTCGAAACATGTTGAACAAAAATTCGACTTAAATACGCGAGTTATTCATCAGTTCCTTTCGGGAACCAATGACCAAAGTGCACAAATGATGATGGTACTAACATTGCGACGGTGTTGAAATGGACATGGTACTAAAATTACCGCGGTCCTTGGGCGTCTTTTTCAAAGATTGACCTTAGTTAATACGCCTGAGTCTCACGGTAGTGTTCTATTCAAAACCGTCGAATGTATATGTAATTACTTTTTTGGACATGTGAATCTACACAAATTTGGGCCAAATATGTCTCTATACAATAGGACTAGCACGATAAGGCGCGACTTCAGCGAAAGCGATATACAGCGCGGGATACTGCTATTCTCGCGCCCTATTGTCCTAGCCCTACAGATTGTAACTTAACACGAGTCAACCAGAATCAAGATTTTTTTTAGACCAAACAGCTATATAAATAACGTTGCTGTAGATTGGTGTCTCTTAGCATAAACACACAAATAAAATTGTATTAAAAGTATAAGGTATTAAAGTCGTTATCAAAAATCAAAAAATAAAGTTTGGTGTTTTACCTGTTAGTAGCACGTCGAACATGAGCAGGAATAGGCGATATAACAGACACATTTGCATCAGGCGCGAGTAACTCCCTACCGACGTTGTTTCGCATCACTAGTCGGACGGCCGTCTCGCCCTCTTCACCGCTTGGCTCGGCTGTACAGTAATGCGGTGTTGCTACTTCTACGTGGATGACCTGTGCAGATATTGAAATTAGATTAATAAATAACAAGTCTTTTAATAAACTAAGCGTTTAGCAGTAGAAATCCTTGTAAAATAGTTCGTTCAGGAAAGTACTGGCGCCGTAACTGTTTTTGCCGCCAAGCAATAATGTGAGCATCACTGCGTTCCAACTTTGAAGGGTAAGGGTCCTCGCGAAATTACAGTGACATGGAACTTGTAAACTTTGTCTCCGGGTAACGGGCGCAGTGGCAATTCCCCTCAGATTTTTGCAATTTAAAGCTGAGTGCACTGCAACTGTCAAGAGTTGGCATGTCGCTTCCCACCAAGCGCACCACTTGTTCGTCCTATCCCTTGATATTACAAAAAGAAACGGCGAGTCGATCACGCTTTGCCCATTTGCGGACGCAAAATTGAATTTTTTGATCTCCCATATAAACTAAGTGAGGGCTTCAACAGTTTTACAAATTTTTATATATAGAAAGCTTCGATTACGCAATTAGAAGTACAAACAAAACGTCCTGATATGGAATTTTTCATTATATGTTTCACTTGTACACAAAAAAAATCATACTTTTTTCGTTACTCAATTCCAGTTTATCGATATATTTTGTAATTAGAAGTTAAGTGTAATACATAATTTTCCACTCCCATTTATTCGATAAAATTTTAATTATTCTGTGCAAAAAAATGTTATACCTAGTTTACTTCTCTGATTATTTATTATTTATTATTGTTTAGTGCATGGGTACAATATTATCTTCAATATGCTTGTACGTAATGTTTGGCCGAGCGCAATAAAAACTGTACTTATACATACGCAGTATATAATTGCGAACTTCTGTACAATCTGTTTTGCCACAAATGAAGAGTTAAGAATTACAAACAGGTACTTACAGATTCTCTATAAACGTTGTTCCTCTCATCGTTATGTTGTGCTACGATAACACCATAACCCGGGGTCAACGCCTTTATTTCACCATTAGTAGTCAATTCAAAGACTCCGTCCGTATAAGCCTTCCAGTTACTTCTAGGCAGAGTTTTCAGTCGTATAACAGAGCCAGGAGTAATAGCTATACGATCGCTGGTAGAAAGTTCTTTGGTTAATCCTTCTATTGAAGTTCGGATGTCTGATATGGCTAAGATCTCTATTGTGCTGTCCCAAGAACGCGTTTCTGCCACCTAAATTGGTAAAATCCATTAGTTAAAAAATGCTTAAAATGAAAAACACACTCATATTCTTATATTATACAGTTGTTTTATTCTTCTCAATAATATAAACAAAAATAAATTAATAAACACTTGAATATTACAGAGAAACGTCGTAAATGTAAAGACAATTTATTACCCGACAGTAAATATATGATTACTTTGCTATCAAAATGTGCCATTTACGAGGTAATGACAGTAGGTAATGAAACGAGGTAGTGAAACAAAAACTTTACATTAATGGTTATTTACACAGCTTCTGCGTACTTGGATGGCAAAAATCCACGGCAGTGGCCCGTTTACTGACTCTGTTGCGGGTTGTCTCGATCTATGATATTTGAAATAAATATTGAAAATGATAAAATATGAACAAATGTTTAAAAAGAGCAACCCCTAAAGTTTATTACTCATTCCTCTCAGAAGAATCGGCCTTATGAATGAGTGGCACAGTACGAATTCAGTGTAATTTGTTTACCTACGAAATAAAGATTAAGTTTAGTATTACATACTATAGTCTGCCTTTTTTGAAGACGGAGTAAAATGACATATGTATGGTTGCCAGTTTTCATAAAATTTTAAATAGTTATGTGGTTGTTGTCGATAATTTTATCGATAGACTGTGAAGATCAAATTTTGCCAAAAATGACTGAATTGTGAAACGCGAATAAGATTAATAACTGCCTTATTGTCTTCTTTATTCTTATTTTAACAGATGACCGACTAGTATCGAGATCAATTTTTATTCACACACATTTTAACAAGAACTGGCGAATATGATTATCTATATGGAATTAAAATGAAAAACTCAAATATATCCCCACTTTATATTTTTCATAAACATAGTTCTAAACACAGTGTATGTGTGAACTTACAAAAATTGACAATTCAAATTAACTTGGGCTCAGTAATAGGATGAATAATGGGTCGAGGATAATTCAAATGGAACAAGTTCGATTATTTATTTATTCCATAAGCGTGACCAATATTCAGTCGATAGTCGATAGAATATTTATGGACTGCAATCACTAGCCTCTGGCAAGCGGGCAACATTTTTGCGCAATGAACTGTCATTTTACTCCGTCTTCAAAAAAGACAGACTATAATTTAAATTCTATACATAATCTTAAATTTATACTTTAATCATACCTGTCCCATGTTGCGTACTCTAACGTCGATCGTAATAAGACCCGCTTTCAACGGTACCACTCTCACAGACAGACCTTCGGCTACCGATCGTTCCAACATATCTAAGAAATAATAAACAATTGTTAGGTTAAATACAGATTGACATATCCGCATACGTAAAGTATCGTATGTCGAAATTGCCAAGTTTACAGGGAAGCGTTTTAAAGTTCTCCGTTTTATTCGACAAAGCTCCTTACTCACATAGAGTGATAATCTAATAGATCATCTAACTGATAGCTAGAAATTTATAATACTCTATGTGAGTAACGAGCTTTGATGAATAACACTGAGAAATTTTAAAGTCACGTGTTATGCTTATTTCAGTAAATTCAGAACTTTAAAACGCTCCCCTGTAAACTTGACAATTTCGACATACGATACTTTACGTAGGAGAGGTCGATATATGTATATGATATGAATTAATCAAAGAGCCTTTTAAATAGGTGGAAAGCACAAAAAAACAAAATGTTAAAAAATCCTTAATCTTACCGTCAACATGTGAAGTATATAGTCTAGCAGAGGCTGGATCTCGCACGCTAAATGTGACTCTAGGTACTGGTGAAAGAGACCCCAATGACGCCGCTGTAAGCCCTATGGCTTCTATCCATACTGGACTAGGGTTGCCCACTAGCAACGTTTGAGTAGCAGCGCGAACGCGAAGCCCTGATATTGGTACTACCTGAAACATAATAGAATAGTTACACTGTAATAGTTACTTTGTCAACTTTTCTACAAACTTTGTGTGAGCCTTATCTTGTTTACATATAAATCGAAGCATATCAAAAATTGTTGCCTACAGACTTATTCCCTGAACGCTATAACTTAGGCCATTCTGAGGCGAGTGTGACTGGACATTATTTAGGTGTGCATGCTTCATTGTCGACCTCATCGGCACTTTCCATCACGTAGATTGCGGAGTCCAATACGCTAGATGCGTATTGGACTTTTTTTGTAATGACGATAGACCAATCCGAACCACATGTTTATTTGAGAATAAAACAAAATTCGGACCACATGACGTGATTATTTCAGAAAACGAATTACAATTGAAATTATTTACATGTATTGTTCATTGTACCAACTACAATTGAACTTCTATTAGGAAAACAACACTGAACAATCAGCGTTTTCTTAGCAAACACTTAGTGATTTTTGGTACTGCCAAGAGCACACCAAACTTGACACTTACAACTTTGAACCGGTCTCACTGCAAGCGACATTGAGTTCAATTTAAAACATAACTTAAGCAGCCAAACTTTGTTTAGCTAAGTTAGGCGTGCTCTTGACACTGTACATTTAAAAAAAATGTCTCAATACTTGCCTCGACTTCAGACAGTGCACTAGCCATCTCAACATTTGCAACGTCTGTAGCCACAAGCTTGATTCCCGACTTTCCTAATGATACACCGTGGACAGATCCTATTGATGAGACCTAGAATAAGGGAACAAAATATACTTAAAAATTTAATTACCAATAAATAATAAATATTTATTAAACTTAGCCTTTTCAGCCTACAAATTATAATTGTTGGCATTATAGAGAAATCTTAATTATAATCAAGTGGAAAGAACAGTGATTTGTTTGGCATTTGTCATACTCTATCGGTCTGTCAGGGAGGTGGTATTCGTATGTGAATAGTCAATTTCCAATTCTGAACTTAAATTAACTACTGTTATTATTATAGTGTGTGCGTGCGTTATTCGAACTTGAATGTTTGCAATATCTCCATTAAAACCATTAGCATGACATAGATTTATAAATAATTAATTATTGGTAATTATGTTTATGTTGGTTTCAAATCACTTACTGGTGATTATAAATTTGTTATGAACAAAATTAAACATATCCTAACCGAATTTCGGGGAAAAACATTGAAATTGTGGTAACTGTAAAACTGAGGTGAAAACCCCAAAAACATATTTTTGTTTGTTAACGTTTATGCTGTATCGAATTTGACAAGAGTATAGTTGTGTTTGACTATCACATGTTGTGGCAATTTTTAATTGAGACAACACTAGTCTATCTGTATTGTGCAAATAAACAAAATGAAAAATAAATACGATACTTGAATTAAATTCAGAATCCAAAAAATATATAAGCTGTAGCAACGATAATAGCAAGTAATCACAATCGTCATCCAATTCAAATTAGAAAAGTGAATAAAAAGTAATATATAACATAAATAAATAACGCACACTCATAGCCACACCAGGCAAACCCTGTATCACGGGTGCCATGTAGCATAAATTACACCCAAACTCACGAGAGAAATAAATGTAGGCCATACAAATATTTCTCCCAGTCCGGGAATCCAACCCGGGACCTCTGAGTGGCAAATCAGCATGGAAACTGTAAATTATGTAATGTAAAGTACCTCAACATAGTTAACTCCTGATACAGCTTTGTACTGAAGAGAAGCGAGGTGCGATGGGGGGCCTCCCTGGTGTCTCAGCTGCAAGCGCGCTCCTGGCGGGAGACGTGCTTTTTCCGGGATTATTTTTAAAGGTGGGAACACCAATATCTGCAAATTGCGACAATTGTACAGCACATTCTTAAGCAAAGTTAAATATGCTTTTAAAAAGTTATTTATAAAAAAGTTTGTGGAGAACTTGGCCGTGGGACTCTTGGATTCAAATCCTCTCGACCGATCACCGTTTAGTGAACTGCGGGGTACGGGAAACGAACCCTTTAGCACAATCTACGTCATAGGATTGCGGTATCGTATCGCGCATAGAGAATAGCACTATCTTGCGCTTCTAAGTCGCTCTCGCACAAGTCGCGCCGCCCTGTCGTGCTAGCCCTACTGGGCGTGGCAAAGACCACATATCGTTGGCTCAATTCACCTACTACCACTCTAAGAAACTATAGACATACTCACTTCAACTTCAGGGCTCCAAACACCACCAAGAGAAGCGCGAACTCGTCCGGAACCTTCTTTCAATCCGCAAATAGTACCCTCCTTGATATTGACGTTCCCTGACACACGCCATTCAGGCGACCGGGTAGCAGTCAAATATCTATGCGATACACCTTTGACTAGCGCTATAATAGGCACGCAACTACCGACGCAAACTGCGCGAGAAGTCGATACTTCTACACTTAACACTTCTTCTATGGTTACCTGTGGAGCAAAATTATTAATTTAATTGGTAATTTATTTCACAACGTTTTAGCTCAGCGGTTTGCACCTTAGGCAAGTGATGAGGGTGTACTGGGTTCGATTTCCGGTAACAATTTAGAAACAAACTTTTGTAAATCAAAAGTCACCCCTGATTACTGTTGGGTAATTTTCCGAAAAATTTCAAATAGTAGAAATTTTTCCGGAAAAAATCCCGAAAAACTGGAAAAATATAATTTGGAGGGCTCATATTCTGTTCTACGTTCAGAAGTAAATTTAGAAGTTTTATTTAGTATGATTTATAAAATAAACTTATATAGGTAAAAGTCACCCAAAGAAAAACGAGATTTAAAATGATTTCACAACAACGAAAAAAAACCTCTAACAACCACGTTACACCACCACCACTTGTTGTTGGATCCATCGTTTTTGTTTAGTAACTTCAACTTTTGACAGTGAAAAGAAAAATGTAAAGTACACATGTTTCTGATGTATATTTTTTTTTAAACGGAAACTTTTCATTGTCCCAACACTACCACTGATTGGGTATTGTGGGGATTCGCTCTGGACCTATTGGAGGGAAAAGTGTCGTTTTTATTTTGACTTTCAATTATTTTGTGAAATCTAGTTTAAAGTGGAATAGGATAGTGCTATTGTGCCTTAATCGAAGATTAAAACGCGAAATTATATGAATCTCGAACTAAAATACCCGTATCGGCCCGTTCGTTCTAAAGGAATCCCGAGTCAATCCAAGCACGCCGCCTCAAATTGCCTATCCTCTTTGTGGCGGCCATATTTACAGAAAAACTTATTTTTATGTTTTGGGCTAAAGGACTTTGTTTCCATGGCCAGAAATAAATTTTAAATTTTTTTTTTTTTAATTGGGTATTGTGATTTGTGCTCATGAAGATGATTTCGTTACTCTGGGGTATAGAGCAGGCAATTCCTCTGCAATGCAATGTCTGGCGTATTATTATCTATTATACACTTCGCCCTGGGCTTAAAAGATTATTGTTATTAGTCTTTAATTCAGTGTTTAGTCTTAAAAACTACGCGACGAGTTTTATAAAGTGACGTTTATAAAAACAAAATGCAAAAATCGCAAAGCGAAGGTTTTACACCAGAATTTTAAAAATTAGGGTAGTAGTTGAATATTGCCTACCGACTTACTAAACATAACTAAGTAAAACAAAACATTCAGTGCAGTCTTGACTGTGTTATTAGAGTATTGCACCTGCATTTACTTAGGATTTAAAGTCGCTTTATCCCGACGAACAAAATAAAACAAAACTTACCTCAATCAATTGCCGTTCGCTCACGCATAAGTCCGTGATGATAAGGTCGTAATTACCAGGCGCGGGTACGCTCATGCCCAACGAGCCATCTTGGACAAAACCACTTACGCCCGCCGGTGTCTCTACGCTGTAACGACCACTTCCGCCCGTCACTGTCGCGATGTTTGACGCTGTTTCAGCTTCCCAAGCTATGTTTACCTAGTTACACCAAATAGATTTATATATAAAGGTCCATGTCGTACAAGCGATCCTGCTGCGTATGCGTTGGACGAACAGTATCGGCCCAAACTCGCCTGAGCATTTCAATACATTATTCAATATTGGCAGAGTTGTTTATGTTTTACAAATTATTTTTAGTTTAGTGTTATATACTTTTAAAATGGTATACGTATTATATTAAAATAATAATTATCTCTCAGACATATTATTGGCATCTGACTGGAGCAGTGGCTCGCTGACGGCGACGAATAATTAAAAGCATTGTCAGCGGGTCGCCAAAGCGTTGTTTCTATCTATCTACTCATCTACGTAATATATCATAAGCTCCAAAAACAGCTGCATTTTTTTACAAATCATTTATTTTCATGTAGGTCTATACTAAGCAGTTAAGTTATAAAGGATGAAAAATAATGACGAAAAAATAGTGACGGGACGAACAAGTCGTGCGCCTGATGGTAAGCTACACGCCTGTCCATAACAGTTGAAGTGCATTCAGAGCGTTAAATCGCAAAGATCTGAGGGGCACTGCCACTGCGCCCGTCACCCTGAGACATAATTTGACAAGTCCCATATGCCTGTAATTTCACCAGGACTCTCACCCTTCAAAACCGGAGCACAGTAATCTGACGTTACTGCTTGGCGGTAATTGCAATAAAGTAAGAGTCGCAGCTATTATGTATATTTTAGTGCTTTCAATAGATTAAAGCGTTCTCAAAATATTAATAATTCGGTTTAATATTGTTTACATAAGAGGGATCGATATATTATTTTATTATATATCTACTTACATGGTATCGTAAATGTTCAGTCGCTCGTTAACACATATCGTGTACATAAGCTTCATTGGCTTGCCGTTTTTCAATAATTTTATTTACAAAAATCTTACGAAATAAATAAAATATCCTTTAAGCGCAAATCTTACAAGTTGTGGCGTAAAGAGGCTGAACCACGCGGCTTTGGTGACTGTATTATGGCGCTTGTAGTTGTTAGTAATTAACAAATTACCTGTGCTATTCTCCCCAAAATGATACCAAACTATTCACGCGTTCTTTCTTTCACGACGACAGCGGCATAAATCTACGGGTAACATTAGTATGGAGGGACGGACAATGACACAAAGTTTTGTTCGTTACACCTTGATAGCACTTTTTAACCAATGTCAAATAAGGAGCAGGTTCTCAATTCGACTGTATTTTCTTATGTATATGTTACGCGATTGTTTCGACATTCGTGAAGCGATTTCGACAAGGGATTACCTCAATAGTGATCCTATTCAAATTTGAAAAAAATATTCCACCTCTAAGGGTGGTAAATTAGAGGACGAATCCGCTTTACTGGATTTCACCCACTTTCCGTTAACCGATTTCAATAAAACAATACATGTACAATAAATGTAATTCCACAAACTTTAGAGGTTCGTATTTTTTAATAAAAAAGGTACAATTATAGAAAACCATAGAGGAAGTCCTAAAAGAACATGAATTTATTTTACACAAAGTTGGTTTTTCGCGACAGTGTCAACACCGACGACACAACACAGGCAATTTCGTTCCAGTCAGTACGCAAAGCATTTGATATCATTATAGATTGAATAACACAGACAGAATATCGAACACTAGTAAACATACCTTCAAAGGTTCAACGCGTAGTGGGGCGACTACTTTAGCTTGAATGCTAGCTGTCGCATCAGGTATACTGGCTATCAACGCTCCACTCCATCCGATCGCTTGTTCACTTGCCATGACAATCTGCAATCAAACAGCAAAAACATTAAATTTACCCATGACTAAACCTTACTTTAGCAAACATAACAAATTTTTTCGGGTCTAAATCAGAAATAAACATTTGTTTTTACAAAGAAATACAAAAAGTATGTAGTATCCTGGTAAAATGTAACAAATGACATCTAGGCTCGCCTGGCGCATCGTGTTTAAGAGGCGGGCAATCGTTTCCCCTTTGGATAGCTAAACGTATTCTTTGTTGGAAGTAGCGGCCAGCGTGGCATTCCCCCTCAGTAGCAAATACTTCAGCTGGCCACAGGAGGCTTTAATGAGGCAAACTGAAAGGTTTTTAGCAAAGAGTTTCACCCGTCAAACCATATTGAAAGAAAAACTTTACACTCACACACACAACACTCACACAAGTCAAAGAATCATTTATTTCATAGATAAAATAAATTATACACTTGAAAACGTCGTATTTTAAGTTAGTGCTCGTTCACTAAGCTGACTTCCCTGAGAAGATCGAGCAAGAAAGTTTAGGGATTGTTCTTTTCAAATAAACTTAAATGCTATGGAATACACTTTGAATCAAATTTGTGTGGAATCCACGTCGTTTTTCCAAACATGTCTTCAATTTTGTAATATGATTTTTTAATGAAAATACTTTTAATGTAAGATTTAAACTAAGGAAGTGATTGTCACTAGTATCAGGTTTCTTACCACGGCATGACTTCTTTTTATTTTCATATTTCGGAACGGTTGCACGCTCCATGGTCACGGGTTGACTGGACGGCGGCAGATGACAGCTTTATGAGCAGATATATCTGTCTACCCTCTTGCGCTGTCGACGACTACCTTCATCGCGATTTGTTGTGGCGTTACTATTGTCACTCACTTTTTTCACACAAACCAAACTCACTGTATCCATACGCGAAACTGAACTCGAGGTGTTTTTGTTTTTATTACTGCACGCACTAAGGACCGGATTCCATGCACTGGAAAGTTTAAAACCATCATCACGGTTAAATGTTTTGTACTTCGTGATCTCGATGGCTTCTCGTACCAACCGTGGTATGTAGTGACGTTCTGTCGAGAGTACCTGGGGGCTATGCAACTCGATCCAGTGGTTAGTGTCAGTCTGTGTGAGATGTTGTGCTATAGCCGACTTCTGTGCATCATTGTTTTTTACTGCCCGGATGTGTTCCTTCATACGATCGACAATTGTTCGTTTAGTCTGACCGATATACGAGCTCCCACAACTGCAGTTCACTTTATAGACACCCGGTGTTTGTAAAGGACGGTGGTCTTTTGGTGAACGTAACATTTTTCCTATTTTGGTTAAGGGGGTGAAAACAGTTTTTATGGAAAACTTCCTTAGCGACCTGGCTATTTTATCTGTCACCCCTTGTACATAGACCAGAAAAACTGGTAGTCTCTGTACGGTATAATGGCCAATACTACCTTCAGATTGATAGTGTAGCGATGGGCAGTCCCGTTGCTCCCTTTGTTGCCAACATTTGGATGGAATACTATGAACACGCCGCCATTCTGTCAGCACCATCAACAATAAAATTATGGAAGAGGTATGTTGATGACGTGTTTTGCATAATGGAAGGAAAGGAGCAACATATACAAAATTAATTAGCACGTCTTAATAACACCCATAACAAAATGAAATTCACTTGTGAAATTGAGAAAAATCGCGCGCTTGCATTTTTGGATATATGTTAAGACGGTTTTGCGACAGAATGGATACAAAATAAAAACATTTAAACCAATACACAAAAGGAAGAAGCAAATTGACGTACAGAGACTACCAGTTTTTCTGCCCTATGTACAAGGGGTGACAGATAAAATAGCCAGGTCGCTAAGGAAGTTTTCCATAAAAACTGTTTTCACCCCCTTAACCAAAATAGGAAAAATGTTACGTTCACCAAAAGACCACCTTCCTTTACAAACACCGGGTGTCTATAAAGTGAACTGCAGCTGTGGGAGCTCGTATATCGGTCAGACTAAACGAACAATTGTCGATCGTATGAAGAAACACATCCGAGCAGTAAAAAACAATGATGCACAGAAGTCGGCTATAGCACAACATCTCACACAGACTGACACTAACCACTGGATCGAGTTGCATAGCCCCCAGGTACTCTCGACAGAACGTCACTACATACCACGGTTGGTACGAGAAGCCATCGAGATCACGAAGTACATAACCTTTAACCGTGATGATGGTTTTAAACTGTCCAGTGCATGGAATCCGGTCCTTAGTGCGTGCAGTAATAAAAACAAAAACACCTCGAGTTCAGTTTCGCGTGTGGATATAGTGAGTGTGGTTTGTGTGAAAAAAGTGAGTGACAATGGTAACGCCACAACAAATCGCGATGAAGGTAGTCGTCGACAGCGCAAGAGGGTAGACAGATATGTCTGCTCATAAAGCTGTCATCTGCCGCTCCAGTCAACCCGTGACCATGGAGCGTGCAACCGTTCCGAAATATCGGGAAAATAAAAAGAAGTCATACCGTGGTAAGAAACCTGATACTAGTGATAATCATTTAGTGAATAACCACGAAAGTCTTAAAATCTATATAAGGAAGTGATAATTTTAATACATGCTCCGGAATCTTGTAAAAACGTATACTGTTCCCCTAAAAGAATCGTTTACCTTAGTTAAACGAAATCGTGGTACCATGGGTTTGGACTTAGTTCTAAGGTTAATTTTATGGCTATCTTCTTTCTTAATGAAATTATGTATATTTTTACGGGCATACAAAATGTTTTTAAAAATACATAATGATAAAAATATATGTGAAAAAACGTTTCTATGAGAGAAACCCGAGAACCTAAACGGTACACAGAACGAATCGCTCGTTCTTACAACACAAATATGGTTTGTATATCTGTTGTAAGTTTAGTTTCTGCGTCTTCTATGTCAAAAATCTAAGGTAGTGACCCGTTCAGCTCTTGCAAGTTGTCTCGATCTATAATACATACATATGAAATAAATATCGTAAATGATAAATCTGTTCAAATGTTTGTTTTCAAAAAGCATCTCCTAGAGTTTCTTACTCATTATTTTCAGACAAATCTGCCTTACTATTGAGTAATAGAGTTTAATCGATTTGATGATTACAAGTGTAATTTGTTTCCCGAGAATTGAACCCGGGGCCTCTGCGTGCAAGACCCGCATGGTAACCGTTCGACCGTGGAGGCAGTATTGGAAGAAATGGAAATCATTTTCGGTAAGTGTAATGCTAAGCTGAGTATTGTAGCATCTTCCAAACACTATTTTTTAGAACTCTATATTCTAGCAAACGACCACGCGGCTGACTAAAGGGTCGATGAAGAGACGAGCTAGACGCGCCCCTAACAGACTGGTCCTCAGTGGCGCAAAACAGAAAGGTGTGGAGAGGGAGGTCTTTGCCCAGCAGTGGGACAGTATAAGCTTTTAACAACAATAAAATATTCTAGCAGCTGACTACTGAATAATATCACTACTGAAATACTTTCACGTCAGACTATTATGACGTGAAAGTATTTCAGTAGTGATATGCAAACAAGCAAGTAGCCTTTGTCAAACAAATGACAAATGAAAGAAAATTGAAATCCTTTTAATGTGTAAAACTTACCTGGTAATACTTAAAAGGCACAGGTACAGGGTCATAGTCCGGATGACTTTCAACAAGTAACCTGTCAATAGCTTTATAATCAATGCCAATATGATGAGGCTTTACGTCCCAAGTGACTTTGGGCCCACGCTCGTCGAGTAATTCTCTGCCAATCGCATCTAGTAGAGCCACTTTGACTGTCACTTCGTGACCAGGGCGGAGCCATACTCTGTAGAAAAATAAACATTATAAATACTTACATATTTAGTGAAATTATTATGTATTCTATACTGTGAATGTTAACTTAAATTATTATTTCATAATTTAACGAAATATTAACTTTATAATTAAACTGTTAGGGACAAACCAAAAACTTGGTGAAATTACAGGCACATGGAACTTGTCAACTTATGTATCAGGGTAACGGGCGCAGTGATAGTTCCCCTCAGATCTTTGCGATTTAAAGCTCTGAGTGGCACTTCAACTGTTATAGACAGGCATGTAACTTACCATCAGGAGCACGACTTCTTCGTCCCGTTACTTAATATTAAAAAAAAACACTTATCAACGCAGAATCGCCTTTAATTAAGACGGTCAGAAAAAGCTTTATGTCCATGAACGTAAGAGCTAAAAAGACGTTATGCGTTTCGGATCGGTTCGTACGAACGTGGTTCAACACAGGTCGGCAACGAATCTGCTTACTGCGAACTTCCGATCGCGTCCGGCTACAGCTGGTCCTAGTCTACAAAACAATTGGCGCATCGGCGCCTGTACGTCTGCGTCCGCGGTGAATCGGCTTAATGCGACAAGTGTAGTTAAAACATGATCGCCTTAAGCCGATTTCGTATCGATAAGTGTGGTTTATCCCTTAGGGTAACCTTTTGATTGCCTTAGCTCGTTCACATTAGAGTAAAAAGAAACGCGCACTTTACAATATGTAGTGCTTATAATAACACCAATAAGTAGTTGTATGAAATCAATCGATATTTGATAATAAGTTATAAACTTACTACATAGTTAGTTAGCTATTAAATCGACTCATCCGAAGAACAAAGTGCGATGTGATTATACAGCGAAAAGAGGTTCGTTAAATCTCGTTATTCAAAAGGCTATATAAAGGCGTTTTCAGATTTTTTATGTAATTATTAGTTCGCTTCGGACACATAAAATCGAACTAAAGTCGATCTTTGACTGTGGATATCCACAGTCAAAGATCGAACTACAGTCGATCTTTGACTGTGGATATCCGCAGTCAAGAACAACAAACGAAATGTACAATGTCCCGAGAATAAACAGCATCTTGCACATAGGTCTTTATTCTACAGACGAGTCGAAATATTTTTCCTTACTTGGGTCCTTCAGAGCAATTTCCAGGAGTTTCAGATGGTTCCAATCTTATTCTGGACACGTGAGGTGCGCAAGCAATTTCAAAGTCCACTGACTCAGTCTCGTCTTCTGTGTGAGATACCAATTCGAGGCGGGAATCGCCTTTCTGTAAATAAAATTAGCTATGTTAACTAACTATAAAGGTGTTATTAAAAAGTAAGCAAATATAGAAAAATCTTTTGCACCTCCTTAAAATTTAAATCCGTCAGCACGCGTTTTGTATGGTGAAACAACATTTTTGGCACAAATTTAAAATATTTTTTATAATTTTATTGTTTTACTTATGTTATTGATTATCATGAGTACGACCACCAGCTGAAATTCGATTGGAAGTTTTTGTTACACCTGTATAAAATTAGCAACGTAAACTAAATCGACAAATTATGCTGACAATCTCTTTAACCGATCAATACAAACATGTATGCCAAAAGCCAATAAATCGCCCACCAATCAATTCAAACATTTACGCCTAAAGCCAATAAACACCCAATATTTTGGGATAAAAAGTTTTACATTACTTTTTTACATTACTGTAATAGATGGTAGTTTGTACTATAAAGGGTCGTTCAATCAGTGTGCATTCTCAAATGTCCTATTTGAGCATCGCCAAGTACCGGGCGGAATACACACACATAGTAACTCTCAATCTTCAGCAACACCAAGAAGACACTGACGTTTTCCATTCAAAGATACTTGTCAGTGACAATAGTGATGTTGCAAACGAGAACTCGTTGAGTGTTCCCCGCTGCGTCCAAGATTTATTATTGCTATTATTAAGTTATTATAGTATTACTAAGTCGCTTCTTATTTTCAAAACCGAATTGCGTCCTAGTTTGCAACGTGTATATATTTATTAGTAAGTATAACTTTGTTTAGGTATATGTATTTATACATATATTTATGTAGGTATAATATATCGTTATTTATTTATTAAGTATTTCATAAATTATAATAGAAGTTATATATTATTCAATTAATTTTTATTTGTAAATTGGCACATTACTTCTCCCACTCCGATTAGCTTTCCTCTACTTTAAAGGTTGTCTGGAAGAGATCGATCTTAGCGATAAGACCACCTTTGCCCACATTAGTTTTAAGTTGTTCATGTACTGTTCTTGTTCTTGTGTGCGAGCAATACAATGTATATCTATCTATCTATCTATTATTATTATCGAATCCAGTTTATTTCGTTGTTGTATTGCTTGGGGTGCACGAAAATTACCTCCCCGTGAGACGTACTACTCATATTCCCTGTACGTCTATCGCACCCTGGGCAACAATCGGCAAGCACCTTACGCCGATTGGCAAATCCTTTCACCACGATGGCAAACATGTCCCATAATTCTGGGGTGCAAGTATAAGCTATCGATACGAGAAGAAGATACATATAGGAAATGAAACTTTTTCCCAGATTTTCAAATAAATCAACGTTTCGGGCCCCTTACAGGTCCCATGGTCACGGTTGACTATAGTCAAATACTGTATATAGGAAAGTAAACAGTAATCGTAAATACTGTACTTTTTTTATTAATTTTGTTCAGTTGCTATTACTTCTTTATATTACTTTCTATGTTTACTATCTCTAATATTTCGATTGAAGGATTTGTATCTACGGTCATGAAATAAATTTAAAAAAACTGACGTTCTTGGAGACACTTCAGTGGCAGGAACATGACTCTGTACAACGCAAAATAGGTGCTACAATTTAAAAGTTAAATTGTACATAGAGATTTTTTATTTATTTACAATGACATTTTTACAAATAGAGATAAGGTTCTACCAAACTTCATAAAAGTTTACCGGGAGAGATAAACATTTTAGACACATGATGTAAAAAATTCGTATTTTTCTTTTTTTTTTTTGTTAACAAGACCTGTAACACTTGGGTGTTATTGTCGGCCTTGTGATGTGAATCCTTGTGGATTATTCTATTCTCTCGTGTCGCCTCGCAGAGAGAAGCAAGACCTCACATATGAGTGCAGAATTTTAACCCTCTTCGGCAACGGATCACTCATCACAACATCTAACTCTTATTAGCAGTAGAGCTCCTTGTGAAAGCGTTCGTCCAGGGTAGTATTTCCACCTTACGTATTTCTGCCGCCAAGCAGTAATGTTAGTATTACTGTGTTCCGGTTTTGAAGGGTGCAGGTGAAATTACAGGCACATGGGACTAGTCAACTTGTCTCCGGGATAGCCACGTAATGGCCACATTTCATTAAATGTAGCATATCTTCAAGTTTGTTTACATAGTGAATTGTTAACATAGTGGAGATTCCGTTCTTTTTATACGATGATAGAACTTATTTAAGGGAAGGTGGCCAATGCATTTCAAGAAAGTGCGCCGTCCACAAATCCGTAATTTGGTTTCATCTGGACATCTAATGTAACAACAGTGTATTATCCATGTGCTGTCGTTACAAGATAATTAACGTTAACACAATGTGTATCTGGATGAACCCTGTTCGTTTTATAGAAATGTTTCCATACCTTGCGGCATTTTAGTGTGAACAATTGGGCATCAGGGTACCGATGCGGTGGTGGGCCATCACGAATGACAATGTCAGCCACACGTGGTTCGCTTGAAGTACCCGTTAGCGCTTCTCCTTCCGATATCACCTGAAACAAATATATGTATAACGGTGCGTTATTAAAATAGTTGATTACTGATTACAAAAATATAGAATAGTTGGTTTATTCGTTAAATCAATGACTGTAGTTATTATTATTTTAGAGCGGGTAACACCGGCTGGAGTTGTAAGTGTCAGTTTTTCGGCGGGGAAGAAGGAGTATGACAGGTCGCCGGTTGTGATGTGCACTTACAAGGCCATTGACTGTAAATTTAACTATTTTGACGTTATTATTCACCGTGGGCTTAACGAATTGATAACGAAGAACGTATAGACTAATTATCAAATAATTCCAGACACAAATAGTGTCGAGGGAGTTTCCCTCCACGTCTCCCCTTTACGTCTTATTATGACATTTATATATATTTACAAAATCCCGACATATACAAAATAATGACAGGTGTAAATGTCAGAGGTTAGCGCGATGAACATCAAATAATAGATGATAGATAAGAGTAACACTACAGAGCTCTTAGATTTTCGCGATTGCTACACATTTGATATGAAATTATAATCGCGTATATTTATTTTCTCAAACATACTTTTTGTAAAAACAAATGTGAAGCGAAGACATAAAGGTAATGAATTCAATGTAATAAAAAGAAATTACATTAAATACAGCATCGGAATAAAACGCAAGTCACATTTAAAATTTCACTTTTTTTTAATTGTCAAATGGTAATTTTTGTTCACTTCTACGAACAATTTATCCAACCCGAACATCTACCACTAAATCCGCTTTAAAAATATGTTTGAAGTGCATAGATACAATACGACAAATCCATTTCATGAGACTAGACCAAAAAAGGAATCGAGATTTATCGGTTTTTGTTCCCCTTAATTATATTTTAGTTAGTTAAATAAATACAGTTAAGTAAAATATATAAAATGGCTATTTTACTTAACTGTATTTATTTAACAAACTGTGAAATATGCATTTAACATAATTTATTTTTATTACAATGAATTCTGTCAATAATTAAAAAATTATACAGTAGAAGCCTAATGGTTTGACCTCTCGTCGTTCGGTCCTGGATTCGAGCCTCTTGAGTTTATCAGAATTGATGTGCAAAACTTAATTTGAAATTCTCATAGTGAGACGAGGCCAATGTCCAGCACTGGGACTGTATATAGGCTAACTATTAACTATTTTAAGTACACATGCCACCACATCAAGCTACACATTGACGTATCTTGTTCCGTTGCGCTGGAGGCGATTTTCGAACAAAAATGTGTGGTCTGATGTGCCGTTGTCCGTACAATAAAACGTACCGGCAAGGTAGCCCCGACGAGCGCCGCGGCGTTCCTCGGCCACAGCAGCGTGGGCGCAGCGCGCACGGCCACGCGGTGAGTGTCGCCCATGCGCCCGCGCGACACTCGCAGCGTGGACACGCCGCGCATCGGCCACGTGCATTCTAGTACGCAGCACGCGCCATCTGTACAGTCGTGTAAGCCGATTAATGCTAATTTAATAATAACATGTCAGACGAGCACACCAATACGCGTTCAATCAGTACAGAGTACTAAAAAAACCGACCACAAAAGTTCGTGGAATTACATCTATTTAGCAAATGTTATTGAAATCGGTTACAGGAAGGTGCGCAAAACCGAATTAAATATAGATAGTAAAAGTAGAGATAATAAAAATCCGTGCTCACTGCTTTAAGTATATTGAGAGAACAACGCCTCCAATTGGAGCATAGCTAAATCAATCATTAAAATAATTGCTCCTTATACAATTTAGGTGCTATTTATAAAAATAAGTCTTCAAGCGTAAACAGCCAACCTTAGAGGTGGAATATTTTCTTCAAAATTAAATGCGACCACTACTGAGGTACCCTCTTTCAAACAAAAAGAGTCATCAAAATAGGTTCACAAATATGCCAACATATCATAGTTATCACGTAACATGCATACAAAAGTCAAAGTCAAAGAATCATTTATTCCATAGGTAAAATAAATTTACACTTGAAAACGTCACATTTAAGCTACTGCTTAGCTTGAAGTCAGTTAAAAACGACTACTAACTTTTCTTTTTTTATAATACCAAGTGACGGGACGAACAAGTCGTGAGCCTGGTGGTAAGGGACATGCCTGTCCATAGTAGTTGTAATGCCACTCAGATTATTAAGGTGGCAGTACTTCCCTGGACCAACTCTTTCACAAGGAGCTCTACTATTACTAAACAACTACAAAAAACTTTCACTGTACTTAGAGTACCAGAGCAAAGAATTTAACTCCGGGGCACCCGGAACTTCCAAACTTGAAAAAACTTACAAAAGTTTGTTTCCTAAATTGGTCCTACCGGGAATCAAACCAGAGACCTCCTCACCTGACGCAAATACCATATTATTGCGTGCATGAGCGCGAATTCAACTGTCGTCAAAGTCTAATTATTAATAAATAAAATTGTAGTAGACAAACAAAATTAGCAACAGTCAATGAAAATGCGGGAGCTGTACAAACAACATGTAATAATTACTGATAGCTAAGGAAACATGAAATTAGTCCAACATACTAAGGTTATTAATTTCTATTATACGAATGTTCGTATAAGTACATAAATGTATTAATAATTTTAATACATTTATATACATAAATCAATATTCCTTACCAATTGGTGGTATCCAGTGCGCAGCAGTTACGTTATGAGGTTCAGGTCCCTCCAGCAAAGATACGGCAAATGTTCCACAGTTGCATCTAAAATATTCAATAAAATTAAAAGGATAATTAGGTCATTGTTTTCTCGAGTAATTCCTTAATCCATTCATCTTATGAAGGCACGATCCAGTGCCATATACAAGCGAATGTCGCGTAGATGTGACACTTACATGTTAAAGTTGTATAGTTCACCAGTGACAGGGTGAGTAGCAGTGAGAGCTATATGCAGTTGATGTGGTCGACCCACTCGAGCGTGGCCCGTGCTTGACACTTGAACTAATTCTGGTGGAGCTGATAGCACTCTGCAACGAAAAGTATGTGTTAACTCAGGGCAATATCAACTCTTCGAGGTACAGTCGGAATTCACTATTTATTTTACTGTTGTAATGTTATAAACATAAAGTACATTTCACCATAACGCATAGCTAAGAAAACATCTATGATTTAAATGACATTCGCCATTTTCCTCATAGTGGTTTAGGCGATGGTGATACACACACAGACATGCGCCCTTTGCCATAGCATCATTGCAGAGACCGGGAAGTAAAGGATTGCCGGACGAGTATGGGTAACTAGGGAGACCTAGTATTATAAGAGTCCACATAATACAAGGTATTAAACAATTCCCGTTCCCGAGGGGTATGTAGAAAGTGGTTTTCTCAAACAACAAAAGTAATAATAAAAGACTGAAATATGAAGGTGAATGTATAATAGAAAAAGTAAAGCAAGGTTTACATGTTTGCTTCTTGTTTTAATTGGGCGGAGTATAGCTCATTATTGAATTTTCGCTCTTCTCACTAGAACTCGTTTTCGCGAAGAAAATGCAAAAAAGTAGAAATAACAAAAAAGAACTTCAAAGTACTTTTGTTTATTTTACCGTCTTTTTTAAAGTATGCGGCTTACACTTCGATAGTCTTAGCGCCCAGTTACACGAGACGAAAGACTTCGCGCGGCCGCTGCGCTGCGACCGCCTAGTTACCACGCCTTCATGTACATTAATGGCGAATCTGAATTCTATTTACTGGGCAACAACATTTAAATTTCTCTGAATAATACAACCGCGGCCGCCGCATTGACCAAATTCAAGCCAGACTCGCCCGCGTGCCCAGGTAGCTCATTTAAGTTAAAACGTAAAAGCTAAATGAATAGAGCGCGGCGGCAACGCGGACTCCGCTCAGCGACCGCGGGGTGATTGTGATGAAATTCGTGTCGAATAAACGCGCCCTAAGGGTGCAGGTATATTAGTGCACCACAATTAAATGCAAAATAAGTATACGACAGACAATATTTTTTTTAATTCGCGCAATTACTATATAATGAGCAGTTGACTGTATGACAGTTTTTCATTCGTCTATTTACGTAATTAGTAGGTATATTTATTGCGGGTTATTTTTTTGAAAGCATCAAGTATATAACTTGAGAGTAATGCAAACATAAAAGCAATCTAGAGACGCAGGCTTTGCGAAGTAGCTTGTTTGTGTATCTGGTCTGTGTATTTGTATATGGTCAATTTAAATTGCACTTGGTATTGTGCAATTTAAATTGACCATTATCGTAATTATTACTCAATTTCTTTTCATGTCTAAATGTTGTACCTATGTGTCATTTAATTTATTTATAGTGTCTGATTGTGTATTTTTACAAATTAGTATTTGAATTTTAATTTTTTTATTATTGCGGCGTTCTATTCTGTGACAGGCCATGGCAGAATATCAGCGAGAGCTATGTAATTAGCATAGTCCTCAGATGCTGAGTCATGGACTTTTTGACATGCTTTTTTTGCTCATTCGTTTTAACTTTATTTCTTTTTTAATTTGTTTCCTTTCCTCTTTTCCTCTTTTCTTTTTTTTGTATTTATGAACAAATTATTTAATATTTTATAATTGTTTGCAATGTATTTTGCTCGTGAAATATAGTCGATTGTACAAGTGCATAAAACGCGTCACTTTACATGGCGAGGGTGGATACTTAAGTCGAGGGTAAAAAGGGTTTTACGAACGAATTATACACTCTGCTTTTCACTTCGATTACGAGGAAATTAAACAGCAATATTACAAATAAACGATTATTTAATTAAAATTGAATGTAAAATTACAATATTTAGACATATTTAATATGTGATGGTTTTTTATTTTATGCACTAGAGCATAAAATCTTATTTTATGCAGCCTACAGCATAAAATCCTATTTTATGCAGTCTACACCAGCATAAATACGAACTTTAAGAGCATGAGAAGTGAAAAAGACGATTTTATTTTATTTCCTAGCACGTATGAGAATAAAATATTATGTACTCAGTAACTGACCTTCCAAAAGCAGTAACGTGATGGTACTTTTCCAACTGAACGCGTACGCCGATATTGCCCGTTCCACGCACTGTGACCACGCCCGTGGGTGCGAGCGTGAGAGCGTTGTATGACGCAGTAGGCTCTGTCTCCGTCCATATTACGGGTACACCGCCGCGATGTCGTAAGGTTATTTCCCTGGAAAAATAATCAAGAAATATTAAAACTGCTTGCCACTTGCTATAGCCACTGCTTGGATATTACCACAGGATACCTAATAATACAAATACAGAAGACTCCTCAGAACGCTTGACAAAATTACAGAAATATAGCTGGCCACAAAATGAAATTTACTTCCATGGTAATCAAATTGAATCCTATGATCAACATTGTAAACCGATTAGGTTACGCACAGAGTCTAGTGTCTATGTATTAAGAATTGGCATGCTTTACTTTATTATATTTTAGCTATAAACACTATAATATAACAAAGTAATTTTTATTATTATTAATTTGCTTGAACTCGACCGCGTTTAATGAGCAGTTACATGTGCAACGCTTGTGGATACGTTGTTCCATTACGCCCCACCGCTGTATGTAGTTTTTAAGGTTACACTATTCTATTTAATAAGACAAAGAAATCTGATAATTTCGACCAGAACTACAGAAAATAAAAGTTTCTAAGTATCATCAAGAAGTTGTTGTAGCCTAATGGTTTGACCGCCTCTAAAGTAGAAGCCGTGCGTTCGAATCCGGGCTAATTTATATGCAAATTTAATTCGAAATTTGTGAAGGAAAATGTCGTGACTAAACCTGAACGTCGAAGAAGGAAGCACGTCACAATTCTCGGAAAACGTGTAAAGTCGCCAACCGGCATTGGGCCAGTGTGGCGGACTATGACCTAAATGCGCGCCTGACAGGAGACCCGTACTCAGACGTGGGACATCGAAAATTACACCTTTCTTTTTAAAAATAATACATACTGAATGCTGTCAGTCCAAGCTATATAAAGTTCTGGTGGCACAACTTCCAATGGATCTATTGCTATTGCTGACACTTGCCCTTCCACCTGCAATATTAAGAAAATTTAGGATTTACATAATTCATAGAGTAATCTTGCAATTATTGCCTGCCGTCTCATATACGTAAGAGTATCATGAGTGAGCTAGAACAAAAGCAATGAAAAATGAACAACGTACTAGAACTAGAAAATGATACTATTTTTCCGGATTGAAATCACGAATATTTGTTTTTTCAAACAAACCAACGTTTCCTAACCTAACGTAACCTGACCTGGGGGACCTGAACGGGACGTGGAAAGGAAAAATAGTTTCGTTTCCTATGTGTAACTATCGCGAAAACCTAAGAACTAGAACTAATTTATCTCACTTTGACTGATTAATAAAGAGTTATCTATATTCAAATTCAAACAAGTAGTCTAAAACAAAAACAATCAAAAAATTAACTTTACCTTACGGTTCAAAACTTTTCCAGCAATAGAATATAACTTCGCAGTAATTGTCAAAGGCCCAGCTTTCCGTGCAACTGCATCAGTCAATGTTCCATTCTCCGTTGACGACAACAAATCTACGTTAGCTTCACCTTCTGCCGTGAGACGTATCAACACTTTATCACCAGCAGTAAGCGCATGGCCATCTTTATCCAGCACTATTGCATGTATCAAAAAAGGCTCCCCTCGAATAAGTAGTTCTGCAGGTCGTAGCTTAACCTTTATAGAATGAGGTTCGGCTACAATTAAGGTCGCTGACGCTACTTCAGTCATTCCAGACATGAGTAGTACGTTCGTGGTGCCGATCTCTGTACCCGTGACAAGACTTACTGAGTCTTCTAAGAAAGCCACCGAGGTTTCCGGCACCCTCATGTAATACAGTGTTTCTGATATGTCTTGAATAGTTAATCTGCCGGCGCGCGCTCGCACTATTCTAAAATAAAATTAATTAAAATTATTTTAACATCCCACAATGCAAAATACTTTTAAAAATAAATACATAATATACTATATTCTAGATATCCTATTGCTTTGAGTTTCGGAGCTATTCGCGTTTCACGGAACTTCACGAGTGCATTGTTGACTTGAATTTTCTCGTTCATTAGAATGCTACTGCATTTCAAAGTAGTGATCATGATCAATGTTGTCAATAGTGCGTGCGTTATAATTTATGGAATGTATAATTTTACGAGACAACTCGGCATTTGATGTTCGAAATTCGAAATTGCTAAAATAATACGATCGTCACTTATGGGATCGCTGGCCAGCACAACTTCTAACTCCGGCAAACTCTCGTCAAAGCTCAATGCAATACAAAGCAGTTTCGAATTGACGATATATTAAATAAACATTTTTATTTTCGTTTAATTAAAACTTTTTATCTGCTACCCCTTGCAATACTACTTATAAATCTAAAAACTTATAGATGTGACTCGCATTTGATTATATTTTTTTCGATAATGAATTGAGATTTGACCTCACTATTGTAATCTGTCAAAATGTCCATCATAGCATGCCGATACTGTAGTGAACTGTAAATTACTACAAGCGTCTAATTTAAAACTGGACTTATTTATGCTGTCTACAGCTTATATAAAATAATTTGTATTCACAGAAGATTTATACTAAGTATATTTTTACCCCTTATGAATATTGCGTATACTGGCATGGACAATGCCAGTATACACAACCGACCGATGATTTGCATTACAAAAAAAATTAGACAAACTAAACACTTACTTGTACCGCAAAGTATCTCCTGGCGCTATAGTGGCCATAGCAGGTGTTAACACAACACTGGCAACCACATGTAAACTGAAATCAGTACAAATTTCAGAGTCCGGAAGGCATACAGTCACGCGACATTCACCCATTCCCTGGCCATATAGAAGTACTGTGTAGGAACGAAGGCCTACTGCTTCCAGTTCCGTCACTCCTTGAGGTGGTTCGTAGTCTGTATCGCGCCATCTGACCAAACTGCGATCAAAGAAAATAAAATGCATAAAGCAATAAAGAGCTAATCGTTCAAAACAAGGGTGGACAAAATAGTGGACATCGATCTATATTTCAGTGTTTAATAGGTTTTATAATTATGTTGTAATTGTTTCTCACTTATTACGTACAAATAACACAAAATAACTATGAAAATAACAATTTGACCATTAATACTTTTAGTTTCTTGTAATTTATTTCTTAAATAGTACAGGTATCAATAAATTTTAATAAAACTCGATTCACGACAAAAATCTTTGTTGCCCGGGCGCCCGTCTCTGTTTCCTTGTGAAAGAGAGATTTTCAATTTTATTTTGTTAATAAAAAGACTAGACATCCTTGCACATGTCAGACTTTATGTCCAGATTAATCAAATTTCGGAATGGTAACCTTACATACAGATCACAAAGGCAAAGTAATTTGCCATTTGCAACGTGACAGATAATGTATGGCACTACTCTGTAGTATGGTAAAGGCCTCGCCTTTGACATGAATAACAGATGTTAGTCTGACATATTTCATCTTTTTATTACTATTGTATAATGTTACTCTAAATAAAAATATATTTGAAATCTTATGATCTTTAAATACATATTGCATAATATGTTGTAACACATAACTTGAGAAATAATATGACTCATAATTTTGTTGTCTACGTAATATTAACAGTACGAACATAACATTTATATTTACTTACGTAACAAGTGGATCGTCGCCGTCAACGAGATTGTCAATGTTCCATATAAAACTCACACCTTCTAAGGTTGAGAATGTGTTGCCTGAAACAAGTGTTGTAATAATGTTGTTACTGTAAAATTTTAGGTGCTCCTTATTTTACTTATGATATGCTTGCTATTTACTCCTAAAGCATGGAGGAGTCACTAGGGTGATGAATTGCACAAATTTAAATTTTTATTACAAACCACATAAATGAGCTACTGTAGACGTCTTGTACAAGGAAATGAGTTGGCTTATACTTCATCTAAAATTTTCCTACAGTATGAGACCAACCAAACCAATCTCATTATCTCTTATTTATTTATATATTAGTATGTGCCAAATAGACAACCACGCCTTTCAAATGGTCTTAAACTAGGGAATTCATTGTACCATGAGTATCAAATGGAACTCACTCTGGACCCTACCCAGAATGGACCACAAACTGCTTAGAAAAGGCTGTTCCCCAAATTGGTCCCACTAGGAATCCAAGACTTCCTCATCTAGTGGCCACAGAGGAAACTGTCGGGACACTAAGGATCGTATTCTAGAACTCTACTCAATACTCAAGTCAGGACTTGAGTATTGCAGTGAGCACTGAAAATCATACTCAAGGCCTTGCCATGAGGATCATATTTCCAGTACTTGAAATCATACTCAAGTCTGCTCAAATCCTGACTTGAGCATTGAGTAGAGTTCTGGAATACGACCCTAAGATAGTCAGTAGCATTCTCGTAAATCAAGTTGCAAACTCTTATAAAACTTTCATATCAAAATAAACGCCTCGACGTCGAGTTACGGACACTAGCCCAAGTATCTAAATATAAAAATAATAAAATCTCACTTTCATACAATTTTTTTTCTGTCTTAATTTACAGGCAAGCCCAACATTGTTTACATCAAACAAATAAAATAGGTAAGGTGGCTGTATTTCTCTGGACACTCTTTCACAAGGAGCTCTACTGCAAAAAAAAACTAAATGACTTAGTACTCACCGTCATCATCATAAGCAACAACCTCAAAAGCCTCAGGTGCTTCTTCCAAGTACAGCTTCCATGTTGTACTCATCACCTTCAGCGAACTAATTTTATCTATGTTTACATCTCCACGTAGGATCTGAAACCACCACATTACAAAGTTTGCCTTAATGTTGGCACAAAATCTTCTCTTTGGAAAACCGACAGGTTTCCCCATTGAGATTTGTCATTGTTTCCATGGAAGATGTTCAAAAATAGTTTTCACCATCAATTTCAATCAAAGATCAAATCACAAAATTATGTGCCATTCAAAGAGGTCAATACTTAATACACTGACGGTAATATAGTAGATATTACTATTTAATTATTAGTAATTTGTTGGTAATTTAGTTTACATCTAACACACATGGTAGGGATATGTTAATTAAAATTAAGGAAGTAGGTACATTTCAATTGGTACACAATAATGCTTTAGGATCTAATCAACAAAATGGTGGCTGCATAGTAAAAGGTTAACAAGCATCCTTCGCTTTGTAGTTCGTCTTTACAAAGCTAAAATTTCAAATCCTGTGTTATGTTTATAAATAAACACACGTGTTCCCGCCAACTTTCATAATCATTTACGTACCTCGCCGGTGTTAACTTCTTCGGCTAAGATGATTACAGAGCCTGGTGGCACGCACGATTTGGCCACTGAAACCCGTGCAGCACGTGAGCAATGCGCCCAGCTATCCTCGTACAGAGGCTCTAAATCAATGATGTCATCGCGAGATAAACTCCTGCAAAAACACCTTGTTCATTACACCAACAACAATTTGATTACCCAGGAGATAACTTAGGATTATAATAAACGCCTTACCAAGTATAACAACCCCCTTCAATAATTTCAAACGTAAAATTCACATTTAAATTTGGAAACCAAGGAAGCAACACCCTTGGAGTGTTAATTTTAGCACTTAAACATAACTGAGCGAGTGAACACGCTAAACAAATAAGTATAACTGTCTGCTGATGAAAACCCATAATTGCTGGGTTTGTAATTACACATATATTTAAGAAAATAAACACAACTTCTTCAACAACTCTATAACCTCAAAACGCAAATCGCACAATTGCATTTTTAAATTTTGACAGTTTGCATAATTGCTATATTTTATTTTCTGATTCGTACATTCATACATACGAAATCACATTAGCAGTTCTTTTTATTTAATTTTATTTATGGAAAACATAATCATTGGAAAAAAGATTTTTATTTTAATAATAAATTTGTTAAAATCTGTAACAAAAACCGAGCTAAACTTGCCATAAAATATTTCTACAAAAAGCATTGACATACATTTATTTGTAAGTCAAAAACGCCTTTTAAAAAAGCATCCAGTCTGTCCCGTTAAACATTCGCTATCTATATCTAGTGAATGCTTATATTAGCTATATAAGTTAAGCATTCACTATCCTGCATGCAGTCCGCTTAGCCATCCGGAGCGCAATTGTGTATGAAGTATGAAATTGTGCACGTTGCGACTACATTCATAATTCTGGAAGGTGGTCACAACGTGCACGACTTCATACATGGGCCATATTCAAAATAGTAAGGGAGCAGTTTTTTGTCTGCGCGGCGGACCGCCATACTGGCCCAATACTTTCGTTCTCCATCCGACATCCGCCCGAAACAATTACTGTCAAATAAGTAATACTCGACCAAATAAAAGAAGCACGATGCGAATGAAACTTCATACTTACTTGATAGTGTCTTTTAATTACGTCGCATATTAGTTATTTCTCAATAATTGTTTCAATGAATGGCAAAAATAGGTGTCCTGTGTCAATGACGCTTAGAATACAGCGCACAAATGTGTTTTTAATACCTTAAACCGTTGCCAATGTCAGTGCAAAGAAAGAGTCGACAATATAAAATACTTTGGTATTACTATTAACAAGAACCTTACTTTTAGAAATCACATTGATACCCTATCTCAGAAAGTAAGAAAGCTGTCGTACAAATTCAAATACCTACGTCATGTAGCAGATAAGGACTCTCTCAAAATGGTGTATCAGGCTCTTGTAAAATCTATCTTAACGTACTGCATTACAACATAGGGTGGCGCCGCAAAAACAATACTGTTGGAATTTGAAGGAGCTCAAAGGATATTGTTGAAAATTTGACTTTTTAAATCTAAATTATTCCCGACTGAAAATTTATACAAGGAGTTGAATTTGTTAACTGTTACATAGCTATACTTATTATCTATTACACTTCATCAACACTCCAAAATACCTTTCCAAAACCGTAACATCGTGAATTAGAAAAGAAGACATTACTCTGTCTGTGCGTCAGTTTCTGTTAGAACATCTTTTACTCTAAGGTTTTTCCGCTTCCGATCAGGCAGAGTATAAAATTTATTTAATAAAAAACTAAATATAATAAATTTGTCAAATTATGAGTTAAAAAGGAAATTGATTTATACGTACAAACACTACAATACGAAAATGCTGTGAAAATAATTGAAATAACACACACACACACACAACACACACATAATCGTGCGCACACGCCCGTATCTCCTTCTCTTTATAGGCTCTTGGTACTTAAGAACATAATGATGTAATTATAATGTAATCTGAGTTGGGAGGCCTGGAGACCTAAAATATATAATATTTCCGATTTAGTTAAGGCTTTCCATAAAACATCTACTCCGTTTCGTAAGTTTTCTAGTAAGTACAGTCAAGAGCACATCAAGCTTGACAGTTTGTACTTTGGACCGTTCTTATCGTAAGGGGCATAGAGTTGGATTTAAGTCTTGAGTGTCAAGCTTGACGTGCTCTTGACCCTGTACCTAGTCTTATTACTTTGTGGAAGGAATAAATAAAGGAGAAATAAACGATTATTATTATTGTTTCAGACGAATGTCAGGTACTGAATGGGCCGTTTCAAAGGGAGCATTCGTTATCCTGCATTGGAGTCCGCCTTGCCGTCGGCCGGGCAATGCAGGATTATAAATGTAGTCGCAGCATGCAAGCTATCCTAACTTCATACGTAGGTCATACGCAGGATAGTGTGTGAGCAGTCTCCTGCCGGTGCGGCGGACTGCCATGCAGGTAGTGAATGGGCCGTTTTATACAAACTGATGGGTAATTTTCCGAATTTCAGATATGGGAAATTTTTCCGGAAACATTCCCGAAAAGTTGGAAAAGTTTGAAAATATAATATGGAAGGCTCATATTATGGTCTACGTTTAGAAATATCTTTTGAAATTTTATATAACATGAAATAATAAACTTGTATTTTGCTTGTATAGCTGAAAACTCAAGCAATCACACCACTATATACCACTGACTTGTTGTTGGCTCCGTCATATACGTTCAGTAACAGTAAGTGTGGAAAATTAAAGAAAAAATATTGGAAAATATCCGGAAAATATTTCTTTTTTCTGAAAAACATGGTTTGTTTCAAAATGGAAATTTTTCCGTGACCCAATACAACAACACTCAAAGATCACAAATACATCTTTTCTCCATTGGTAACAAGGACATAATTGTCAAATGACTAAAATGGCTGCTTCGTCATATTTTATTGTATTTTGGTGGAATTTTGTACATATTAGGCGCAATGTGGACAATAATTGATTGAATTTAGTGGTTTCTCTGAGTTCCATGTATAGAACTAGTGCAAAACCTCTATGAAAACTTTTAACAGCAAGATGTCCGTCGAAAAGGCTGTAGAAATAAAAAGTAACGAGATCGATAAAGGCAGACGTCGTCATAAAACTGACGACACTGTTGTTGCGACAGTGGCAATGAGCGGCGGCGAGGATACAATGCAATACATAAAGATGGAAAACGCAAATGAAAGTGCGGGAAAACCCACAGAGTTGTGTTTACAAAGTAACTCGCATCTTGTATCTAGTACAACGAGTAGTTTAGCCGATACGCCTGGTGATTCTGGTGTTCTATGCTTAGATAGTGAGGGCTCTGAGATCACAAGCCAGGCGCTGATGTCGCACAGTTTGATAGGGGCGGAGGAACTGACCTGTGATAGCCAATACGACGCCCCACCATCAGGCTCTCAAGACATGATTAAAAGCACGTCAAGCAGCCTCATGACTCGCAGTGACATTGACAACCAGAATATAGGCGCTACTGACGATATTGTACCTGAGCTCTTAGTGGAGACTCACAAAAAGTCACCTATTTACGAGAACCTGCCAGATGTAATTTTGAAAGCTTTAGAAAGCGAGAAGATTTGTGCAGAAGAGTCACAAGTGCATAAACCTGCTTTGAGAACCAATGAGCCAAAGAAGTCTCTGTCAGAGGATATTGTATACAGGAGACGATGTAGGAAGAAATCTCAAAGTGGGCCAAGCTCAGTGAAGAAACGGGTATCATTCCATGAAGACATATTAAACAATACTAAAACAGATAACATTCACATAGAAAGGGGATTCATCTCTTACAGACCCGATGGCTCATACTGTGATAGATTTAGACAAAAGAACAACATAGTGACTGATAGGTTTTCATGGTGTGCCTCAGGAGATAGACCAAATTATGCAGCTGATGTTGCACAGCAAACAATGTCTGACAGTCTTATTTACGGTGACTCCAAAAATGACCGAAGTGGAATATTTGAGTACCAACATTATGATCAAGAATCAGAAAATATTGACAATAAAGACAAAGATAACAACAATGATCCAAGGCCAAATGGAAAGCTCTATGGATGTGACTCCAACAGCTCTGATTCCAATTTTAGCTGTGACTCTGAAACTTCATCTAGTGAATCATCATCCACCAACTCAAATTCAAATAAAACTGATAATTCTCCAGTACACAGAAAAGATAAAGCCCAAAAGTCATACTCCTGTGATGCATTTGATAATAATGGCCATGTGGCTTTTATGAGAAGAACCTATTTTTCAGAAGCTGATATTGATCAGTCTCATGATAGAACAAAAGTACCCTTAGAAGTATCTCAAAGTCCCAACAGAGTCAAATCTGTTTTAAAGAAAAATAGGTACATTACTACTAACATTGTTGAAGAGAGGAAGCAAAACAAGAAAGTCCTAAACTTATTAGATACAAATAACTTGATTGGTTCATTGAAAAGTTTCTATAAAAATTTCAACTTTAATTTTGCTCCTGAGAAAGGCTTGCCTGAAAACTGTTTGGAGTTGAGCAATGTTGTTGAAGCTTTACCTTGTGATGTCAATCAGAATAAGAAACTGTCAAAAAGCTTGGACTCCGGATTCCAAATTGATGATGAAGATGATTTTGTGGAGATTAACTTAAATGGGCAGCCACTTGACAATGACAGGCCTAAGGAATTAGCACCATCGAAAAATATGGCATCTAGTAATAAAAATCCCAAAGAAGGATCACCTAGGCATAAGTTGACATTGAACATGAAAGGCCAGCAGGACAAGAAGTCTGCAAACAAAGTAGATATTTTGCCAACAGTCAACAAGTATGTTGTGAACTGTGAGAGCACTGTTTATGAGCACAAGGGAGTGTCTTACAGCTATGTTCATGATACATTCCAGACTGCATTTGATGCTCCAAAAGAAACCTTTGTCCCTCTTCCTGAATCTACTCCAGTAAAAGAAATGGTTATGAGTGCAAGTAAACTGGAACTGAATTCAAAACAGTCAGATGTTGAAACTTCCAGTAAAGCTTCCACCCCAAAAAAGCAGTTCAGCAGAAATCTTCAAGATGAAACAGAGTTAAAGAATGGTCTGTCAAAACATCTGTCATCACCTAAAAAGCAGAATGTCAACAGATACAGTAGAAAGTTGACATCTGGTCAGAAGGTGAATGAGGAAACTGCTCAGGCAATTAGTGACAATTGCTCCAACACAGACAATTCAACCTTAAAAGGAGCTGAGGATTTCTGTGACGAATTTTTTGATAGCCCTTCAAATCTCAAAATGCAATCTAACAAATCCGCTTTGTTGAACAGATATTTGAAAAATGTTTGTCAAAGAAAAGATCTTGAATTGAAAATAAAGAACAATAAGTTTTATCAGGTAAAACTTATAATGGAAAAGCGGTTCCCAAGCATCATATTTCCTTTCAAAGATGTGTCGGAAAGTTTCCCTATATCGGCGGCGAGAATGTCAAGGCTAATTGACAAAGAAGTTATAGAGAACAAAAGGCTTTCAGTGCGCCTTCTCACCGCCGACGAGCCTTCGTACTTTGATAGCTTCGAGGACAATGTTGCTATTGAATGCAATGAGAAGCTTAGACTACAGATATTCTCTTACCCTAATGAGACTCTGCACAGGGTAAATCTTTTTAATATAATATCGTAAATCTTTTTAATTTAATATAATATATTTTAATATAATATTTTAATATAGTATATTTAAATATCTAACCTCACATAATATTTCTTCATACACTTCTCAATATCAATTTAAATTGTTATGGATTAATAAATTACTTTGACTTCTAGATGATGAAAGTTCAGTCACCATACAACATGGAAGATGGCTCATGGACCCCTCTCCTAGTTTTCATTACGGATTACGCACTTTACGTTGCTTGTGTTAAAACAGGCGGCACGGCGTATGAAATGTTGTGCAGATTACCGCACAACGAACTTGATGCCATTGCTGTAAGTATACTTTTATCTGTAAGTCAACTTGTTTACAGTCTATGAGATAACAAGCTGATGAACTCATTGATTAAAGTACGATTTACGTACATTGTTACTTAATTATAAATAATGAATGGAATTACCTCAATAACATTTTGTTTTACTTACCACAATTATAAAATACTAACAATTGACGTCAGCATGAAAGTTAGTATAGAAACAAAAGACAAATAAGGTAAATAGGCGCTAACCGACGTTTTTCATTATTGTTGACGGTTTTAGGTGGGTCCTGAAGCACAATACATCCAGATTGTGGATATAGCTGGTAACGTCGCGTGTTCTGTAGTGACTGGGGAGTGTTCCCTTGGGCAGCGCCTGGCCTCTTCGCTGGAATGGAGCGCCCGAACATCGCCATTGAGAATACAGAGACCGCCAGCTATGCTACCTTTGAGCTGCCGACAACTTGCTACATCATTTGCTAAGCAACAACATGAAAAGCGGGTGAGTTGAGTCTAAATACTACATACATATGTAGTCACAGTAGAATTGAGTTTTTTTTTAGAAAGAAGTTTTTATGTGAAGCAGAACCAGATTAAGTTAGTTATACACTAAACAAATTCAAATTTTATGCCAAGTGCTAGATTATTATTTTTATTAATGTTATTTATTATCTTTTATCACAATGACAAAATATTAGTTGTAATATACAATTGAAAACGATTATACAAATAACTCATAAAATAATATATTGATAGTAGTGTCAGAGTCGCAAACAAGGATGTATCATATCATAATATAATGGTGAAAGCAATGACCTTCAGTAACTGAGTAATGTAGAAAAAAGTCATGAAATTACTCGTAGGAAACGCCGGGAACCACAGATGAGTCACCGTGTTTGTTCCAATGAGTCGTACCCCCTACGGTTCCTGTTACATAGGACAATTTTATGTAGAAAATGACCCATTTGTTCACATTTTAAATAATGATAAAAGGTATACAGGAAAGAAATAAAAGGTATATGTAATCAATTGTGCCATATTTCCAATAGCATAGGTTATTACGACTTCGTAAATGTAAGTCTTGTAATGTTTTGTACCGAAATATAACACCTTTAGGTAACTTAAGCGATAGCTACCGCGGCAGCTAGAGGTGGAACATGAAAGAATGGTGGAAAAACAAATTGCTACTCCCTCTGTCGCGTAACTATACATAGATCTCTTTTACCATTGCACACTAGCCTTTCAACCAAATATATTTAATAGTTTACAAAGCTGTCAATAGTTTACAAGGCAATATATGTGTTATAAACTTACTTATGTATGTATTATAAACAATATGTGTGTTTTAAACTTACGTGTCATCTGTTAATATTAACATTGCATTCGTTAATACGTTAGGAATGGCGTGCATTCAACGTATCAAATGAATGATAGTTGTGCTTGAGTGCTTGTGGCCTCACTTTAACCGAATTACCGAGTTACTGACTATGCTGTATTTGCATTGCATTTTAACAAAAGTAATATGATGTTTTCGTAGAAAAGGGATCACGTGTAAATACTTTTTATTTATAAAAGTTAACAATAAATGTCCATAAAACTATGCTAATATACTTAACTCGAAAATCTAAATGTCAACTCGAAAAAAATAAAACTAATGAACTTGAAAACCGCTATTTGTACAAAGAAGACAAACTGTATACAAGTATTTGGCATTCCGCAACTACTAAGCACTTCCGAGTATAATAGGTATTTCCGAGTACAATTAATTGTTTCCGTACGAACACTTAGCTTAGATCAATATCCCATGTCTCTTGCAACAAAACACAATCTATTAGCAAATTCATGAATATTAAAAGTAATTAGAACGGAAATAGCTGTGAAGTTGCGAATGCAGCGGTCACCCACCGTATTATTGCTCGTTGCCATAGTGTGACCTTCACGCGCGATTGTAAAGGGGTTTGCTTTCTCAGTATCATGCTTACTTGGTGTACAAACCATTATTGGTTTATTTTAGTCTTTTCTCTAGTAATAAGCCTATTCAACACGGCTTTTAAACACTCATAGACTTCTGTAAATGATTACGTCAGTCACACGAGATGCATTGCCACTCTAAAGTAACAGGATGCAATCGGAAAGCCTTTATGGGTAGGCGATGACTGCATTGCGACTGCACTTTGCTTATATTAGCAGTTGGCCATTGTGGTACAGTCGCGAAGCATTAGCGTGCAGTCGTGACCACTTTATATACGTGTATATTTTACGACTGCATTACAATTGCTAATTTGCAGTCTCGATGCAGTTGTAATACAGCTCGTGTGCTAGACTGTTTCACTACGCATACGTTGTTATTTATACAAGTAAATGCATAATAATTCTCGTCTGATTCACTTTTTATAAATATCTTTTACATCTATACATAACACTACGTACTATGCTAGGTATTGGAGCGAACTTATATTTTTCGGGTGGGCTAGGTGACGTTAACAAATGAATGTTAACATTGTAAAGTAATCTGTATAAGGGTATTACATTATTAAACATTTATAATTGGTTAATCAACAAATAGCTGAAGTTAATTTTAAAGAATGGTAGCATAATCGATAATGCATGGTTGTCAACAAACCTCGCCCCAGCAACAAGTAAGTTTACAGCTAAAATACCAATATGCATAGGTGTTTTAATAGCAGTAGAGCTCCTTGTGAAAGGGTTCGTCCAGGGAAGTACTGCCACCTTACTTATTTCTGCCGCCAAGCAGTAATGTCGGCATTACTGTGTTCTGGTTTTGAAGGGTAAGGGTGCTGGTGAAATTACAGTCACATGGGACTTGTCAACTTATGTCTCAGGGTGACGGGGTAGTGGTAGTGCCCCTCAGATCTTTGCAATTTAAAGCTCTGAGTGGCACTGTAACTGTTATGGACAAGCGTGTAGCTTACCATCAGGCACACGACTTTTTCGTCCCGTCACTTGATGTTATAAAAAAAAGACTGTTGTTCACTGTCTCATTGTCCTATTGATTTTCAATTGCTTTGTTAAACAAAATTAGTTCATCAACGCGTAATGTTATTTGTTCTTCATCGATGCCATTTGATTCAATTATCTAAATGTCTATAGTAATACAACAATTGAATTTCGAAATAAGCTTTTATGCTCTTTAGTGCCCCCAGAGCAAACGTCGTAGCTTATATGTAGCGGATAAAACACGATATCCTAACAATTAAGTTTTCATTTAGATACCTCAAATCCTGTTCTACGGGCGCGCATGTTCTGGTGACGCAGGGGACCGTCTAATCGAGGCGCCAGGCGCCTTCGCACCGCCACTCGAGGGTTACCTTATGTGCCGTACTGACAAGAGCAAACGCTTCGAACCCTGCTATTTCCTACTCAGGTAAAAAGCCTTCATCTCCTGTCATAATACATTTAATGCCATAACCACAAATAAACTGATGCAAAGGTAGCACTATTGAAAGGCAGTATTTAGTCATTTTAAGGTCCCTGCACATTATCTCAATGAATATCTGCATGATGATAATTAAATTATTTCAATTGATCCACAGAGCTGGTGTTCTCCACTGGGGCCCACCCTCACCTGACGGCACAACACCTCTGCCAAACAACATCGCTCTACGCTCAGTTGTAGGAGTCAGACGGCACATGGACTCATCTCGAAGGCCACATTGCTTCGAAATTGCTCTCAGCGACGCCAGCCGGTTGTTGCTAGCTGCACCTGACGACCCCACAGCCTCCTCATGGCTGCAGTCTCTACTATTACACGCCGCGCAGGTCATCATCTTACAAAATACGGAACAATAATTTACAATTTAAAAATATGGTTTTAATACGAATTGGCAAAGTATTCACATAATTACAATGTATATTTAAAATGGCGGTTGTCGATTCTGTTATACTGTTTGTTACATATGTAGGTCACAACTAAAACTACTTAATATTATTTCATAATACTATTCAAAATTTCCAGGCGTTGGAAGAAAAAGACGGCACTAAAAAAGACTCGCGAGCCGGCGGACCACCCGCCGCATGTACAATCATCGTCACGCCTCACGAAGTGATCAGTCTACGTGACACTCTCGATATGGCCTTTGTGGAAGGGGCTGCTGCCTACCTTAAGGATAGAGGATCAGAGGCACTGCTCAAAGGTATTTTATTTTTGTCTGTCTTTTTCGTTTTTTTAGACATCTTTTCTGACAGCATGAACCTGTTGGTAACTTTATCTATTTAAAATAAACAATAGCAATACTTAAAATGTTCAATATAGAAATATTCAGATACTGATGTGTGCAAGTTTTCTAGAAAAAATTAGTACCGTTCTCTCTCAAAAAAAAAATTTATCTATTTTAAATGAAAAACGACGATAGGTGATACTTTCATAGCCTAGACCAGGGATGGGCAAATTTTTTCATTAGGGGCCAGGGCCAAAATTAAAAAAGATACACCTTTTGTAATATTTTCATTATCATTATTGCGTAGTATGTTAGGTTGAGTGTATGTTAGCTTATATCGACGAGGTTGTCAAAATATATTTTTCTGAAGGTCAGATACTTCTGCTTTAGAAAGGACGTTGGCGGCTCGGTTTAAAGCACTTCGCAGGCCATATTTTGCCTAACTCTGGCGTAGATTTTATTCGACCTTTAAAAATTTATATGAACTGATTTGTTGCAGAATACATCGCAGAAATGCATCGCGAAGTCGAAATTTTGGCATGTGGCTCTATCAAGAATTTGACGGCTTTTAAAATTCCCGACACTGACGAAAACTGGTGTTGCCTGGTTCGTAAATAAATAAATATTATTTCTTATATTTATGAAAGTGTACACGTTTTTATTTGCGCTTATTTTGCACTTGCCATTAATTTTTATTTGTTTATTTGATATTTGCAATCAGTGCCACTATCCGCAAATTTGTTGATAATAGTCATTGTAGATGGAGGGTTCGTCTACAATGACTATTATCAACAAATTTGCGAGTGAGTTTCTGTGAGTTTCTTCTCCTTAATTTATACATTACGGCAATACAATTGGAGTATGTCTATTCACTTGAGCCATTTGTCGTAACTGCAGATTGTCAACTGTTTTGCCCATTCATAGGGTGGTTTTCAAGGCTATTACCGGTATCTTAACGCTAAACAACTTTACTTTAAATAATGAGGTTATTGTTTTATGTATTTCTTACGTTTCTTTGGTAGCACCTTTCTTGCATACCCCAAAATTTATATCCAAATATTCTCTGGAAGAAATTGTTACAGAAGGCCGCTAATTGCAAATTAATTTACATTTTTTTTATACTTAAGTTACTGTTCGGCGTTGCCACTGTGATTTCATGCGCAAGAATATTTAATTTATTCATTTTTTTATGTTACTCCGAGATTCGAAATAAGTTTAATGGTTATAATATTCGTTACAAGTGGGGATTAATCATATCAATAGTCAGAATAGGCTGTTCCAAATGAGTTGTTAAATGCCTAAAGTAATTAGTTAATATTTCGATGCCTTACTTTCACAAACTCGTATCTAAACTTTCTATTCATTTTAAATTTCTTATCAAGGGTGTTAATTTGAGCGCATTACTTTAAGAGTAGGTAAAAGCCAGTGTGTAAATATGAAGGAAAGGTGATGTGAAATCAGTCTGCAAGATTTGTATATACAATCCATTTTTTGCATGTCAGTAAATTTGTGCTTTAAGATACGAGTTAAAGAAAGTAAGGCGACGATTTGTTGGTTTTAACCACTATGTCACTCCTTCTATTTAAATATATATATGTACGAGGTCTATACCCCACCTAAGGTGGGTCGGGCTCGGCCTGCAGCGCGTGATCGGTTTCAGATTACGGGGTGTGCTTATGTTCTTCGATCGCACAGTGATTAGTACTATGGGCGCTCGATGAGGAGGTTCCAGATTGGATCCCTAATTTTTTCCCTGATTTGAGCTAATTTATATTATATTATATATAATTTATGAAAAAAAAAATTTAAGTTGGTTCTGGTCGGGGTATTCTGGGTATTGCCCTCAGAATTATCTTTACTCTGGTACTCATAGTACAGGAAATTCCCTAGTTCAAAACCAGAAATTTGGAGTGATTGTCTGGCATTTTTCCCTAAATACTTATCTTTTGGCACAGCTTCCAAGAAAAAAGAATCTAACAGAGAGACGGTCGAGATATAACAACGCTATAAGTTATATAAGTATGTAATATATTACTTCCACTACATCGGGAAGTATGCCTTACATTTTGAGCAACTGTGAAATCTTGTACTCGTAATAGAGTCTCCGTATACTACCTACGACGTAAGGTGGCGTAAGATCCCCACATGCCGATTTTCAGCATAATTAGAGCAAATTTGTATCTGCCGCCAAAAAGTTTGTAGGGCAGCCATATTGAAAAATGGCGAAAAATCGATTTTGACTCCCACATGCCGATTTTCAATCGAATTATAGCAAATTTTCATCTGCCGCCAAAAAACACTTCTATGGCAGAGCCATATTAAAGAATGGCGATAAACCAATGTTGATCAAAAATTATTATCAAGCACCCCCACATGTTAATTTTCAAAGGGATCAGAACATTTTTTTTCTACTGCCAACAAACGCTTGTATGGCGGCCATATTTGAAAATGGCGAAAATCCAATTTCGAGGTCAAATTATTGTTTGGCACTCCTAGAGGCCTCCCATGCCAATTTTCACATGAAAAAAACGTGTCTCTTTCGGCAACTATTTTTAACGATAAAAACACTTATATTGTAGCCATACTAAATAATGGCGAAAAAAAACTTTTGACCCCAAATTATGATTAAGGACTCCTAAAGAACCCCGCATGCCAATTTTCAGCCGCATCGAAGCAACTTGTTCTTCGGCCGCGATTTTGGATTCGCCATCTTGAATTTTTTTTTACACAGGCAGGTGACCACTGTTACTCTCTATGACATGCCTTCCAGCACCTCCTACCTATCTCTAATAGTTTCCGTGATAGAAGGCTTCGAAATTTGTATAGCAGCCATCTTGTTTATTTGAATTTCGAATATTTTTTACTTTCTGCAAAAATTGACCAAGGTGTATCTCATAAAAGTGCACAAAAATCCCCCCATGTATTATAGTTTTTGCAGGCCGTTGATCACTCGTTTACATTTTCCATATTCATGTCTTCTCCTATTTGATTCTTTGCCTTAGAGCCTATCCGCGTACAACGGTATAAATATCTTTTTTCTACCATATCGGGAAGTATGCATTTTATTTTCCTAAGTGAGTCAGGATTTGTAGCTTTATATATATAATGTAGACATTTATGTACACAGTTGAAACAACCTTTTACGACCATTTTTAATTATTTATTCATTAAGTTAATTGACCTACCTTAGGACAATGATTAAGTTAGTCATTTATTTACATTATATAGCCTAATTATATGCATATATAGTTGATGATTTCATAGTATATGAACGTTGTCGGCTTCCACAGGAGTGGAGCGTAGCAGAGGCCCGGGAGCGAGGCGCAGGACTGGCGCTGGTTATGGCCAGCAGCGCAGAGCTCGAGCGATTCATCGCCGCCGTCGAACAGGCTTTCGGCAACCTCACTGTCTGTATATTACTTATAACTGCTTCAACTTCATATTGAACAATCCATTATTACCTTGCTATAATTATAGAAATCATCCGTAAGAACCTGACCAGTTAAACAAATTACGTGACAAAACATCAACGAATTCTGTTGCGTAACTAATCCCATTTGACAAAGACTATGAAAAGGACTCCAAAGATAATGAATGGTCTTAACCGTTATTCTTAATCCTAGTGGCGTTGGCCACTAATAGTAGATTGTATTTGTTTTTGTGCAAGCCCCATTTTTTACATTTTTTTTATTTTTTATTCATTTATAATATTTTTTGGTCAGTGCGAGCCGTTCCCACTAAGCGTGGTGGATGCAAGCAAATCCGCGTGTAGCGCCGCGCACACCAAGTACGAGATGGCCTGGTGTCACATGCTGCCATCGCAGCAGTGAGCAAGTCACTTAATTTGTGATTCGAGACAAGTTTTACGCTGTGCGAATTTAGAAAAATAGACCGCGTTTGTAATTGATGTCGTATTTGTAATTTAAAAATCACAATTTGATAAGACTATATTGACAGTGCAATGCTAATTAATATGTTTATACTTAAGACCTTGGTCACAATTAGATACCAAACTGCAATAATTCGTACAGTGCTAAGCTTGTGTCGTATTGACTTAGTAATACATCCGTAAAGGTAAGTAAACTTAATGTAGCTTGAATTGTTTCACTTATATTGCAAAGTGAAATAAAGTAGGTAGATTATCGTACTTATAACTCAATTAAAAGTCAGTTAAAAAGACGTATGTCAAATCTTAACAATCAAATACATTTTGTTAATCAGTTCCATGGAGAATAATATTTTCAAGAACAATTAACGATAAAAAAATTATTGATCATTCAATTTCAATTCATTTGAATTCTAATTTGATTACTTTAGAACACTCAAATTATATTTTAAGAATAAAATAAAATACTCAATCTCGTAGCATAATATGCACTTTGTTTGTATACATTATAAAAAAAGCTAGACAAATAAAAAGCATAGTGAGGGGCCGAGCACAATTTAGGTGAATAATTTTACGAATAAATAAATGCTTCCTCACTAAAATTCTCAATATTCCACTCAGTTTCTATTTTATAAATTTGTAGTTTACAAGTATTTATATGTAACTATTTAACTTATAAAATCCGTACTAATAAATATGTAGACGTTCGAAATTTCTTAGAATAGTTGATTATAATATCCAATCGAACATTGCTTAAACGGATTGTAATCCAAAGTATTTAGATGCGTTAGGAATACATTTTAATGATAATGTAATACGTGTTTAGAAACGCATATCGAAATTCGATTTCCAATGAAATTGTAAACTTATCCCAAAGTATTTTGACCTAAACCAAATTGAATAATTATAAATTAAGTGTTTACCTCATGTAACTTTACTATCCAGTCCTCATATTTAGATATTAGATTCCTTAGTCTGTTTTCGTATGTTATAAGGAGCCGAACGAGAGAGCTTTTAGCTGGAAGTGTATTGTGATTAGCGCTATTCTTGGACTTGATTTATTTTAAGTGAATTTCATCTTTTAAACTCGAGTATAAACATATTTAACCTAAGAGCAAGATTTTTCTGACTTAAAATTATTGAAATTTAATAATGCTGGAAAACGATTTGTATTATAAACCGAATTCCTAAAGCATTACAAAATAATATTGGATTATATTCGTTTTCGATATGACCAGTCAAATGCTCATTACGACGTATTGTGTACTCGAGGATCGGAAATGATTCGCTATCAAGTTTCAAAGAATGCGGCAGCTTTATTAAAGGCAGGGCTTGTAGATTTTATACGTGAAAAAAAAAAATATTTTTGTCATGAACCTTTTGTAGCTTTAATTTGTTTAAAGCTGATTTTAATGGTTTCGTTTGTTTTAAAAATATACTCTGCGTTCAAATTTGTTTACTGAGAAAGATGGGGAAGACACGTTGTTGGGCTATTTATTATGTAATTGTTACAAAATATTACTTCTGCTGGTCTCAATGTTTGTTCTCAAATATACATAAATATATATATATATATATATATATATATATATATATATATATATATATATATTTGAGAGCAAACATTGAGCATATACACAGAGCTTATTGTTTAGTTTACGTAGAGTATTTTCCCAATGGTTGTCTTTCGTTATTTTTCAATGTATTTTTACCAATGTATCAATATAACTTCGTGTGCATGTGTAAGGCAAATATTATATAACATTTGATGGTAAGTATCAGAATAAGAATCAGAACGCGTATGTGTGACTTTTTCATTCGCCAATCGTTCGCGCGCATTGTAGGAAAATTGTTATTTCTGTAACATTTTATTGTGAAACTTATCAATCTATTGTTGTATGTCTTTCGATGTAAGGCCGTTGTATGGGCCGTGTGATATTAATGTATATTTAGAATAGATATAATGATCAGATGTATCTTATATTCGTAATAGTGCACATTCGTTATTCAATGCTATTATGAATGCGCAATACTCATAGGTTACTAATGTTAAATAAAATGGTATTTTTAATTTGACATGTCGACAATCCAGTGATTGTAATGTTATAGATTTTCATAGTTGACTCTATTTATTTTTATCAATTATTATCAATGGAATTATTTTGGAACTGAAATTATTTTAAACGATTTATTTACAGGGTTTAATAATTAAATTTCCTTATTTTTTACTTTTTACATATTCTGTTTTTTTAAAAAAAGATTTTGTCGAAATTGCTTGGTGTATTGGTAATTTTTGTGAAATGCGCTTTTTTTTATTGCAACTGTGATTTATGTTATCCAGAGTTAAGTTTATTGTTGCATAATATTAGTGAAATGTTTTAGCTTTTGTCGTGATATTTAATGACTTTACGCGTACTCGTGTTTAAGTTATATTTTATGCGTGATCCTTGACGATGGATGTTTTCTAGAATACACCCGTACGTTGTGGTCAACGTACGGGTGTATAGACACTTCTAAATGTTTTGAGAACCAAAATCTGGATAAATAATCGCGCTTTCGATACTGTTTCCGAAACATAAAATATAACGAGAAGCAATTATGTTCCTTCGGACGTGCCTCATAAAGTGCTATATAGAACCTTCACAATACATTTTGACGGCCTCCATGGTCAAGTGGCTTGCACACCGGTGTTTCAGACGTGATGTCTAATATTAATTTTTTAGTTATTTTCTTTTATATTATTATGATATAAAATCTCTCAGAACATTTTTACATTTTCATATTGTAAATTTAATGTAAACTATAGCTTGTTATTTATTACACACAAAGTTACTTTCAATATCCTTATTCTGATAGTGTTACTTTAACTTCCCACGTTGGGATTTTTTTTTCACACGTATTTTATGAGGTATGTACACAAGTGATTAAGTTTGGCTGTTATTATAAAGAGCTGTTAATAGCTGTTAGTGAAATATGTTAAGTAATGGCTATGTGGTATTTTAATCGCTATATTTAGTAAATTTGTAACTTCGGACAATATCTTCCGTTCATATTCTGACACTGGGTATAAAGTATTAAATGAACAATAATAATGTTAATGTTGTAATGTAGATGTTATTCGACTTCATTAGGAATTCCTCCACATCCCTCTCCATTTATAAACATAACCGTGACTGTGAGTGTCTTAACGTTTTTTAATACATAAGTATTCATCTTAAAATTTTTATTGTTCTATTTAAATCAAACATTGCCAAATTTACACAACCAAAAACAGCAGAAATAAAGAAAACTCAAATATAAGACCTTGGGGGTTGGCAATTTTAATCATGATATTATACATTCTCTATTTTGAACCATTTATATTCTGTTGGTCGTTTTAAGCGGGTTTGTTGTTGTTGTTTTTGATGTAACACAAAGTTCCAACGATATTTCAGCTGCTGATCGTACATAAGTTAACTTTAACAAAAATATAATTTTAAATTCAGAACACAATTTGGTTTCACAGCCACGGCAATTTTTGTTTCACTCCGACTTTTTGTATGGACAATGAAATTAAACTATTTATTTTTATAAAAGCATATCAACAAAAACTATATACTGGATATGTTTTACAAAATTAAGTTTGAACAATTATAGTTTTTGATTCTAGAAACGCGCTCCACGGCTATAAATTTAGTTAAAAACACGTTTTCTAAAGACACTCACAGAATTATCATTGTAGAATACTCATTACGCTGTTGCAACAATAATCCAGTCGCTTAATCATTATTCATATAATCAGTATGGTTAATAATAAATAAATCTCTGCAGAAGAAATTTTACATCTTTTATTTATGTCTAACAACTACCTATATTCACAAGGTAATTTTTAGGTGCCAACCTAAGGCATCATATACTGTGCCATTGCCCTATAAAACATATTCGTTACGGTGCTATAGATGATTCCACCTCCACTATGTTTTGATACACAGCGAAGCTCGTGTGCCATAACGTCTTCGGAGAAGGTTCAAAACCTTCAAAGCACCGCCGGCTCTAGCCCACGTAGCGCTCGAGTGCAATCAAAAACCTCTTACTGCCTCTAACTAGAGGGTGCCAGGGTATTTGTTGCGTTGGAGCAGTTATATGAAATTCGGGTACAATTATAAATGATGTTGGGAAACAGTAGCCCGTTTATTTCGTTTGCGCCGCGTTATGGCAACCCTATGCCCGTGTGCGCCGCACACTGCACCATGGTAAAGCCGGCTTTGCTCCTAAATTGGATTTTGCATTGGTGGGAACGAACGTGGTGGATATATACATACCGAGCGTCTCACGGCTATAGAACATAAAGCATTTATAATTGTTAATACAAATATCTAACACTCAGAAAAAATCCTTCGATCAGGCCGGATTCGAACCGACGTCTTCTAGCAAACCGTGCCAGACGCGATGCCAACTAAACCTAACTGGGTGACGAAATACCTTTATAGATTTCTCATAGATGGCGCTACCGCTAAAAAGTCGTTGAAAACCAAATACAAAGATCTGACAAACAAGCACCTAGCAAAATTCGTGAGGTCTGCTGGTTCGTTCTTTGGTTTAGTTGGCATAGCGTTTGGCGCGGATTGCTAGAAGACACCGTCGGTTCGAATCCGGCCGGATCGAAGGAATCTTTCCTGAGTGTTTGAACTTTGTGTTAATACTTATAACAAACTAGTGGAGTAATTTCACAAAAAATAATTGTATACTAATTCAATACAAATTTCATAAAGCATAGTTTCCCAAAGTGGTCCCTACCCCCCCAGTGGGCGCTGAAGAGTCCTAGGGTAGGGGTAGGGGCCACGGAAACAATTGAGGCGCATTGGTGCTGTCCGGCGGATGCTACCGCATTTGAAGAACAAACTGAATTATCTATAAAAACTACACTACATATAAATTTTTTTAACTTCTGCTTTTTTGTGTTTAATTAACATAAAGAATACGTGTTTTCAATTAATTGTTGTGGTGGTGGGCGTTGAAATTTTTTAATCTTGCAATTGCATAAAGGAAAAGTGCTTTAAAAACTGTACATAGAATATTTTGCCTTGTGGAGATATTATTTTTAAAAGTAAGTAATACTCCATTCAAAAACTTGTCTCGTCGGGGTATTGAATCAACGAAATGTGAACCCTTTAGACCGGCATCATAAAACTACAGTTGCCTTTTTTCATACTTATGGTTGGTTCCCAGAAGAAGCAAGCAATTTTGTAAGTCTTTGAATGCAAATCAATCCATGAAGCAAAATATCCCATTCCCTCAGTGTCCCATAGCCGTGAGACGCCCGTACAGATTAGACTCCTCTCCAGCAGTGGGATGTGTACATGGTTATTTATAAAATACTAACATTCTTGCAGGACTATATTATAAACATTATAACATCAACTTTTGTTCCATGATTACAAGTTTCAAAACATGATCAATTTACCAATTTAATTTTTAAATATATAAATATTTCAATTATAATTAAAATTTAATTTCTGACACTATAAAGATTTTGTATATTGGATTCAAACGTGCAAGTTTCCTCCCCAACAACCCCCCACTTTCTTCTGTTACCGCATAGAGTTATCACCGTTTAGAGCGATCTATTCAAACATTTTTATTTTTTACGAAAGTACAATTTGATATAGTATTAAAAGTTCTGGAACAAAAGTGTTGTTGTTATGAATGATATTAGTAATATAGTCCTGCGAGAGGTTGTAAATATTTTACTAATAACTCGTATTACGTGGCATATATTGTTGGATAAATTGTACTCCGTAGTGTTCTAACATGAGAATAATGGGAATCTTGCTAAATCAACTCATAAGATCTCCAGTGCATGTGATTGGAGTGGATATGTATGTACGTATACAAGTTTCGTGTGTGATTACATATATTTACTTCATATGTGCTCAAAATGTACTCTGCTGCTTTGCTCTAAAATCTGAAGTAACTCTCATTGTCACTTTTTGTGAGAATAATATAATATGATAGTAATAGGTAATTATAGACTCTAAGACAGAACCTTACAGCAAGTCCTATACCGGACAAATACTGGGTATGCAACACTAAGACCAGATGTATTGATGCGAAACCAAGACCAAGACTTGGATTAGTCTCGTCTTGATCTTGCATTGGTCAACACTAAATAGAAGAATAAAGCTAAAGATAGAAATCCGGTATTGCAGGAACTGTGGAATGGAACTAGCTGCTCATTTGCATACTCGACTACACACCTCGGATTAATCTAAATATTATTAAAGTTTCGATTGATCGCTTAGATAAAGAACAACCCGTCCATGCACGCTAAATGCTGGATAGCTACCGAAAAAGAAAACATATAGGTATCTAGTACCTACGTAGAATAATGTAAAAAGAAACTGATCTTTTGTAGATAACTATCTACGTTTAAAATTTATTAATGCTACCTACGCGTTAGATCGGTCTTAAATTAAAATGTGATTAGCACACATGGTGTTTTTTTATTTATATAAATAAATTATAATTATTACATAATGATCACATTTATAATAAAATCATTTTTTTTGAAGGATTTCGTTTGCTCTGCTGTCTATGGGTATGTACGAACAACTGTTACCTACAATTGTATTCTATATAGAATCACCCCAAGTATCGTGATCTCGTTGTAGACTACGAGGTATCAAGATTTTCCGGAAGAAATAGGTATCATGGACTAGCAAAAAACACCAAAACCAAAAAGAAATCGTAGCCTCGATGTGATAAAACCACTTATGATCATACGTCAAAAGTTATTTTATCACATGAAAGTCATAAAAATAATATGAACTACATGAAACGAATTATGTATATTGTGAAATTTTATAACTCTACTAATTAAGCATACAAGTTATCGATAATTTCCTTTGCAAAATCTTTCCAAACCGCTGCGCTCTCCTGAAAAGGTGTCATTTTAAAGATTTGCTTAATCATAATTATCTATATTGCCTTGACGTACCTACAAATACCAGTTATCTGTATAAACAAGCTCGTTCACATTTACATTACCGGTATCATCTGAGCCCTGGACTCGTAAACAACCTAGTAGGTAGTCTTCGAGACACTGCTGGAGAGTTCTATCGTCAACATGTCTCAAGTTAAGGTGAGGAATATTTACTATTATATTTCGGCTAACTATCGTAACAAACTAACCAAATAGTGCCGCGAAAGTAATTTTCTTAATTCGTGAGTAGGTCGTTATCGGGAAAATATTTATAAGTCAATGCACAAAAATTTAATAGCGTAATATTTATAAGATAATGATAATTATAATATTAATAACACATTTATTAAAAGAAATAAAGACTGCCTATTTAAAGAAAGAATTTTTATTAACCCTGTTTTTATAACTGATGCTACTTTATAAAGGTCTGGCTCATCTACATACTACTCGTTTTCTCTAAATATAATTATTACGTACCTACAATTCTAGACATTTTTGAACATAAGACGTATATATATATCATATAAATAATAACACTTTTATTAATAATGAAATATATTCGTCGTTATCTCTCTAGCAGCGACTCTGAAATTAAATCTTAGCGTGTGCCATAATAAAACTCGCTATACTGAATTTCGTCTTCAATGCTCGATTACAGATAGAGCAATAAAGTTGGCTTACAGAGTTAAAAGCATAAATACGTATAGAGGGCTTAGGTCTCTCTTTTATGTATTTGGTGTTGTTCGTTTATTGTTTGGAGTCGCTTTTGTCCGAATATTTTTACATTTTTATAGACAGTAGATCGCCAAGACGACCTTAAAGTTCTCACGACTAACTATAGTGATATTAGCGAGAGCTCGGAATTTCATTTTTTTTACGATACCAAAATCACACAGTGTCAAGCTGCGTCCATAGCAGCTGCAGTGCTCAGAGCCGTAGACTAAGTGATATCTCGTAGTATAATACTGAGAGATTTAATTCGTAAAGATCTAAGGGACACTGCCACTGCGCCTGTTATATGAAATTAATAAGTCCCTTGTGCCTATAATTTCACCAGCACCCTTACCCTTCAAAACCGGAATACAGTAATGCTGACATTACTGCTTGGCGGCAGAGACTCTTTCGCAAGGAGCTTTGTAGTAGTAGTGGAGGTGGCGAAGGTTTGTCAGGAGCGTAGCAGACATTTTAATTGTAGATATTTTATGGTAAATTCTGGATGAACTCTTTCACAAGTCTGGGTAGCCATTTCATATGGTTTCCCTATCAATAGACTTAATCAATTGAATTGAAGGGTATTTCCGGTACTTCGCACCAGTAAATCCATGTAGCATCGCTCTTACGGCTCCAAAATTTGAAATTTAGTTTTCATTTCATTTGCGTTTGTTTTGTTAACTTTGCATTAGTTTAAAAAAAAAGAACTTTGCTACACAGGAAACTTGGTAACTGTTCGGTGGTCCAGCCAAGGAGTAATCTAACATGCTTTTCTTAGATTTAGTAAAACAATAACATCTATTTGCTATTATGAACAAATGCGGATGATGCTGATTAGATGCGCTGTGAAACACCAAAGCTAATCAACCGATCTTCACCACCACTTCTACACTATAACGTCAAAGCGACCATTTTCACTTAACTGAAGTTGATGATTAAAGTGCTTCACTACCTTCCAAACCCACCACTTGTCACTCAATCGACTACCACGTTTTCCGCAAGTTATATAATTATCTACAAGGAAACTACTCAATTCCCGTTGAGCAATCGATAATTAGTTCCAAGACTTTGTGGATTCCGGTTCCCTACTATTCTACCAATTAAAATAAATAGGCACCAAATAGAATAAAGAGTTTCCCAGAAGATGACGATTTTCAAAAATGATTTTCGTGATGGAACGGTAGTTTTATTCTTTAAACCCTCTATTAAACAAGATAGTATGTAAATTGTGCTTGTTTAATAGTGGAATAGAAGATACTGAATATGTCCTTAACCGACTTCTTTTATCAGTACCTAAGTGGTTTCGGTTCGGAATTTGCGTCCGAAGATCTTCGCCGCCCAGGTGCACTTCCCCAGGGCCAGAACAGTCCACAGCGATGTCCTTACGGTCTTTACGCGGAGCAGCTTTCTGGCAGCGCATTCACTGCACCCAGACATGAAAACAAGCGTTCATGGCTATACAGGTAGGATTGTTTATCGTTAATAATAACAAGCAAACCGGCTTCTACATAATTCTTAAATGTGACAAAGTCAACCGTAGTTCTAAGTAAATTTGTCATATTTATGGTCTTGCAGAATTCGACCTTCAGTGATCCACAAACCATTCAAACGATATGGAGGTGCTAAATATCTTACTCACAATTGGGATGAGCTGGAATCCAATCCTAACCAGGTTCGTAAAGGAGAATTGAAAAATGAAAATGCCTGATATAACATATCTATTTAATCAGAAACAGAAACAAATTAATAACTTACATACATTTGATATCATAAATATATCCTTTTAGTCCCGCTGGCTTCCCTTCGATATCCCACCATCATCCGAGCGCGTGGACTTCGTAGCAGGTCTACACACGGTGTGTGGGGCAGGCAACCCTCGCACCCGCAATGGCCTCGCCATCCACGTTTATCTCTGCAACACTTCCATGGATAACAGTGCCTTCTACAGCAGCGATGGAGACCTTCTGATTGGTAAGTTACTCTCATTTAATTTTACGAACGATTATTGGGTATGTAACTCTTATTAATTATGTATTAAGTATGTAAGACGGGGAAACATTAGAAACTTTTGAGATGTGGTGCGGGAGAAAGAGAACGGTATAAGTTGGATAGAAAAGAAAACCAACAAGAAAGTATTGAGAATAGTAAACGAGAAAAGAACGATCCTGAATACTAGAGTATAGGCGCGGGAAAATGATTGGACATTTAATGCGACACGACAACCTCTTTAAGACTATTTTGGATGGAAAGATCGAGGGGAAGAGGTCGACCTAGGCGCAGTTATATAGACCAAATAAAGGAAAAGGCCGGTGTCGTGTCGTATAGGGAGGTCAAGGAGCTGGCTTGTAGGAGAGAGGACTGGAAGAGGCTCCACCGACAAAAGTACAACTCTTAAATTTGATGATGATGATGATGATGATTAAGTATGTATTTAAAGCTACCCAATCTTGCACGAAATTCGTTTATTAATATTTATTTTATTTCCGTTACCTTCTAAATGAATGAGTATCACTAATTACAGGTTTCTTACCAGGTTACAAGTTCTTTTAGTTTTCTCGATATTGACCATTGTGAAGAAGGATTTAAACTATCCAGTGCTTGGAATCCGGTGCTTAGGTGCTTACAATAATAAAAAAGCCTTCGACTTCAGTTTCGCGTGTGGATACAGTGAGTGTGGTTTGTCGGAAAAAAGTGAATGACAATGGTAACGTCACAAGAAATATTGATGAAGGTAGTCGTCGAAAACGAAAGAGAGTAAACAGTTATAGCTTTTAGAGTTGTCATCTGCCGCTGACCAGTTAACTCTTGACCATGGAGCGTGTAACGTGTAACCGTTCCGAAATATCGGGAAAACAAAAAGTACTCATACCGTGGTAAGATAAAACACGCCTTAAAATCTGTACTTCTGAACAACCATTAAATCAGAACCCATTCATTATTTTTTTAGCAAAGTGAAACAAAGCTTTTTTCCTTAGTGAGATTAATATAATTATTAAAAAATAAACGAGTGAAATAGTTTGAATGATTTTTTAAATTACAAGTTGTTAGCTGTTAGTCTTTACTGCGAAATTAATGTACAGTCTATTTAAAGTTCCTCAGCAGGGCATGTTGAAGATCACTACGGAGTTCGGCGTCATGGAGGTAGCTCCCAATGAGATAGCCGTCATCCAGCTTGGCATGAGGTTCGCTGTTGCTGTCGATGGACCTACCAGGTTTGTTACTACCACAGACGGAAAATTTGAAACAAAACTTTTTAATTTATTACTTTTTTAGTCATAATTGAACTATAATATCACTCTGTCCTTGCTTTTCGAAGCATGATAGTGTTTCAGTTGTTTTGAAAAATATGAACATTGGGATAAGTATCAGAGCAACGAATTTCACTCAGGGACATTTCCTGAGACCAGAACCAAAACGATCATTTCCTAAATTGGTCCTACCGGGAATCGACCCCGAGACCTCCTCAACCTGTGTCCACAGTGCAAACCGTTGGGCCACCAATTATAGACGGTACACAGGCACATTATTTTTGGAGCATACTACAGCATCGTTATGCTATAGTTGATATCTTCGTGTCATAGATATAACGAGAATTACAATATATGTTTTTATTTAATTTTCTCGCAACCTTTTCATTACTCTACGAGTAAGGTATCCAGGTGCAAAGCTCCTTAATCTGAAAGCTGCGCTGGAATGGATTAAATTATTAAAAAGCCCGAAAGTTATTTAATATACTCTAAAATTAAGAAATGTGAATTAACAGGGGATATATTTTGGAAGTATTCGATGGCCACTTCAAGCTGCCCGATTTGGGACCTGTCGGTGCCAATGGGCTGGCCAACCCTCGCGATTTCCTTACCCCTGTGGCATATTACAATGACCAAGAAATACCTGGTAAGTGTAGTAGGGTATAAATAACGTGACCATTATTTTTTTCCCTTAGAGCGGGACGTCTGTAAATTTATTATTGTTTTAAAAATAAAACACATGTTTATGATAGCAGTTTTTCCGTAGTACTTATTAATAGTTATTATGCTTTACCACAATTGTTACACTATTGTAACTATTAACAATAATACGATAGGAGTGCCTAACGTTTTAACGTAACTGATAAAGTCTTATCATACATAGCTCTGTTTTTGACATTTTAACTATCTAGGTATATAAACGGGTAGACACAGACTTTTTACAGTTGTACCTAACTGACAACAACCTGACAAATGTCTATTCCATCACTTATATTTATCGATCTTTTCGTACAAGCCCTCTTATTCTTTCACTATATCAAATACATCTGAGAACTACAAATGCATTTCTTCATTGGCAGGTTTCAAAATAATAAATAAATACCAAGGAATTCTGTTTGCGGCAGAACAAAACCACTCCCCATTCGACGTGGTGGCTTGGCACGGCAACTATGTGCCCTATAAATACGATCTGAGCAAGTTTATGGTCATCAACTCTGTGTCCTTTGATCATTGCGTAAGTACGCATTGCTGCTTACACAGCGATGTTTAGAAACGTTTGTAAATATTTTGAAAATGTGTTTACTACCCATTTTCTTTCAAAGCTCCGAAAAATAAATTAAATAATTCAAAATATAAATGTTAAACCGCTACTTACTAGGATACTGAATACTTTTGTGCAATACGGAAACAATTTAATGAAATAGTGAAAGTTCCGAAAGTGTTGCTGACGCAATATTACTACACTCTACTAACTTAATTTATATTTTACCGAAAATGGCAAACAGACCATTTTTATTGTAAATGACCTATTATAAATTTAAAAGCGATCTATTACATTTCTAACTGAGTTTCTAGTTACAAAAATTAATAAATATTTATAGAATTCGTAGTAGTTAGTGCTGTACAAGGGGCACGCTGAGAATAAATCATTGCGCGCAAAATGTCGGCGACTCAAACAATTAAATTCACGATACTTATTCTAAACGCATTTCTAAATCAAATCTCGTTACTTAATCCCATTAATCCCTAATGTTGACCGTAACTTTTGCTTCAGTTTGAAAATGACACGTAAGTTTTGATTACATAGATTTGATTAAGATATGAAACTTGTATACAAACTTATAAATGTCAGCTACAAACATTGACCTACTAACAAAGGCCAACGGCTACAAATAAAGCTCTTCTGAGTAATTTTCAAGATAGTTTTCTTTACCTAATTTCGGTGGCAATTTTTGTTATTTAAATAGTCTAGAATATTATCATAAAGCGGTACATAATATTCTTCTTGTGAATTTACTACTATATTAACAGGAGATAAAAAATATGGGAAACAATTACATAATAAGAATGATCCACCTGATAATTGCTGTTGTCTTTTTACTATACCTACATATCTCAAATCAAATTAAATCATTTATTTCTTTATGATACACAGGTTATAAAATTGTTACAAGAATGAATTTTCAATCATTGTGATCCACCTTATGGCATACAAAGTTTTCTTAGTTTTATTCATAGATATAGAAAAAAAGTTTAGTAATTCTCATGCAATAATTTGTAATATTATTATAATCCTTAGAATAATAACGCATGATAGTTTCATATCAAACGAACTGTCACAAGTGAGGCAAAAAAAAATCATGTAGGCGTAAGCAACTTGTATCTACGCTCGTCGGCACGCCTATAATATTAATTGGACTGCATGATTATAATCATGCAGTCCAATTAATGCAACCTAATACTAATGAAACATAATAACAATAGTAAAATAATAATCAATAACAAATTTAATAATATGAAATGTACATTTTATGAGAAATCTTCAATATTATAGAATGTACTATCATTTAGGTAATTAAATAATAATTTCTTAAATTCTATACAATCATTGCAATTCCTAATTTCAAGTGGAAGTTTGTTATATACCTTCGTAGCCATTACTATTACACTCTTTTGAAGTAGAGCAGTTTTACATGATCTACTTTTCAGTTGGTGAGAATTCTGAGATGAGAATATCTAATGAATGAATGAGAATATCTACCTATATAAATGTCTATAATACTACTAGGTCCTAAACTAGTGACATAATCTTAGCACAAGCAAGACACACCTTAATATCCCCTAAGGAATAATGAGTAACCTTCACGCGATCGCGTTTTTTATTGCGAGTGTATTTTTTTTACAATGCCTTAAAAGTTGCCACGTTTTGAAAATATTGATCATTTGGAATTCAAATTCTCCCTTGTAGAAAGAATAAGAAGACTCATAAAGGTTGCTGTTTACGTTCTGTAACTTTTTTAGCAAATTATCTTCAATACATTGCTGTATCTAAGTTATGTCCCAGAAATTAACCTTGGGATGCTCTTAGCGACAAGTTATACCAGGGGCCTAACCATCTAACTTGAAAGGTAGCCTGAATAACACCCAGAGTTTTAGAACTCATTTCTGAAATTATTTGATTTATAGTTTTTTTTAAATAATATCAAGTGACAGCACGAACAAGTCGCGTGTCTGGTGATAAGCAACACGCCTGTCCGTAACAGTTGCAGTGCCACTCAGAGCTTTAAATTGCAATACAATGTGCCTATAAATTCACTGGGTACTAGTTACCCTTCAAAACCGGAACCCAGTAATGCTCACATTACTGTTTAGCGGCAGAAATAGGCAAGGTGCCAGTACTTTCCTGGAGGAACTCTTTCACAAGGAGCTCTTCTGCTACTGAATTAGTTCGAGACTTAATGTATACATATTTTAATTACCTCGGCGTTTCGGACATTCCCGCACTTGGTCTTCATTATTTATTTGTGCACTAGGGTTGTCACTAGACCGACACACACAATCACGACATCCGGCGACTTGTCGGGCGATACTCGATGTCGTTGACATTTGTTGATAACTGAATCCTATGACGATGAAAGCTTAAAACCGTCTCCTCGGTTGAAATTACAGTGTTTTTAATTTCAATAGCTTCACGTACGATTCTACTATAGTGATGACGTTCTATACAAAGGATCTTAGGACTGTGAAGTTTAATCCAGTGGTCCTGTTTCCAGGAAATGCTTGGCTATTGCAGACTTGTTGAGCTGACGGTTCCTAACAGCCGCGGTGTTCTTTCTGAAATTCAGAAATTGAAACATCAAATGCGATTCGAAATGCGTAAAATTTCAGGATCCTTCCATTTTCACTGTGCTGACCTGCCAATCTACGAAGCCGGGAGTGGCCATTGCTGACTTTGTCATCTTCCCACCTAGATGGTCTGTTCAGGAGAACACGTTTAGACCACCTTATTACCATAGTAAGTTTAATCTACTTAACATATAGATACTGTTATTTCCATAAGATATTTGCCGAGCAATTTGTAAAGTGTACCTACCTACTCGTAAATTGATTGATACGTCTACATTAGAGAAATTATGCATTTTAATTTAGCGCTGGATAAAAAACAAACTAAGTACAAAATGATAGTATAAACAACGTGGTGACGTGTAGTCCAGCCTCAAAAAGAGTATCTTGTACTTATTTCTTTCATCAGCCTCAAATTAAAATGCACATGCTATGAAAACGTTCACAAATGTCATTCCAAAAACTGTTTATATAATACATTTTTTTGTAACAGGGAACTGCATGAGCGAGTTTATGGGCCTTATCCTTGGTTCATACGAAGCTAAAGAAGGCGGTTTCCTGCCCGGAGGAGCGTCTCTTCACTCCATGATGACCCCACATGGCCCTGACGCACAGTGCTTCAAGGGAAATTCTTATGCGGAACTCAAGCCACAGAAAATTGCTGTCGGCACTCAGGTTTGCATTCTTTTTTTAGACATCAAATGGCAGGATGAGCAAGTCGCACATCTGGTGGTAAGCAACACGCTTCGCCATATTCGCTATAATACCACTCAGAGCTTTAAATCGCACGCATTAAGGGATACTGCCACTGCGCCCCCCTTCACCTTGCGACATAAAGTTGAGAAGTCCCATGTACTTTCATCAGCAGCCTGCGTACCCTTCAAAACCGGAACACAATAAAGCTCTCATTACTTCCTTGAACGAACAAACTCTTTCACACTGCTACTAAAAACTAGTTAATTTAGAGTCGGATTTGGTATGCTATAGCAAACAATAAACTTACCGCCCAATTTTTGTATATTGTTCATAGTAAACTACATACCTAACGACTCTTAGCAACGTAAAATTACAAGATACCGATTACAAAGAAATTTACTCAAATATCCAGGAGCTACATTTCCGCCAGAAAAGTTGAAACAAAAACTTCCCTTTCTTTACTCGTCACCGTGACTTTGACAATTTCGCAGAACTATAAAATATCGTTATCTAAAAATGTATAAATCACACATACGTAATGAACTGCAAATTCTACATAAAGGGTCAACATATTACCACGTTTGTTCCTTTAAGCAGTTCAGTCAATTTGCAGTTAATGTATGTACTAATGTATGTGTGTTTTACACATTTTTAACCGACTTCAAAAAGAGGAGGAGGTTCTCAATTCGACTGTATGTTTTTTGAATGTACCTGTATGCTACGCGATAACTCCGGTATTTGTGAACCGATTTTCATGATTTTTTGTTAGAAAGAGGTTACCTCCATAGTGGTCCCATATAATTTTGAAGAAAATCATCCACCTCTAAGGGTGGCTGTTCACGCATGAAGATTCATTTTTATAAATAGCGCCTAAATTTTAATATAAGGAGCAAGTATTTTAATGGTTGATTTTACTATTCTTTAATTCAATGCGTTTTTAGATAACGATAATATTTTACAGTTCTGCGAGATTGTCAAATAAGGATACCTATAGATATTAGAAATGAAATTGACGGGTAAGAAGAAAGGGAAGTTTTTGTTGAAAATATAACTTGTGAACATTTGAGTAAAGTTCTTTGTAACAGGTATCTTGAAATTTTATATTAGATTGAAATTCGTTCAGGATTTACTATTAGATACTATCAACAAAACGTTCTCCTAAAAACTTCGTACGTGATACTGCTGTTGTTACGTCAATTCAAGGTAGTTCGCTATCACTCAGTGATTATGTATTTAGTTTTTAGAAAGACGTGTGCGTCGATCGTAAAATCGTTGGCAGCGGCGCGTCTGATGATCTTTTGACCGGGGCGGCGTGATCGGCGTGGCACATATATTTCAAGGTGTTCAAAAAAAACAGTAAAACATTGTTTAAATTAACTTTTTATTCATTTTCAACTTTTTTTACACTCTGTATACTTTACAAGACAGAGGTACTGTTACCAAAAAATAATAAAATGACAATAACAACAATAACGCGTACACACTCATAGCCCCGCACTAGGGAAACCCTGTATTGCGGGTGCCATGGATACACATATAGACAACCACAAATTACATCCAAACTCACGAGAGAAAAATAAATGTAGGCCACACAAATATTTCTCCCGGCCCGGTAACTGAACCCAGGACCTCTGCGTGGCAGTCCAGCTTGGTAACCGTTCGGCCAGGGAGGCAATTAAAGAATGTTTGAATCTTATAATAATAAACGGTCTTACTTTAAAACTAAACGTAATTCATTTTAATTGTAGGGCATTAATTAGCACAAGTGTAGGTAATAATAATACCTAAGTAGTAAATAAAAAATAACAAGCTGATACTGACAACAAAGTTTTGCCGATTTTACGCGGGTCAAATTCATCAGCAGCTGCAGCAGCGGGGCGGCGCGTGAAAAAATCGTCACATGCCTATATGTTTTCTTACCTATGCGTGCAAGTTCCGAGATATTGGCACCTAAAGTTTTTTTTTGCTAGTAAAAAATGTCAACTACGCTGATTTTGAAGAAGCCGTGGCAGCCTAATGGTTTGACCTACTGCCTCTCAAGCAGACAGTCGTGGATTCGAATCAGGACTCGCACCTCTGAGTTTCTCGAAATTTATGTGCAAAATCTAATTTAAAATTTATCATGAGTTTTTCGATGAAGAAAAACATCGTGATGAAACCTGCACGTTGAAAAAGGTTCACAACCCTATACAACTGAAGCGAGCCGTTTTCGCGCTAAGGCGGCTATGATGTTTGAATATAGTTTTCATTTATTCGTTACGAAACTTGTACGTCAATATATGTATAGCATTATTGTACGTTACTATTTATTACGATCGTGAATTGTGCTGTGTACCTACTAAGCTGCTAGAGCTAAGTCCAATCTCATTACCACGATTTCGTTTAACCAAGGCAAACAACTCTTTTATGGGGAACTATATACGTTTTTACAATAAGATTCCGGGGCATAAATTAAAATAGCCATTTCCTAAGTTCAAATCTTACATTCAAAGTATTTTAATCGAAAAGTCATATTACAAAATTGAAGAGTATTTGTTAGATAAATATGTATAGAAAGTCAACATGAGTGTATGTATAGAGAGTCAAATATGATTCAAAATGTATTCTATAATGATTCTATAGCATTTAAGTTTATTTGAAAAGAGCAATCGCTAGAGTTTCTTGCTCGTTCTTCTCAGGGAGGTCAGCATAGTGAACGAGCAGTAGCTTAAAAATGACGTTTTCAAGTGTAAAAATTTTACCTATAGAATAAATGATTATTTGACTTTGACTCTACTTTGTGTCCATATTGCAACAAGCGCTACACTGCTGCGCATGTAGAATGTAGAGGGCTACCTTCAACTCTCATTAGAAACTGAATCACGAAGCAAAGTAGTTTTAACGCCCTTTAACAAATTAAAAAATGTATAAGGATGCATATACCGGAACTTTCTGCGATAAGTAACTACAATCACGGTGTGTCATAATAATATTTTTGCTCGGCACTGTTTCAATTTCCTGCTTTTATATGTCAATTTCCTGTTATGATCACATCTGATTGTGTTCAGTATAATTGTAATGTTTAAGTACGCCATTAACATACTCTGTAGGGATTAAAGTTCATAACATTGGAGCAGTAATGTAACCATTTGTCCAAATTCTATTATTTTCTACTTTTTATTTACTTATTACTTTAGGCTATTAATCGTTGTATTTTCTCATAATTATTTAATGTGAGATTGTCAAAGCTAAAAAGAAACGTGCCCCAAAAATCGTCTTTACAAAACACGAGTCGAATGGTGTTTTCATCCGTCTGTCACATACAGACAGGGCATGTGGTCGTGCAATAGCTTTATCGGGGTGCACCTAGGTGTAACATGAGCTCTAGGTATCTCAATTAGCAATTGTAATAGACAATGACAAATGTTTGCCTTAAATTAATTTAGTACACAGATAATATTTGTTATTATTAATTATTCTACTGTTGGCCTTGGATTTGCCAGATACACGCTTATCATTTACTAGATTCAAAGTTGACAGACATTTAAACCATATTTGTATTTCAAAAACGAGCGATTCGTTCCGTGTACTGTATAGGTTCCCGGGTTTCTCTCAGAGAAAAGTTTAAGGAGACTGGCTCTCGCTATCATGACTTGGCATCTCAGTACGTTTACTCAAACATTATATGCCCGTAAAAATATACACAATTTTTATAAGAAGATATTCATAATATTAACCATAGAGCTAAGTCCAAACTCATGGTACCACGATTTCGTTTAACCAAGGCAAACGACTCTTTTACGGGGAACTGTATTCGTTTTTACAGTAAGATTCCGGAGCAGTATATTAAGATTATCATTTCCTAAGTTTAAAAACTATATTAAAAGTCATATTACAAAAAGACTTTGACTATGACTTGCTGGAATTGCACGGGCGACGTAAAAAATAGGTGTTGGTCGCTGTGGTTTCATAATTTTGAAAAAAGTAGCACTTAGGAATTTCGGAGCTCCAAAATGTAAATGAATATACAATAACTCTAATTAGTGGGCACAGGACTAGATTCAAATATCTGGGTCTTTCTTTGATCTCCAGACCCTAGTTGGTCTCCTGAAAGTACTCGTATAGATTTATTATACCTATGTTATATAAATACCGGACACTGGACAATTTTCATTCTGACAGCATACAACTTCTATTGTCATTAAGTAAATAATTAAGTTAGACTTCTTTCATATAACATTGTTATGGATAACTTTGGATATTTATATAAAGTTAAGATAAATATTTTCAAGACTTAATTAATTAAGACAAAATTAATTAAAGTTTCCATAAGCATTCTTCACGTACTACGTAACTTGGAATATTGTCCAGTGAACAGAGATAAAATATTAGTTATAGTTATTTCAGCGTGGCTACACATGAGTCCCGACACACGCGATAAAATTGAAACAAGCGCGCGTTATTGGCTGTGTCAATGATCTAATTTGCATATCCAATTGCGCGCACTTATTTCAATTTTATCGCGCGCGTCGCGACTATTATGCGTAGCCATGCTACGGGGGCAGGTAGGGGAAAGGTGTACCAGATGATCCAGATGGTAGTTTAAAAGATATTCAGCTTAAAGCAGATGTAAAAGCGTTGAATTATAGACAATTTATCTATTTACTTGTTGTCTTATTCAAAACGTTTTATTTTTTGGTCTTTCATTATTATATTTGAATATTTACTAAAGGATCGTCTTGGACACCGGGATGTCCAAGATGATCCTCAGGATATGGGCAAGATAATCCAGGAGATCATCCTCCTATTTAGGAAAATTTCTAGGTTTTGGTAGAAACAAATGAAAACAACAACTTTTTAAACTTAACAAAGTCCTTACTTATGTGATCTAGGTATATGAAACAACAGTTACGGAACTTCGAGAACAAATAATCCTAATTAATTAATATCTTACAGGTACTTAAGGGTGGGCGATATTGTTTTTGACATTGACAAAACATCTTGTTTCAATAGCCCATACATCCTCGTCTCCATACCTTTAATGTACGTACTTTACGAGCTGGATTTCCTGTTTAACACATCTGATGAAAACAGTTTTTTTTTTCACCTAAATATTTCATTGAACCAACAGACCCTTTATTTTTACCTTTAGCCCGTCTTTTTAATGACATAACGCGTACCTACTGCGAACTATTTACTTGCCAATCTATGTGGGATCCTACTTTTTACGCCTCTAGTTCTTTAGATCATAGTCTTCGGACCTTCCACCACGATTCATTTTTCTTTTATATTTACGCTGCCTGGTCTAAAATAAGAAAAAGCATTTATATCCAATATAGAAATCCAGTCTTCTACTATTTTATTCGTATTGCAAGCTATTTAATTAAGAGATTTCAGTACTCAAAAACGTACTTAAAAATAGTACATTAACAATATATACAGTACAAGATGATCCCAACGAATCATCTCGTACACCAAAACCATAATCACCTTGCTCCAATTTACTTTTTATTTTTTGTTCAGCAAAATAATCTGTATACTGTCTACTGTTACCATGCCATTAAAAAAGTAAATAGAGCAAAAATCTTAGCAATTGATTGCTTAGAATGGAAGTTGCCTAAGCTGATAATCAACTTTACCTTAGATCAAACTCACACAATTTTTGTTCTTTTCCACAAAAATGAACTCGTCACCCACATCGCTATTACGAATTGACTGACAAGAGCCCTCTTGTACATAGAGGCCTACATTTTACTGAAGAAAATATCTAGATGACGTTACTAGTTTCGCTACAATTGAAAAGAATCATCTAACCTCCAAGGATCATCTCGTACACCTTGTCCCTATATTCAGTCACTTCAATCTCCTCATATAAAGCCTTTGTTGCATTGCCCTAATTATTATACTTGATTGCACATTTGCCAACATGAACTTGTGAAAAATATTTTGTTACCTATTTCAATAAGTAGTTAACAATGAAAATCGAATCATATTATGGGGTCTGAACGAATACATTACAAAATAGGCGACTGTACAATCTCGCATAAAATGAACCATTAAATCTCGATATAATTGCATACGTTGCGTACATGTTAGGTAGTTAACGTGCATATAATTATTTAACTATTTTCAGGCATTCATGTTCGAGTCATCTCTCAGTCTTGTCATAACCAAGTGGGGGGCAGAGACTTGTCAGAAGTTGGATGCAAAATACTATGAATGCTGGCAGAATCTACCGAAACTGTTTTCCAATCAGATGAATGTTTAAAAAACATTCGGAATATTCAACACGATGTTTTATCGCAAGCTATGTGTTAGACGTATGTACATACAGTAGTTACGTATCAGCATAATATACACGTAGGAACAAGTGGGCAACTATTCCCGTCAATAAATGCGCAGCACTATAAATTTGCGACAAGGCACACACTAATGAAAACTGCTAAGCAGGTAATACGAGATTCAACGGCCATTGTACAAGTAAGCACCTATTGTATGCTGTATTATTATGAGTAAGCATAAGTAGATGCTTGGACACGTCCCACATGGATTAAATACTTCTTGCACTGGTGCTTGCTATCGAAATGTTGTGTTGAGTTTAATTCCGTGAATCAAAGTACAGTAGTTATGGAGAAAGTTATAAAGTACCATAAATATCTTAATATATAGTAGTAGATGCGTAACAATGTTTTGAAATTCCATTTTTTGTTTTCGCAATAAAAAAATATTTTTTATAAATTGACGTTTTATTAACTAATAAGAATAAACGGTTAGATTTGTTTAGGCACACAAATAGTTCATAGGTTTACTTACTGTAATAAACGCAAAACGCAACTAAACGTTATTAAAGAGGTAATCACGGATATATTCCGACTAGAATTACTCCGAAAAGAGGTCATGGCGTAAGTTTGAAGCAGCCCACAGTCGACTTGCTTCCGCATCATGGAAGAATCTCTTGAAATACGGATCATGTAACACCTCATCCCTGGGGCCACTAATATCGAAGGACCCTTTACTTTTAGTGCGTCTTCAACGACTACTGTTTTGTTCTGAACCCTTGTCACTGAACTATCGTTATTAATTGTGACAGTATTTTCGATATTGGTTACAGCAACAGGTTTCGATGATTCGATGCTGTTCGGCGTTTTTTCGTATTCCCAAATGAAACTCGACATCAACTTGCAATCAATACGGGTCTCTTCATAATCACCATTATCCTTATAAATAGCAAACTTGCACTTTTCTCCAGGGTTACCATGGTACTCACTGTTGTAGTGGTGATGATAGCTGCCAGATGACATTCGCCCTAAATTGTACAATGCAAGACCGGTTAACAACGTGTCGAATCTGCTGCCTGAATCTCTGTATTCGTAAATATATGTTGGAGGTGCTCCGTGGTATACCGGATGATAAGTACTTCCATAATTTATCTGCTGTGGGGGATTGTAGTGGTAGTGGTAATTATAGTGATGGTGAACGTCTGTTTTTTTGTGTTGGGTCCCCTGAGACGATTTACCGTTTCCAGAGAGACCTGTTTCTGAATATGGGTAAGAGGCTCCCGTCTTGCTTGGATTTGGATGGCCGCCGTAAGTATGTCCTGCATTTACATAAGAACCATGGTTGTGTGTTCCGGACAGTCCAGGCGACGGCGGGTAGCTGTGACCGTGTCCACCGACTCCACCGTGATGTACACCACCTCCACCAATCTTTCGCGCCAAAACGGGTATAACAAATGAAATGAGAAAATATGTCCGCGGTGACATTGTTTCCACGCGGACCGTAACTATGAGACTGAATCACCGAGGAGTGATTTCGCGATTATATGTATACCGACATGATACATGGAACACCCTGTCTGGGCGCGTGACGTCAGAGGGCGCCGGGTCGGCGGCAGGACAAACATTGGGGGAGTTATAGCAGGAAAGATTGCGTCATCCAATGCCAATAACTGGGGATATGGGTTCGCTGAAAGCTATTGGCACGCAACACCACAGAGTACCCGTTAATAGTGCAAATTTAATTGCATGTCATATTCTACAGAGATCATAATCGAGCATTTAAAATTTGACTAGACAGGTAAAATATCGTCATTTAATCAGTTCCACCCACGAGACGCTCTTCAATCGCAGCATCTAGCTTAGATCTGATTGTAATAAACATGACAGTCTATTTTCTGCTAATGTGCTTGATAACGAAATGGTTAAAACATTTAGATATCATGTATTTTAAAAAAAGTATAATAAAGGCTATTTTCAATTTTTATTGACTTGATATTCAATTATTTTTTGTGAAATTACTCCACTAGTTTGTTATAATTATTAATACAAAGATCGAACAATCAGAAAAAAATCCTTCGATCCGGTCGGATTCGAACCGACGCACGGCGACGTCTTCTTGGATACCGTACCAGACGCTATATTAACTAAGCCACGGAACAAACCAACGGACCTTACGAATTTTTCTATGTGCTTGCGTCGTGTCTTTGTATTTGGTTTTTCAACGACTTTTTAGTCGTAGCGCCAGCTATGAGAAATCTATGTAAGATTTATCACCCAGTTAGTACCTTTACAGCTACAGTGTTGGATCTTTATATTAATAATTATATAATAAAGGCTATTTAAAATTAATGCAAAATATTATATATTTAATATGCAAAGTGTATAGGGGCTGCTAGACTAACACCTCGAGATAAAAGTCTGTTGTACGAAAATTTTCTGAGCAAGTATGTTGTAAATTTTAGATTTGTACAACTACGTGGGGCGCACTATAACTTTCCGAAATGAATAAGAAAAAAATACTATAAATGGTCAGAAATTAATTTATTGTTTCTCAAAATATTCCCGTTCGCGTTAATGCACTTTTTCATACGAATGAACCAATTATGAAAACACTTATGCCACTTCTCCGTGACTATCTCTGAAACATATTTTTCATACTCTTCGACAGCTTCTTCAGGTAATGAAAATCGTTGACCGCGTAACTGGTTCTTAATTTTTGGAAAAAAAGTCACAAGGTGCCAGGACTGTATGCAGTATGGCTCATAAGGTCAACGTTGTTCACCTTCAAAAATTCGTTTTCTGTCTGGCCGTGTGAGAACTGGCATTATCGTGGTGCAAGATGATACGGCGTTTACGATTATTTTTACGAAGTTTGTCAATAACTTCCGGCAAACAAAATGGTCGTGTACCAATCACGTGTCCAGTTTTATTAAAAAAAGAAGCTATCATCCGCTTAGAGGCGCTTTGCACGCGCGCCACTTTGGTTGGTTTCGGTTCATCTCGAAAGACCCATACTCTCGATTGCTGCTTTGATTTGGGATCGTAACTATAAATCCATGTTTCGTCACCTGTTACTATGTCCCACATCAAATTTGACGCCCCTTCGTTGAATCTGGTAAGTATGGCATTGCAACAAGAGACGCGATTCGTTTTTTGAGCGTCAGTCAAATTGTGTGGGATCCACCGAGAGCACAGCTTTTTCACACCCAAATGTTTGTATAGTATTGATTATATTTGACTCATGCCTATGCCTAAAGATGCCCGAATCTCATGGTATGTCACATGCCTGTCTGTTTTGATCATATGGCGCACAGCATCGATGTTTTTGTTGTTCATAGCAGTGGACAGGCGACCATCACGAAATTCACACGACCGCCTTTGAATTCTGCAAATCAGCTATAAATAGTCGTCTTGCATGGTGCTTCATCGCCAAAAGCAGTTTGAAGCCGAGCGAAGCTCCGCTGAGCTGTTAAATTACACCAAATTCGTAGAAAATCATACTACGAAAATTTTCATGAGTTAAATCCATGGTGATGTAAACAACCAATTTCTAAAATGACGCCGCAATGTAAAAACAAGTGATAGTCAGATGAAACAAACTGTATTCTATAGCCAAAAAGTTCCATTTTCAAATGTTGTAATTACTTTTTCAATAGTGTTTATGTAAGTGGCCAGTTCCGGAAACTTATAGTGCGCCCTATGTAGATTAGCTAAATCACAAGATTTTTTTATTGCAATCAAATCTTAGTTGTTGTGATTCTCGAAATCTCGATTGTCACTGGAATAAGCATATACCAGCGTACACAGTAAAATCACCTTATAACTTTGAATCCGACCGTCTAAACCTAGTTTGGCGACTAGAACAGACTAAAGAACGACTTTTTACCTAGTTAGTCAAATACTCTAATAGATTATGGTCACGCTGGAATAGCTCACGTAATTTAATTAACATTATTGAGGTGTGGTGTCACACCCAGTGAAATAATTTGTAAAAAATAGCATATTGTGACATGACAATCCATTGCAATCCAATGCGTTTAGAAGTGAGCCTCGTCACTTCTAAACGCATTATTGTTATTCGATATGTTCAAAACGACGTTAAAAGCCGTTCGGACTGTTGGGTCGGATATGCCGCATAATTCGTAACGTAAAAAATAAATTAAAACAAATTTTAATTATGATAGGTTTAATTATAATAATTAGCAGAGCTTACAGTTACGTTCCATTACTGCGTTTACAAAATACCCTAGATCAGCCGGGTCGACCAACCTGTCGTACTTTAATAAAATCTAACAGAAACTATCATTCTTGTGACTTACAATATAAATAAATTAAAATAATGGAATTACCACGGCTAACGAACATTTTCAGATTCATATTTCCTTTAGGAAATAATAAGTGATAGGATCAAAACGTACGACGACATTTCTGAAATGGACAAAAACAGTTTACGTGCACGCATTTCATAGAAAATTTAACATAAAAGTTATCGACGAACTTACAAAAATGCGGGCATCCAATGAAATTCTCGTGCACATAAACCACGGGAATTGGACCCTTCATTGAGAGATATATCCAATGATAGGAACATTATTCATTATTATCGTAATATTAATAACATTTACAAAATCATTTGTGTACATTTCATTATTTATTTTTTATTCGGGAGATCATTACATTCCAGGAGGAAATAACGTAAAACAAAACGTGTCGCTTATTGCGCGTAATGTGTTGAATCATTATTTATAATAAGACACGCACGGAGGTCGTAGGACCTTTGCATGTTGCCCTACTTTTATGAATCATGGGCTAAGCCCATTTTATTTCGTATTAGGGACATATAGAGAAGTAAAATTTCCCTGATTACGCTCTAACGTATTATCATCAACGTTCATAGTTCGTTCGTGCTTATAATTATGATTACAGTACCAATTCAGTTCTTACTAATAATAATCTATCCTTATAGATAAAAATTCATTGACGCGCGCTTTAAAACAGATTTTGATTTATATTTAATTCCGTAATTGAAGAAATAAAATATAAAGATATAACCAATCATGTGTCACAGACTAAACTATCTAGTTTCTTGACAATGACGTTTATTTTTGGTGAATCGAATTTAAAAATATAACTACTTTGAAAACACTAGTGTTATTGTAATGGCGCATTTACACCAAGTCAACAGGCGACTGTCGTCGCTTGCCCGCTGATAGTGGCAAACTACCCGGTGCAAATACTGATTCGTAGTTCGCAGCCGAAATCTACAAAATCGACTAGATGTAAAAGCTGATCGCCTAAGGGCAAGCGATTGTCGACGCGATGCGCGTGCTGGGCTAAAATAGTTGCCAATTTTTGGGGAATTCTCCAAACTGAGGGTTGGAATAATGCGAAATTTTTAATTTTTTTTTTAATTTAGCATTTAGAAAAATTTTACCATTTATTTTGTTTTGATTTCCTTTAAGTTATTTATTTTAGTTACAATTTTATGTTATTTATTATTAGTTTTAAATTGTATTTATTGATACATTTAGTTTTTAATTTTGTAATTGTACATGGATTTGTAGGGTCCGAAATAAATTATTTGATTTATTAATCTACCCATAGCTAATAAATTGATAGTTTGATGGTTGTTGATAAAAAAACATCAATTACAATGAACATTCTTGATATTTTTTTGCAACTTCGCACATCACTCGTTTGTATAGAAACACTATACAAGTGTGCGATGTATTCCCAAATTTGAAAGTAGTTATTGCTTATTATATTTTTTTTTTTTCGAGATAATTATTTGGGGAATTTTTGGTTAACAAGGCGAAGTAGTCTGCCGAAGACGACCAGGTGTAAATGCGCCATAACGGTCTAATTGAAAAGTTATCATCACACACAAAGGTGCCTATTCCCTTATTGAATCTACAAGGTTGCATGTTAACAATGTAAGCATGTATGACATAAAACACTGAAAAATGTTTTTTTACTTCTTTCAATAATGTTCCCATCATTGGGTGGATTCATCATCGCGACCACATAGACTAAACCAATCTCATTACCTCCACTGACTTTGTAATTTTATTCTTAGAAAAGACCTGACTAAGATTATAAGGTTACCTACAATAAAATCAATCATTGAAATGAGTCAAAATATGCTTAAGAATTTGATGTCATGATTCTTTCACCTTAGGGTTGACCCTCCTAACTCGGAAATCAAAAATATACTGCATAATTATCATATTCATAAATTCAATAGGTTCGACAAAATCTAGGCTTTGCCATTATATCTGCACCACATATAGATGATCATCATAGGATGAAAATAGGGTATTCATATATGTGAAGCTGATGCATGCTGTTGTGTCGTTCAACCTTCGAATTTTAGTCAGATCTTACCTTACAAACTATTGATGTTTATAGTTAATACATACAGTTATTTTATTATAGACTTATACATTCAGATTCAATCTACACATTCATTGGACATACACATTTCAATGGACTTTACACTACTGTTCAAAAACTTCATTTTTCCATAACTGATACCGTAATGCACATGTATTCAATGACATTTTTTAAATGAAAAGAAATAAAATTAGGTGTGGAACGGCAATTAAGGCTAATAGAAAATAGAATCTGTCGTTTAAGAAGGTACACTATAGTTGGATTAAAATGAAGTAGTAATTGAACTAATCCCGTGGTTTCAATAAGATATTGTATTCTTAAATTGAATAGACTAAGCAGATCCTGTTATCACTGCATCAGAGTAACAATCTATGATATCTGTAGTGTACACATTGTACGTACTGATGTCGGCTTAGTCGCAGTCGGCGGGGGCGAGGGCCAGCGCGGGGGGAGTTGCGGGTGAGGAGGCGGACGGCTAGCCGTGGTTCACGTTTACGCCCGACTCCAGTTCGGACGCCGGAGTCTCTGGCTCCTCGTCGTTATAAATGTTTTCCGCCATTTGCCATACCTAATAACATATCAAAACGATGAGTGGTGATTAATGATGGTTTACGGTCAGACCCCGTTTGTCAATACGCATTCGTATAGAATGTTCTAAACACGTGTTTCACATGGGATATCTACTATGTCGATTAGCAGTTTTGGATTGATATGCTGGCTGCCTAGAGGGGTCAGCAGTCAAGTCTATTAGGCTGAAGCTTTATTACGATTGCTAACGCGTCATTTAAACTTGTCAGTTATTATTCTATTATTTATATCGATAAGTAGACTCTAATTAGACGAGACTAGTGTCTGAAAAATTGAGATACTCAACGAAAACATTGATATGGCTATTAATTGGTATTTGTTAAGTCAAATTTTAAGATTCTACTATACCTGCATGATATTATCTTCTGAGACAGAGCAAATGACCCACGGTTCGTTGGGGTTCCATGAGAAGTCTGAAATCTTGGCAGTGTGTCCTCCGTGGATGAACAGCAGCTCCGGCGGCCCGTCTTCAGCGTCCTCTGCCGTCTGTTCTTCGCCAATCTTTGATAAGTCCCATACGTGCAGTCTGACGAGAAAAAAGCATTATAGATAAACGAGATGTTTGCAATCATATCAACTCGTATGTCCTAAAGCTGGGTACCGATATCTTTACGCCTAATGCGCGTTTGGGAATATAATAATTTGAAAAGATTTTGTAAATCATGTAAGACTCCTTCGATTTTATTTTACATTGTTAAAACAGGTAAAAACTAAACACGACATCAAATCCATGACATTAAGTCAAACCACCACATCACCGCGATTTTAATAATGTCTATGGTTATCATTAGAAACCGTAACTTGTAGTTAAAATATGTACTGGTAATAACATCAAAATGGTGATCCATTTTATTGGCCACTTTCGTGAATATGGCGTAAATAATACTCATTAAGAAATGTAAATAAATATCTATATGCAGACCAACGGTTAAGTTACCAATTGGTACACCCTAAAAATAAAAGATGAACTATCAAAAATAACAAATTATAAAAGAACCAACCTCCTGTCTGTGCCACTGCTTGCGAGTATGGTTTCGTTGTGTGGCGACCACTGCACTTGGAAGATCTCGTCTTTGTGCGACTCGAATGAATGCAGCTTCAATTTCAAATTACGGAGATCCCATAATGCGACCTTTACAAAATAACTAATAATTTATTGATTCTTAATTGATAATAGTATATAAACCAATATTATTCCACTTCAAGACCCACTTCGCTGTGAAACGGATTTTACTTTGCACAAGTATCTACGTCACATGCATATTAATTGCACTCATGGACACAAAAAAGAGGTTTAATTTATGACAACAATGTTCATCTAAATCACTAGTCACATATAACGGAACATTTAATTGAAAAACTGAATTACAGCCTTTTGATTTCGATTAAATTTTCGATATAATATGTGGCCAGTGGTTCATGATGAAGGCTGTTATCAATGTTGTTACTCAATAATTTTTTAGCATTTCTCTAAATATGTCAGGGTGATTCACGTAATCAAACCGTTACGATATCGTAGCGATTTAGTCGTTGAACTGCTTTTTCGTTTTCACGAGTGACAATGAACGTCAACGAGCCCAATTTTAAAGTTATTATAGTCAATGTTAAAGCGTATTCTGGTATATGAATCGAACTTAAATCGACTCTTAACGACAAGTCATACGTATTCTGTTAAAATTTTGACAGTTCTTTCAATAGCTTTCGACAACTAAATGTGAAATTTCACAATCCAAGATGTCGTTCATTAGTCGTTAAGTTTCGATTCTACTCATTCATTGATTCACTTGACGTGGTAAAACTGAATTGCTTAAATTCGTATCATGACGTACAAAAAATTGAGCGGGAATGGCAAGGCAAGATGATGAGGTTTACTTTTAAAACGTGAATTATCGTCTCTGGTTGGCTAGTTGACATCTAACAAGAGCGAGATGGAACTACATACTAAATCATATGAAAGAAATAGACAGATGTATTACCCTGGGGGCGTTCAAGCTCTATTAACCGATTGTGTTCAAAGTGATAATAATCATATTTTTTAAACAATTTTATTTGTTGATTATACTTATTACGTTATATTGTCTTAGAATAATAACGCATAGAAACCTAGCCCGCACACGTTAAGTGAGGCAAATTGTAGGACGCCCTATGGGCTTACACGAGCGAGCGGGCTGTCAGTGCTCAAGGTCAAGTTGCACCGCGAGCAGCTCAAAAATTTTTGCTAAAAATGATGAATTACCGCAGTAATTTGGTTTAAAAATAGATCAAACAAATATAAAATAGACACTAACATCACATTCCACAAGGAAATAACGCGTTTCAACTTGTATTTTTATATAAATATTCACTAAAACCATTGACTTACAATTATATGGACGTCGGGTCCGCGCTAAAAAGTGTCCGCACTTGTAAGGCGCTAAAATCGTATACAGAGCGCCAAACTCCGCTTTAGTCTTCATTTGTTCTACTGACAGCGCGATACTGCGATGACATTACAATTTAAATTTCGAATAGGTTGACTTGGGACATTTTTTTCGTGGTTTTTGTATTAGACTCGTCGTCCATTTATTTGTAAGTCAATGACTAAAACAGAAAATTAATTTCGTTGCAACAAGATACGAAAATGTTGCAAAGTAACGAGTTTTTTCTCCCCATTTTGCTATTCTGTTTTAAAATAATTATATTACGTAATTTTTTGAGATTATTCTCAAATCAATATCGCGACGGTTGCAAAATTTCTACAAATGTACACCGCCGCAACAACATTGTAGGGAATTTACGTTAGCTATTTTTACGAAATATATTTAGTATTTGCCTTCATTAGTTTCATGTGAAAAATCATTATTCTTGTTCATCATACACTCATTTAAAAAAATTGTCTTGCCCAGACTTAAAAGTTCTTAACTAAAATTATTTCAGGAAACTAACTCCGACTAAAAAGTCATCGTCAGTTCTCCAAAATCGTGTATAAATAACTTTCAGGTTCTTAATTGTTATCGTGTACTTTTCATGTAAACATACCCACAGATAATATCAGGCTATTTATATATTCAAATTCGATAGTCGCACTTAAACTCGCTTGTAGGTTTTTGTTCATATATGAGTTAAATAAGAATTGGGTAGTATTTAATAAGGTGCTGTAGGCACCTCTAACTTAACGATGAGTTAAGCAAGATACAATTTCCCCACTTGTGAGGGAAATGTTATTCCATGGCATCATTATTTGTATATTTGTGTGCGTGCCGACGAGCGTAAATACAAGTTGCTTACGCCTACATGAATTTGATTTTTGCCTCACTTGTGACAGTTCGTTTTTTATGAAACTATCATTCTATGCGTTATTATTCTAAGTATATTGTAATATCGACAACTTTTCAATCATACTTTACAATTTGTCGTAAGACAAAATTACATGTCATGTCTAGTCATTATCATTGAAATGAATAAGGTGAATATGTAATATAAAAAAAATAAAAATCGTTTATATATGAATATGATAACATTAATAGGAACGTATCTTGTATTCGTACGTTTTAATTGATTAATGCGTTGAAGTCAAATTTGGCACCATTTAAAAGTTATTTTACGATTTTCACCAAATCAATAAAATGATTAAAATACAATTAAAAAATTGCAATTACATTGATGCTAATAATTTATCAACAATACTCTATAGATGGATGGGAAACTCGAACTAAACTAATCAAAAAAACCTCAATAGTTAATACCTAGTATTTATTTATTGACAATTGGCTTATATAGCCTAAAAAGATAACAAATAACTAAGTAACTGAAAATATAATAAAAATTAAACGCAATTTCTTAAAAATGTAACAAAATCTCGACATTTAAAAAAAATTGTTAATTACAGTGCAACTTTCTTTGAATTGCTTATTTTGATAGATGAGACCGCCATGTGCATGGCAAATTACACGTCATATGAAAGAAAAGGTGAACGGATTTCGAATGGCGAACGTAAATTGTATGGACAGTGAATTGTTTTTGTGAGGACATAGTACGAATTTGACAGGCTATCCAACTTACGGGTTTAAACAGGATTGCTATAAGAGCTAATAGTAGACCCCCAGGAGCACAAATTTTTTCACATTTGGGCCACGAGTTCGAGACGACATGTAAATTTAGTGGAGTAAAAACAGCGACATACTTTTGAATTAAGTATAATCATTTATATTTAGTATGCAAATAGCTTTATGTACAACATAGGTTCCCAAATTTTTTAATTCACCGCCCTCTTAGGCAAGATAAAAAAATCACACATTTCATATAATAACCAAAAAAAATACATTACTTAACACAAAAAAATCACAATTAAAAAAATTGTATATTTAGTGTAGTTGTTGTTCAGGTTTTTTTTTAAATGCGGTGGCACCCCATGGACAGCATTAACGCCTCCCAATTACTTCCAAGCTCCTACCTCCCCTATGACGCTTTAGACCCACTGGGTTGCGGTAGGGACCACTTTGGGAAACTATGATGTACAACAACGAAATTTTTAAGACACTGGGAAAAAATATTGTTCTTGTACGCACGCCAAATTACACGCATAAAACAATGTCTACACTAAACAGACGTAGGTATATTACTTTAAAAAATATACAAAATGTTTACCGTTTTGTCAGCACTGCCCGTAGCGAGAATGAACTCTGAGTAAGGGTTGAAACTAAGGCAGTTTACCTCCGCGGTGTGGGCGTCCACTGTGTGCGACGGTTTCGACGTGTTGTTACATCTGGACAAACACTTATTGTTATAGATTTGCGATCAATTATAAATGGCAAAAAAATTGCAAACAGCATTTCTTCTTAAATGATGTATAAATAAGATACATGGTAGTGGATAATTTAAATGTATAGTAGTAGTACAAACGTGAATCCCTGGAACTTCTGCAAGCACTAGATTTTGCCCACTGCAAATACCACAGCAGAAAACGAGTTTGGTTTGGTGCTAGAGGATAATGCAGCAAGGAACATAGCTCTTTTAGTGAGAATACGAGATCAATTCTAAATTAAGTACCCCAGAATCATACCCTTGTAAGTACATGACAATGCATCATTTTAGTTACTTAAGTGTATTTATTTAAAATGGAACTATCTATTATAAGATATTCTTTGTTTCTACCCCATTTTCCAAGTTGGTTGAAAGAAATTGCTACACAGCAATAGGGCCGCTTGTTGTACATTAGCTTTCTTTGTGATATTTTCATTACCGTTCTGTGTTTTCATTGTAATTTTTAATGTGTAATAAACATATCATTAATTCATTATACTATACACACTTGTATAGTCATTAGCATGGTGGTCTGTAAACTTTGGGTACTGTACAGTACTCATTGCAATTGAACTAAAATTTGAAGTTTATAGGTCAACATGCTGTTGACTGTACTATGTTGCGGATTACCGAGTAGTGGATCATTAATAATAATAATAATAATAACGCACACACTCAACATAGCCCCGCACTAGGGAAACCCTGTGTCGCGGGTGCCATGGACACACACATAGACAACCACAAATTACACCCAAACTCACGAGAGAAATAAATGTAGGCCATACAAATATTATTCCCGGCCCGGGAATCGAACCCGGGAACCTCTGCGTGGCAGTCCGGTATGGTAACCGTTCGGCCACGGAGGCAGTTAATCATCATCATCATCATCATCATCATCATCATCATCATCATCATCATCATTATTCACCTAGTATCCCAAATCATAAGCTTCTGGTCATCAGCTACTGAACCAAAGAGGGATTCGTGCAGCAAGTGCCAGGCGACGTCTTCGACAACTGCCGTGTGACCGGTGAACACTGACTTGGCATCAATCACGCGCCCCTCCTTTGGCGTCGCGTTAATGTCCCACAGGCAGATTGTGTGATCGTCACTGCATTACATATTTTTTTTATATTAAATTTTGAAGGATTACAGTATGCACACAATGACCATTAAAGATTTTTCCTTTTTGTGAAATTACTTCATCATCATCCACAGCCCAAATTCACCCACTACAGGGTATAGGCCTCTTAGAGAGGCTTACTGTACTACTTTGTTATAATTATTAATACACGACGACCAGTGTCGCCTTAGTATGGCATAGGCGCAGATTCGAGTCCTCTCAGATCAAAGGAATATTGCTTTGTGTTAATAATTATAATAAACTTGTGAAATAATTTTAAAAACTTAATGTCATGGTAGTAAAACATCATAATATTCATTACAATCATGTCATAAAGATCTTTCTTTTATTTGGATTATTGAATTTTTAAATACACAACTGATTTGATCAAATGTTTGACGACATGTATAATATTACAAAATTATGATATGAATTCACAAATTTTACCTGGCTGAAAGGAGGTAGCCATTGAGATTTGGATTCCACGATAAACCATAACCTTCTTTTTGATGCCCCCTCAGTCTGTAACCATGAAAATGTGTTCATTAAATTACTGCTTTTGTTTTGAATTAATATGTATAACAAACTCACTGAAAACTTGGGTATTTCATATTTTTGGACTTGTTCTTGAGCAATCACCAGAAAAACAATATTAAATAACCAATTACATTAATAAATATATAAATTATTTATATATAGATCCTAATGAGTCTAACTAATAAGTGTCTCACAGTGTGTTCAGACAGAACCTATCAGGGTGCAGTTATTCGCACAGGTTGGTTTTGGTACATATAATGTTTGTTGGTTTCAATCTGTTTTGTTTGCGGTGGTGCGTGGAACAGCAATGTTTTTGTATACATGTTTGGTTACATAGTATTTTATCTGTTTGGATTCTATAAGTGTTTCTTATATAATATTTCTAATGGGACTGACATGTTCAATAACGATCAATGCCCCTAAACAAATTATTAAAATAAAAAACTTAAATTAATAAATATAAAACTAAAACAATAAACTTTAACCAATTTTTGTCAACCACAACATTGTTGAACTAAATGTCTTGCCTCAAGTCAGGATGGCATTCCCCTGAAGGTTCAGGTTTAGATGGATGCTTGGTATAATCAAACACCAGCACGTCTGAGGAAGGTGTCTTAGTAGCAATGACACACGGGTTTTGAGGCATGTAGCGTGCTCGGTTTACTTCCCCTTCATGGTTGATCTTGATCTCAATGTCAATCTTACCAGATACTGATCCAAAGCCTCCAAATTCTGGAAAATAACTTTAGCTTAATTTTCATTCATAAAATTAAATTGTGAACTTGGACAACATTTTGAAAACCTGTGCAGTTTGTAAACAGGCTAGGAAAGCACTCTCCAAGCTTAACTGCCACATTAACAGGTCATGGTCTACTTAATTAACACCTTTTAAATACAGGTATCACAGACAGCTCTCTATGCAGACTGTGCGCTGAGGGGAGAAAATGGTCATGCACATCCTACTGCTATGCTTCATTCTCGCTAACTTCAAGACATGTACCTTGGAATGCCAAGGTTGCTCTCATGGGTCTTCAATAACCCAGGAAGGTGCTGACATTTTTGGAGGAACTATGGTGGCACAAGTAGGATACTGGCACCCACCACTCTCAATAGGTGCCTGGATGTGAAGTTGGAGGTATCCGCCTGTTACACCATTATCATTGTGAACTGTGCAGTGTCACTTAGAGCTTTAAATCGCAAAGATCTAAGGGGCACCGTCATTGCAACTATGACCCGAGACATAAGTCAACAAGTGCTTGTAATTTCACCAGCACCCTTACCTAATGCTAACATTATTGCTTGGCGGCAGAAATATGTAAAAGCTCTAACTGAGCATCAACTAAAGTTTTATATGAATATTACAGCTCATATGAACACTGCCACAATAAAAAAGGCTGCCAAATCTGATAATTTTAAATCACCGCTGTTGTGTGTCAACAGAGTGCCAATGGCAGGATTTTGAACATTTGGCATTCTGCTAAAAGTTAAGAGAAGTGATTTGTCACTGGCTAGCCATTGAGTTACTATTCAACTGCCATTGTAATTTTTTATTATCCCGCTCTTCAATGGTGAGTCGATAGTCTGCTAATATTACACATATTTAACTTGAAAAACAAATTGCTTATTAAACGAGATAGTAATTAAGTTATTTAATAGCAATTTCCTTTGTAGTTTTAGTAAGGCATGTGACGAAATGAATGAATGTCATCATTGCCATTCCACTGACTCTCCGACTCAACTGCCATTGCAACTAGATTTTAGCAGAATGAAAAATATAGTCATAATCGCAATATAATCTCAATGGAGTTTCAATGGTATTACAATCATCAGTAGTTTCAAGAAAATTAGATTAGGGGCTCAGGAAGTAACAGAGTGTTGACCAAGCTGTTCAAATAACATGTATGTGATAGTCAATATATAGGCTGAGGCTAGGCTCAGACAAAGCTTGATATAGCATAAATAACTTGTATTTTTTTCATATTAGCTTCAAATACTTGTCAGGTACAGTGTTAAAAAGAAATTTTCGATTTCTCTAGCACACAAGCTAAGATATCATTATGGAGATAAACTACAATCACTGACATCGCATCCCCTACTTTTTGTGTAATAAATTACTTACCACCTTTATCATTGTCATAGTGGCTGGCATCAAACTGTGCATCTTCATTTGGGAGCTGAACACTCGCTATCAGCAGGTGGTTTTGTTCGTCTGATGTATGCGTGCCCAAGATCAACCTGCCTCATAAGAAAGATTATCACATAATAAAAACGTTATTAAATGAAGCCTTCATAAATAAATAAAAACAAACAGAAAGTACTTAAAACTGCATTGTGTTAAGTAGATTATTTGACTTTGAAGTGCCAAGTAAATTATTTCCAGACAAGGCAAACAAATGCAAGATATAGTATGAAATTGAACTTAAAAGGTTATGTTCCGAGTTTTACTAGCTGGCGTACCTGTGCACAGAATAGTCTTTTCCTTCAGGTCTGGTGACGTCGGGAAGCCACTGCGCGGTCAGAGAGGGCCATTCCAGCGCATGTGTCATCACCAAATCGTACAAGAACGGAGTGTTCTTTTTCCATATCTTGTATTCTTCGTTGATGACTCTCTCCTCTACTGCATCGTCGAAGGCTTCTATAAATGAAATATACTTCCATTTACACTGATAGTAATGATAAACTACTTGATATAACCACAAAAATTACTACCAAGCTGTCAAGACAGCAATGCGTGTCAGCAGGACGATATATGCTTCGAACACATAAATAGTAATTAAAATAATTACCTCCATCGCCTTTGTCACCCATTTCACTAAATATAAATTGCTTTTCGCCTGAATAGGTGGCGAAATCCTAAAAAAACTTACCGGCCCCGTAAAGGCGCCAAACAACAACTCTCTTGGCGTTGTGTTTCGGTAGTGTTCGGTAGATAGCATACAAACTTCCGGTTTTTTGAAGTAATTTTATTTACTTTTAAATCACAATTACTTTTTATAGACTGAAATATTGTATAGTACGCTGATCCTAGTTAAAATATTTTTTGTATATTTCCATTTTAACTATAATTATTATTATAAATGCAGTTATAATAAAAAAAATGTCCACTCGACAACCGGAAATCGTAAAATATGGCAATTCTTAGAATTGAAGGTACTGCCAATTAAGTGGAATTATTTTTTAACAAAATATGTAGTATAATATTCTTTTGTGTATGTATCCGAATACATAAATTTTTGACTGGCATTTTTTTTAAAACTGTCAACTCGAAATACCTCAGCGAAATATTAATATCTTTTATCTTTCTAATTTGTGCTTGAAATTCTGGTTCGTCGTTGATGTCCAAATTGATAAAAATACAAAATAATTTATTAGGTATTTGAAAACCATGGCTGATGCTGCAGCAGCTCGACGTGAAGCCAGGAGACGAAGGATATTAGAGAATTCTCAGAACAGACTTCAATTTATATCGGGGAAAAGCAGCACTGAGTGCGTCAAAGGTATGTATTTTTATTTTAGACAAAGTGCATGCAATAATACCAATTGAACATAATATAACACGCGCTATTTTCAGAGGTACCAAGCAAAAGTCCTATTCCTGATTTTCCTGATCTAAGCATTGAGAGTTCTGGGCCATCAGAGTGCAGCAGCAGTTTCTTTCCACCATCTATTAACAACGGAATGGTTATGTCGGAAGCGGATTCATCTGAATTTTCTTTACAATCCCAGGACTTCGTGGCGGCCGGTGACCGACAGATAATGAATGATTCGACAGGTTTCATATCGCCGCCGCCTGAACTTGAAAAAGTGTCCACATTTGAAAAGATCATTAAGTACAAATATGATATTGTAATACTGTCTTTGCTAATTCAGCTGTTATACAGTCTGCCTTTATTTACATTCAATGATGGTTATTTTTTTCTTCCTCTTATAATTTATGTAGTCACAAAATTGATTTGGTTCCCAGTAAATAACAAATCGAATATAGCAAATGCGTTGATGTTACTTAATGGTATATCAGCTCAAAGAGTACAAAAATTATTAAGCGTTTCACAATGGGTAGGTGTGATATCACAAGACATCTGTGTGTATCTATTTACTACAATTTGCATACAATCTGCTCTAACTATGTTGAAAGACACTTGGGGTACATAGTAGCAGCTTCTTTTCTACCTTTTTTACTTGAAGGCTTTTGACTGACCAGTTTTAATACTAGCCAGCTAGCATTACAAGAGTTCCATAGTTTGATTGCCTGTGCCTTTTGTAAGTAAGAATTGTGACATGTGTGCGTTTTAGCCACATAATGCCATTTTAGTTTTAAATTGGGGAGTGTGTAAATAGCATTGGGAAAATTTTAATTTACCTATAGTCAAATTATGTAGCTCAAGAAAGAAATTATACATAGCCTGCAATTCAATCTATTTAATTATATGAATTATAGGAGAGACTAATCTCATCTTCACCCTATGCATTTAAATGTATTTATGATTTTAGCAAGATGAACACTTCTATTACTGTTGAGTGGATCAAAAGTCACGCCAAATTAATATTTAATACTTATAATAAGCTCATAATTTTTACAATTTCTCATCATTGCATAATTGGTACCTCCAAGACAATGGAGTTACATGTAATATAGGGAATATGCAATTTTAAACCGCAATGTTGGACTTATAACCATTGTTGTAATATTTAGCCATTACTTCATATATTTTTCAATCTTGAATTTGAAGTGGTTGACCAATTTGGAATACATATAAAACAATAACAAAGTCATTTTGTATTATTTTGTATCTCCAATATAATTATGCAAATTGTTAATACAAAAAGTAATTTATAGGTATTTTCTAAGTCACTTGCATGTTCCCTAATTTGCCTACATTGCAATCAGTTCTATAGAAAAATTGCTTCATGTTTCAGTTATGGCATGTTATATTTTTTGATAATAAAAAGGCCTATTACATACATCATTTATTTTTTGTGACAGATATCCTTTCTTTTTCACATAAAATTGTTATTTATTTATTTTATTTTCTTGTAATTATTTTTATTGGGCAAATAAAGGAAAAGCGTTTACTGTTTGGGTTATATTTATTTTTTGTTATTACTGACATAGCTGTAATAATTAGTTATAGTCCTAAAAAAACAAAGGAATATTGTTCCTTTCTTTGTGTTTGAAAGCAGAGTTCTCTTTGTACCAAAAGTTGCTGGAAAAAACAAGAAGTAATTGTGCTATAAAAACCAGTTTGTATTGACAAAATGAAACTATTTGGTAAGTCAGATCTCATCATTAAGGGATGCGGGTCAACGGCATACTCAGTGCAACAGTTTAGACCATTCATACCACAAGTGGTATTTTGTTGAGTGTACTATTGACTATATAAAAATACGAGGTTTTAAACCTGAAAATAGATTCAACTTTAAAGTTTGACATTATAAGGTTACATTTACAACACCATAATAATTTTATTAACAACTTTCAGGTGCAAAGCTAAAAAATGGAAACTAAGAATATTTTTATAAGTATTATAGACACATCTATTTTTATATAACTTCTCAAAAAGCCTTAAACTAAAAACAAGAGGCTCAAAAATAATACTATGTGGTCAAGTGCATCAACTTAATGGCAACATCACTAACAAAATAAAAGAAATTATTACAGAATTGCAACTAAAACTTAAATAGTCTCTTTATTCTACTGATAATGGCCTTACTTTGTTTGCCTTCTTCATTTGTCGGCAAAGATTCGGTTTGGTTAGATTCTAATTTTTCACCCGTGCTCTGACGATTTGACTCAATCATATCAATACTTGGAGCTATGTTGGAAATCAGTTCTGGAGTAGTAGAAATATGAAGCTTACTAAAACTTTGTAAATTAACATTACTCTTATCACTAGGTGAGTCATTGGTTTTGTCAGAGCACCCGAGTTCCTATTGGGCTTTCTTTGTAGATTTTATCCTTTTCTCTGCTATGGGCTTTGCACGCACAAGATCTGATCTACCTTTTGCCACCATTTTTAGCTCCCATGCTTCAAGATCTTTTCTGTAAAGAAAAATTTTTTATACAACAGTAAAAATTAAGATTTCATACTAAGCGCCCAGTTACTCGACGCGAAAGTATTCGCGCAGTGAGCGCCCAGTTGCCACGCTTTCACGTACATTAATGGCGAATGAATTCTATTAACTGGGCAACAACATTTAAATTCCTCTGAACAATACAACTGCGCGGCCACCGCATAGATCAAAGACAAGCCAACCTCGCCCTCGCGCCCGAGATGCTCTTTTAAGTCAGAACATAAAAGCAATATAAATAGAGCGTATTTTGCCATGACAGTTAGATGCACGCTGTCACTGCGCTCTTTTAAGTTGGAACATAAAAGCAATACAAATAGAGCATATTTTGCCATGACACTTAGATGCACGCAGTCGCTGCGCTGCGGCCACGCGGTCTCCGCGCTATGAAATTCGTGTCGAATTGACGCGCCCTTACAGTCCATAATAAAAAAAGTCTTACTTGTACTTATTCATAAGTTCCTGAGCCTGTTTCTCATATTTGGTTCGTTCATTTTCAGTTAGTTTAAGCCATTCTTGTTTTACCTTCTCTTGGAACTCCTTAATGTTATTGCCTTTCAGTGCATCTTTTTTCATTTGCATGAACAGGAAGTATGACGACATTGGTTTCTTAGGTCTGCCTAATTCTTTGTACTCCTAAAAGTAATATTGACTATATTAGGAAAAATTTTCTCCAACAGAAATAGCAAACTTTTAAAAGAGAATTTGTTCAGTTCGTCTATAGACCAAGAATTTGTAAAGAGTTACAAAATGTCTCTATTCTTTTAGCGTATTGGTATTAAATACAAATTGTAACAAACAAATTTAAATTAAGAAGATGCAAGAATATCAATCATTAATCATTCTTACGACTGTACATAATCATGGATCTGTAATAATGCAAAAATAAGACTGACGGCTTTCAGTTTCCGCTTTTCTCTGGCTGCAGTCATTACTTCTTTTACTCTCTTGATTTCTTGTTTCTGCTCATCTGTGAGGGATGCATCATATATTTTTTTTATTTTTTTATAGTCCTCTAGGTCCTTCTCATATTCTTTTGTCATTTGTGATTTAGTCTGCAAGATAAAATGTAACATTACACTATATAGAATTATTTAATGGTTTCGCAGTGTAATAAAATTAGACTTAAGGAAGCTTGACTTGCTAAGAATCACAGCAATTAATTAATGTGTTTCTTACTAATACATATTTATCAATATTCTGGTCTGATTTATATAAAAAGTGCTAAAAATAAAGCAATATAGAGTCAGTATTAGAGTAAAAAAGTCAGCTTTAAAAGTAATATAATATGTGTGATTGTGTAACATTGATGCATATTTGTACAGTTAATCTTAGAATAGTAGACTGAATAAAAATAACAGATTGGAAAGTAATACCTCTGCATCCAATTCCTGCCAATGCTTAGAGCTCCAAGCAATAGCCTCTTTAGAGGTGATGCCAGGGTTCTTGGCAAGCAGTGCTGGTCGCATTTGAGTCATAAACTTAAAGAATGGAGTCAAAGGCCTTTTTGGCTTCTCTATGCCTAACCTTTCTTCTGCAGACTTGCGTGTTGTATAGCTGAAGGACTGGTTCAGATTCAGCCAGTTTCCTCTGCTTGCTCTAGTGAACAATACAAGAAATAAACAATACAAATAAAACGCTAAAAAATTGGACCAGGTATTGTAATTAGCCACTGTGAATCTAACAGAAACAAACAGATATCGAAATTTGAATTGGATAGGGAGAATACATAGAAGACATTATTAGTCACTTTTATGCATTATAATCACCTTCATTAGTTTTTTCTACAATATTTGCAGTGTCTAAGCACTGCACCTTAGCTGGTTAATGAAGCTGTTTTATTAATTTAGTCACCAGCTTGCCGGAAATATATTATTATAAATCTGAACGAGGTACTAAAATATGCTCTGATAATGAGTAAAGTTTACTCCAACTATATACCATATCCAACTATTATATAGAGTCACTTTCAAAGTTTTATTTGTTTAAAGAATTAATGTATTTAACAGATAATCATTGTGATGGAAGGATTGGATGCTATGCACTATTGAGACCTTTGTTGTTAATATAGTATAAGCAAAACAAGACTATTTATTAATAATCCAGCAGTTGCAATTAGTAAGTATAGTTACTGCAAGCATATTTCGGATAAAAACTTCAGTTCAGTTCCTCCCAGTCTACCTGTTCCTAAATAACATAATAGTAAAAATGAAACCCAAGTTTCTTTTATAATACAGCAAATAGCAGAAGCTTTTAACAGAAATAAAATTTTAAAGTACAACTGTAAACAAAAGACATTGAAGCGTCTTAACCTCAAACTTACCTTCCGTGTAGCACAGTTCTGTATCCTCCTATTACCAGATTGTTCAAACGATGTAGCTGGGCAAACAAAGACATGTTTTAAATCAATAAAAAAATTGTGATGAAAGTCTTTTATATATTTCATACAATGGAAATAAAAAAATAGCGCGTAACAGCTTCCATTCCACACAAATTTGACATTGACATTTCATTTATTTCATTGCCAATTTTTTAAAATTTATTTCATGACCTTGGATTCAAACGTGTTAATACTCTGGTAGAAAACGAATCTATATTTGTAAGTCAATGTATATCTGTAACAAAAATTACAATTCCTGTTTCTTAACCTTTTTTGGACGTAAGATCATTGTTCATATTAGGCCGGCTAGAGATGGGTTTTTACCCGATAAATATCCGTCAAAGGATAAATATCCGTTTTAACTGAGTATTTATCCTAAAATATGGATAATATATTTTTTTGTGCTTATCATAATAAAATTCATTATAATTATTTTTTTATTAAATAATTATGTACGTATACTTCTTATTTTGCCATTGTTTTATGTAACAATACTGTTTTAGTACAGTCAAGAGCACGTCAAGCTTGACACTTTGTTCTTTGGACCGCTCTTATCGTAAGCGGCATAAAATTGGATTTAAGTCTTAAGTGTCAAACTTGACGTCATACTGTTTTAGTACTTACGTTTTTCGAGTCGATAACATCTCATTAACTGCGGTAGGAATGTAAACTAATTGGAACATACTCACCTAAACTTTTATCAACATAAAACTTATTTGGAATAGAAAATTCGATTGGCAGAAAGATATCAAATTGACTGTAACCCTTGAGCTGACCTATCCTGCGTTAATAAAATGCGAGCCAATTTTATGGTCTTCATGTTTGAACTTGAAATAGCCTAAGGATTCTCTTTCACATTTCACACACAAAATCTATTAATTAGAATAGAATATGTTTATTTGGCATCACAAATACAAAGAAAAACAAAATAATTAACATATTTACATTTTTAACAAAAGAACAAAAGACTTATGCTAAATGAACATTAAGTGTGTGTTAAACATTAACAAAAACATGCGTTGATAACGTGATGCCATGCCTGAAAACATTGTGAGTCATTACAGGTTGTCCCACACTAGGCTAAGCCTGTCCTGTGGCGACCCCATGGAATTAATAAGTACGTTGTACGAAGTACTTATTAATTCCATGGGCGACCCTTTTACGGTTTCAATTTTTTAATCCCGGCATTGCATAGCGTTATACGTTGTGTTACTCGTTACGATACGATTATATTTTACAAATAATAAAAACTTATATATCTATTAAATCCAACATAAGAATAGGAATTATTATAGATTGTATTATGTAAAATAGCATGAATTTAAAATAATTTTGATCAACATATTATTACAAAAAGAAATATTTAAATTTAATAATAATAATTACTAGCTACTAAAGTGCATCACGTGAATGTAAATGTTATCTTGTTCACAACTGGAAACTCACTCCGATAGCCTTCCCAACAGGCAGTTACTGCAACTTGACAACTCCTGTCAAAATAATGAATGGCAACAATTAAAACCACAAAACGCGTTGGGCAAATATTGTTGCTACCGGTCGCGTTTTCACTTTAAATACGCGATTCCTAAGTAAAGTGTTTTATATTCCGGAGAGGTAAGAACTTTCGCGTGCATATAAAGGGCAGCTTTTAAAATATACAGTTTCCGCACACTTAGGACCTTCACGTCTTCAAATAACGAGATTGTGGGGTAACGGTAGGGCCTGCGCAACACCATTTTTAGCACACTTCTTTGGGCTCTCTCCAGGTTGATCATATAGCAGGATGCAGAGCCTCCCCACAAGATGCAATAGCTTAAGATGGATTGATACAGTGCGACGTAAATTGCTGTTAGCAGGCGCAAATCTGCAGCTTCTCTGAAAAGCTTCATGGTGTGTATCAGCTTGCGCACCCTCGTATGACGTCCACAAGTATGAACTCTAACAGTTGGAACTCTAACCCCGTCCCTAGAGGCTGAGGCTTTCATTTTATGGAAACACATGAGTTTAGTTTTCGAAACATTTAAGGTTAGTAAGTTGCGATTTAACCAGTTCGAAATATGTGACATACCTTGTTCAACTTTTAGAAAACCCTCTGGCCATGTTTTGTCGGAGATAATCGCGGCCGTATCATCAGCGTAGCATACGACTAAGGAAGTAGGTAAAGAGATAGATAACAAATCGTTGATGTAGACTAGAAATAATGATGGCTCCAATATGGTTCCTTGGGGGACACCAAATTACACTGGTTTTATGCTACTGGCAAGACCGTCGATGACTGATGAT